AACTTCTTTCACAGTTTTCTTATCGTTTTTTTTATTACCTTTTCTGTTGATCTACCGTAATTTTACTTACGACCCACGCAGTACAATATTTTTATTTGGACCCGCGATCTTATCAATCCAAGAACGACGCGGTGGATGAGTTTCTACATTACCGGCAGAGTCCTCACCATTTCGGTGAAACCAAACACTGTGACCTACTTACATGAGAGTTTTCTACACCTGGAGATTTCAAGATAGTTCCCATAATTGCAAGTATTAACGAACCGTTGGAGACGAGGTTTGAGATTTACACCTCACACCTCAGGGTAAAGAGGTTTTTGATTATAATAATAATAATTTCCTAAGAAACGCGACTGTGTATCTCTTATATGGTTCCTGATTTTAGAGGAGTGACGCGTGCCCTCCCGCAAAATCAGTCTCCCTTTATTTCTCACTATCATTATCCCTGATGCAACTAACAATTAAGAAAATAGTAGAATCCTTGGTTACTTCCATAAACCCCTTCAATTAAACTTTCACTTTTATTGGTTAGTTGTTAAATCATTATGTACTGTGGTGTATCAATCCTATAATTATTTTTACCATAGATATGTTCCAAAGAGTACGACAAGGAATACGCGGAAGCGCATAAGAAGTTTCATAGTGAGGAAAAGGATTACAATTGCGAAATTTGCAACCGCAAATTCTTCTCGCAGGAAAACTTGGACATGCACATGCACGCCCACGCAGAAGTAAAGAAATTTACGTGTTCGTACTGCAAGAAAGGTTTCTTAAGTAGCGACAAATTGGAAGCGCATATGTCCGCCCAATGTCAAATGAGGCAATACGAGTGTCAATATTGCGGGAGGCGTTTTTCCCGTCCGCACGAAAAGGTCAAACATGAACGAATACACACCGGGGAAAAGCCGCACAAGTGCGAAATTTGCGGTAAAGCGTTTCGCGTCAGCTATTGCTTAACGCTTCACATGCGTACTCATTCTGGAATTCGACCGTATAAGTGCGATCACTGCGGTAAGCGTTTTAAGGCGCATAGCGTCTACAATCATCATTTACTCACACATTCAGAAGACAGAAAGTATAAATGCCCTTTTTGTCCTAAAACTTTTAAGACGGGTGTACAACTAGCAGGGCATAAAAATAGTCACACGAAACCTTTCACTTGTACGGAATGTAACCGACCCTTCGCGTCTTTGTACGCGGTTCGATCGCACATGGCCACCCATAAAAGGCAAAATAACCTCAAATTTAAATGTTGGTTGTGCGGAGCGTCGTATGCACGTTCGTTCGCTTTGCGTGACCACATTAAAGAGCAACACTACGAAAACGCAAAGGAAGCCGCCCAATTAGGAAGCTTAGATTTTGCAATAACCGAAACAATTGAAACGGGAGAGGCCGTTTTAACGGACGGTGATGAAACCATGTTAATCGATATGCCGGGCGGAGAAGATGTTAATAGTATAGAAATTTCTGGAGTTGCAATAACTCTTTCGGATAATAATTGATTTTAGGGATAAGTAAGTTACATGATATATTAAGCTATAAGTAGATGTCAGCAAATGTAAATATATTCTCAGTTTATTATAATGTTCTTTCTTATAAAGGTAATAAAATGAATAAAGCGATTTAATTAATTAATAGTAATTTGAATATAACATTGCAATCATTTTAGGAGTCCCGAACCCAGCACTGGAACTTTTACTAAAACCTCTATGTGGAAATGACGGACGTTTCGCACCACTTTTAAATAAAATTTCAGTAAATTTTTTAGTGGATTTAATGGTATGAATACCTTACATTGTGTTATACTATGCGGGAGACGTCATTGGGAAGGGAAGTTTACACACGGTGCAAACGAAGACTGAAAACCAGGAAATAATGAACTGGTAAGAAAAAAACCGACACACATAGACATAAATAAGAAATAACATGAGAAAAGAGAGATACAAAAGCAAACATCTGAAATGATATACAATGACAAATCGGACAATCGAGGATGCAAGCATCACACAAACAGGCCCACATACTAAACAAAAGAATTATTAAATTAAATTAGTGGAACCTCTTCTTGTATTGGTAAGGCCTAGGTTAAGGCACAAGATCAGAAATGAACGAACAGGTACAGCAAATTGAAACTGTGCTTTCTCAATGGTTAGTCGAATAATGCAGAGTAATACACAGTAAAAATAATATGTTTAACGTCCTTGGTGCCAACGTATGTGAGAGAGATAGCTAACAATAGAACACTGACCTTTCCTGATTCATTTCAGTGGCGTTATAAATATAATAAAGGGATTTACGCTGATATTTCAGTAGAAAATACGAGTAGCTTTTACGAAAGAAATAATTAAAATGCTGGTTAAAGACCATGTAATGAAAACATAAATTGAGCAAGCATTTACACGAAAAATGAAAGCGATTTCAAACAATAGGTAAAAGTTAACGGTGTAAAACACGTGATTCTCCATTGAGATTAAATCAAGTCAGTCAATTTCGAAAACAAACCTGAAAGATTATAAAGAATTATAATATCTTGCATACAAAATAACACATAATTTACATTAATATACTTAACACAAAAATAACAACAAACAAACTATACTTATAATCAGAGGTGGGTACCTATTTCGAATGAATTTATTTGAAATACGTATTTAAAATAGAAAATGCCATTTTATATTTTGTATTTTAAATACTGTAGATAAAATCATTTTCTATTTTCTATTTTAAATAAATCAGTATAACTATTTTCTATTTAAAATAACGTAGTATAGATTCGATTCAAAGTTTTTCTGGTTTACCTGCAAATGTGATCTGTGGAAAGAAACTAAAAATGGTGATATGTGGTAAAGAAGTGTATCAAAACGCTTCCTTGCACAAAACGTGCTACAATTACTGCTTTCCATTTGAGTGCGTGAAGCTCTGGTGCAGTTCGTTCGGAGCAGCTCATTTTGCAAGTTGTTCATTTTTAACACATTTGAATTGACATTCACAGTACGTAAATAACCACAAAAGTGTTACAAGCCCCAAGCAAATAGGTGGTGCATGAGGGGACAAGGGAAATCCAATTTCGGGCGCGTCAGAGCTCGAAGCTTTCTTAAAAGGGACACAGGGCATCGTGCACGGTACAGCTTACAGCTCCTCTTTCACTCAAATGGAAAGCAGTAATTGACTCATCCCCTTTTTAAATTACGTTGGGCACCGAGTGAATATAAAACTCAATTCAAAGACTTGCTACTAAATGAATTAAGAGTAATAACTGCAGCTGAGAATGAAGACAACGGCAAAAATAAAGAAATGAACGTGCTTGATGACAAATATTGTTTGTTCGACGATTCTTCTACAGACAGCCCTGGCTCTTCAGATTTAAATAATGGGTTACAGCTTGAAGCCCTTCAATATCTTCAGAGTCCACTTACAAATTTGTCAATGTTGGATCAATTTCCTAACATCAAAAAGTTATTTATAAAATACAACACATACTTCCGTCATCGGCTCCTGTTGAAAGGCTGTTTTCATACGCAGGGATAATCATGCGACCCAAACGTCGATGCATGAATGATGATACATTTGAAAAACTTTTAATAATTAAAGCTAATGTAAATTTTATTGCAAATAAATAAATTGTAAAACCATTTTGTATTCGAAATGTTATTTCAAATACCTATTTTCTATTTTGTATTTTAAATAAATGTACAAAAACCATTTTGCATTTTACATTTTAAATACAATATCTGAATACATTTTGCATTTTCCATTTTAAATACTTATTTAAATGCATTTTACCCATATATATAAGTTTACCCACCTCTGCTTATAATACGTTGTGTGCATCAACGAAGGTTGTATATATACAGGGTGAACATTTCGATAATTTCCACACATTTAAACGAATGACCAAATGTAAACTACACTTCGGGTCATGACCATGTAATCAAAACACAACCATAAATTGAGCAAACATTTACACAAAAAATGATATTAACGGTTTCAAACAATTACAGTTAACTGCATTTTGCATACAAAACACAAATACTGCAAAGACGTGCATTAAATAACACAAAGCAAACAAACTACACGACCTGTCGGCGACGACTGAAATCAAAATGCTCGCAAAACTTAAGGCAAGAAGCGTTCAAACGCACCCTGCCACTTGAATTCATTAATTAATTAATGCAGTGATGTTCTGCTTAAGTGGTTGGTGTTTTAATTTGCTTGTGATTAGCATAGTTTGGGTTTTATTCAAGGCCAATTTTTTTTCTCAAGTCGCGCTCTTTTTCTCCTTGGTAGTCTGTTTTTGCGAGAGTGCGGCACCTTTAGGTTTTGCTTGCTTTGCTTTTAATGTACCACATCCAAATTCCCGGGTTCTCAGAATAAGTTTATAATAAATAAACTCGCAGACATTACAGCGTTTTATTTGAGTGTTCCTGCCCGACTGGGTCCCGAGTCATTGTATTAGCTTCGTGTAACGTAAGGGGGCGATCACTTAGACGATCCAATCACGTGCCATTCCTTTGTTTGAAATTTGAGCAGGAACCGTGTTTTGATACTGGGATTGCAACGTTGCCACTTTGCCGTGAAATCTGTCATCTTCACTTCGAGCCTGGGGTGGGTTAAGATCACGGACCTCTTATTTTAAGAGGTCCGTGGTTAAGATCAGTACACAGTTACGAGTATCTATAAGTTCACTATTCAATGATTGGCCCTCGACGATATGGCGTTGATTATGCAAACGCTTTCAGTCCGGTTCCATGTTTGGAAGTCAGGATTACCACTAAAAACCCTGAGAAAAAAAAGTAGGTGGGAACTTGGGAAGTCATACAAAGAATTCCTTTGCATTTTTTTTAACTAAAAATTAAAGGTGATTTTGCTAACATAAATGCTTTTGTGATTGGCGAATGGAATGTTCGGTTTTCGTTTTTATTCGGTTTGTATCCGACACTAATTGCGATATGTGGCATCACTGTCACCAATAGACCTACTCCACCTGTCGATTTGACACAGTTGACGTTCCGTATGTCATGTTGGAAGTTTCTTGTTATTGAAATGTGAAGTTTAATTTTCAAAAGTAATTTAGAGAAATTTAGCAAAATGTCTTTACCGGGCAACGGTATATTCGTCGTAAAAGGCGAAATTTCAATTTTGATAACGGCAATGAGACGTGGTGTAAAATGGTCCTCACATTCACACCAAGACGAGGAACTCGATCTTCTAATGCATTCCTTTCAAGATTTAAAGGACGTTCTGAATAAAATGGACGATCTTAAGCTTCTCGATCCAATTTTGTTTCTAACTCCCTTTTTAGATGTTATTAGATCTGAGGAAACGACAGGTCCCGTCACTAGTCTAGCACTATCAGCTGTTAACAAATTCTTATCTTACGGGATTATCGGTAGTTCTCATTCCTTTACAGACACATTACTCGGATTGTTGCTTTCAGATCCAACACACGCATCTATGCCTACTGTCGTCGATAATATTGCGGACGCAGTAACGCATGCCCGTTTTGTGGGCACCGACCAGTCATCCGACGGCGTAGTTTTAATGAAAATCTTGCAGGTATTGCGCACCTTAACTTTGTCGCCCGAAGGTGCCGCTTTAACGAACGACAGCCTTTGCGAAATTATGCTGTCTTGTTTTCGTATATGTTTCGAGGGCCGCTTGAACGGTACTGCGAAGCGGCGAAAATACCATTCATTCAGAGTAAATTTTTGCAGAACTTCTGCGAAAAACGGCCGAGCACTATTTAAAAGACATGGTTCAACTGGTATTCATGCGTCTACCGCAGTTTCCCGAGGATTTACGAATTGGCGGCATGAAACATTTGAAAATAAAGCCGGGAGCGATTGAAGCGTCGCGTAAACGAAAATCGTCTCGAAATAAAAATAAGAATGCACGTGCGGTGGAGGAAAAGCTAGCAGGTACTTACTATAGGTGTTAACAATTTGGACGTAGTGTAAAGAGTATAGCAGTGAGACAATGGTTTTGGGAAATGGCAAACTTAATGCATGTTGTTATGTTGGTTTACCGAAGATTTCCCCAAATAGCTAAATTTAATGTTCGTCAAATAACCGAAGAAAATTGCGTTTTCATTTTCCCTAGTATAAGCGGTTGGAAATGGACGGTTTTCGTTAGCGCACTTTTTGCAGAGAACCTAAATCTGTTATTGGAATTTCTATAGCACGTTAGATGTAGAAACTACATGCTACTACTTTCTTATGGACACCATATTGAATTTTTACAGAATGAAATAGTGAACAAACAAAAATTACTGCCACCCTATACTTTGACATACATTTACAAGAAAAATGTCAAAATTCAAATGAATTTCTTTTTTTCTTCCCTATCATTCTGTAAAAATCCAATATGGCGTCCATAAGAAATAAGAAAGTAGTAGTAGTGGAAAATTCAGATTCTCAAAAAAAAGCCCATAGCAAGGTGCTAACAAAGTTCAGATGTGCATGTGCAGGAAGAGTGGTGCAACATCAAGGAAGTAGTAACATAAATACTTTGAAAGGAGAAGTGGGAAAAGAACGAAAGCAAGAGGGTAAGAAACAATGGATTTCAGAAGTTCTGGCCAAGATTAATGAAGAAAGAAAATGGGAAAATTATTAATACTGAGGAAGGAAGAAATAAGTCGAGGAATAAGTAAAAGCCAATTAATAATCAAATAAGATCACATTTCGACTTCATTTACGCCAGCTTTCAAGGAACTCACCAAAACGTTCCCACCTCTACATATAAAACGCTTGTATCTCTTATCATTCAAGTAAAGTACCAAGTTCCATCAGGAAGTGGAATCGAAGATGGGACAAGAGAGGGAAATGTGTTACCTAGAAGAGAAAGTATGGGCCACACAGCAATATATACCTTCACAAATACACATACAACTAGATAATTCCTACAGTTTCTTTATGCACATTTTATAAGATAAATTAGTAGTAATTCATGGACCCATGAATTTGGCAGCTTTATTGAAATTCTAAATCAAACTCTGACTCAAAAATCTGATTCTTATATCCAGTCCCAATTCAATAGGTTGGTAAATAAACAGGTTACATATTCTTTCTCATTGAAACTTTATGAATTGTGTATCTATACACACGTTTTTTAATTTTCTTTTTGGATAAAGTCCCTTTTACATTTTTAAAACTGCGTGGAAACTTCTTTGTCGAACTTCTAATGCAATTTTATTCGCAATGTTCCAAAATCACGTAATGTTCCGTTATTCCCTGTTTAAAGAATTTTTCGACACTTTTATGATTAAAAAAACTCGAAAAAATCTTTACAAAGAATTTTCTTTGATAGCCCGGCCGCCAAATATTAACCCCAGGATACTCATCTTCGTACTGGTGACTACGATGCTAAGAGTTTCATTAATTTCTCACTTTTCTAATCGGACTAATCCCCTCTTTAAAACGGATGTAAATTGAGCCCTCACTCAGACTTCCAGGCGCTATCGGTAATTAAACAATAACAGCCCATTGAAAAATACTAGTTAAAAATGACGCGTATTTCGTTGACCCCAATTAACCAGCTAAATTCTTTACATCTTCATGAACCATGTTTGTCTGGGAAGACATTTTTCAGCCTATAAATACTACTTTACTTATTTCTGCGGGAAAAATTTAAATCCAAACCTAATGCTTTCGTTACAGTACGTACGCCAATTTTCCGAGATAACGACTCGACCGATTTTGTTCAAATTTTGAATATGCATATTAGGGATAAAGAATCAGTCCAAGAATATCTTACTCTGCGTAAAGGTGTCATTGTAGAACCGGCCCTTAGTCCAGAATTCGGCCGGCGGTTACGTTCAGGGAAGCAATTAAAACAGCATTACGGCACACAGACACGGTAGCAATTGCCCTAACGGGAACGCAAGCAACACACGGGGAATCAAATACAGAAAAAGCCAAACAATCCCTTTTTATAATTAACGGAAGAGCAAGTATCAAACATTTACATTTAAATTTATCGGTACGGTGACGGATAAAAGTACAAGACGTACGCGAATAATTACCAAAAGATTCTACGTTTCGGTTAAACACCAAACGCAAAAAGATCCCCTTTAAACAACGGCTTCGACCATTTCATAGAGAGATCGACGGGTTTCCCAGCCGACACAGCGTATTTGATTGTTTACATCCAAAAGTTAACACTTCTAACATAAAAATCTGTAATTGGTCTTAAAATTTAGCTCAATTAAGTGCGCTTCTAATGAAACCCCTCACGACTAGTTCGGATGCGATTTACTCATTTACTTAGCTACTGTTAATTACACTTATTTAATTTGCCGGATTAAAATTTCCAAATTCGGTAGCCCAGTTTATGCTCATTGTTACCTCAAATTTTGGGTCAATCGCAACAGTCTGCTATAATGAAATAAACTGTACGACTTTGCAGCTTTAACGGTCGTTTTATATTAACATAGGAAACCAAAATCATCTACGAAACTGAAAGTCTAAAGTATGTCGGATATTACAAAAATTATTTACATATACAGTACAGTACAACCTCGTTAATCCGAATAGATTCGGACCACCGACCTTTCGGATTATCGCGAAACTAGTGAAAATAACAAATTTGGACACAAGCATTAAGAAATAAACTTTATTCTTTTCAACGTCTTCAGGGGTGTTATCGTTGTTACGAGGAACAAAATTATTTCGGACTAGCGTGTATTCGGATTATCGAGGTTGTACTGTATCCCTACGGGAACAATAATTATCAGGGCCGGCTCAAGGTAAAAGTTACAGGTAAGCAAGCACTAAAATTCGCGCCTCCGTCCGCCTCGCTAAATTTTGAATAATGGGAACGTTTGGCAAGCATTTTTTAATAATACAGGGTGTTCGTCATGCAGATATTTCAGGGGGTGATAGCACTCGTCAAAATAAGAAAAAAAATGCAAATATGTGCGTGGTTTAAAGGGCGTCATTTTCGTTATACAGGGTGACAAAGTTTCAATTTTTCTCTCGTATTTTGCGTTGTCTCTTTTATGTTCTGGGATAATTGTTTCAAATTTGATACATCAATTATTTTGTAGAATCTACAATAAAGTATCAAAATAGTTCGTCGTGGTATACAGGGTGTTGCATTTCCTTTGCCACCCTGTATAACGAAAACGACGCCTTTTAGACCATGCATATAGTTACATTTTTTTTTATTTTGACGGGTACTATCCCCCATGAAATATCTGCATTACATTAATTAACAGTCTGTATAAAGGTTCATATTTACATCATTTCTCTAGCAGACCCGACGAACTTCGTACCGCTAATTCCAATTCAGCAGAGTTGAACATTAGGTTATTTGTAGCTTTAAAATTGTGTTCTCGCATTTTTTTGAAAAGCAAAAGTTGTACAAAAATGCTACAGGGTTTTCTGAAGGGATAACGCGTCTGCTATTTACCTACAAATATGCCCGCCGTGTACGGATTTTTACGTCCGTGGTCCGTCAGTCATTAAACTCGAGAAATGTTTGCGCCCCTTTTCGTCTGCGACGTAAGCGGCGGGTTACACCGCTTACACCTAAAGCCGGTCCTGATAATTATAAAACTCATCAATTAAATACGGCAACTGGGTTCCTTATCGGCGGCTAAAACGGCGCAAGTTCCTTCTGTTTCCAACTCCTAAAGGGAATAAATAGTTCTGGAACAACAATTTTCGTAACGAAGCGCCTCTAGATACAGAGTGTTCAATAAAGCTGGTGGCGGTTATCTATGTACAAAGTGTCCATAAATTCCGGTATGAAAACAGCGCTTCATTACAAATATCCACGATAACAGCGCGTCCTTTTCAGATTATTGCCGAGAAGTATGAAATGTTCCTGTTTTTCTTGTAAGCTTGTCTCACTGTTGTAGTCTTACACTAAGACTTAGTGGTAATGTAATCTAATAATATGTTATTGTAGAAGGTGATGATGCACAATCGCCCGTTGTAACGAAAGCGACGTCGTTACGCACGAATCCACTATCAACCACTCCAATGACCCCAGGCGTTAATATTGTGGACATGCAAGGGTCAATATCACGTTCGACACCACAATTGTTATCAAATGAGGCAGTAGATGCGACATCTCCCAGTAGTTTTCCTGAAAACGAGAGAAACGGGGACGAATCTGAACCGTGCGCTGAGAGCAATATCATCGTTAACGTACAGAGTCCGGGTAGTTCGGACGTTTGTGCCGAGGATGACCCAAACGATCAGATAAATTCGCCTACGACGGAAGAACCCAATTTTCAAAGTCTTGACGTCGAGAGCAATGAACCGAGCATTCCGGAGACGGTTGCGGATGCAAACCAGCAAGGTTTTGAGGTTCAGGAAGAAGTAAAGGAGTACATTAATCCGCGAGGTATCAGGTTCACGCCTCATCAAGAGACTACAGCCTTAATACCGTATGGCATTGTATCGGTGCGGGAAATGTTTAGGTTTCTAATCAGTTTATGTAATCCCCTTGATAAGCAAAATACCGACTCGATGATTCACTTGGGGTTAACTCTATTAACGGTCGCCTTCGAAGTGAGTGCCGATAATATAGGGAAGTACTCCAGTTTGCTGACCTTGGTTAAGGACGATCTCTGTCGAAATTTATTCTCGTTGCTCAACACAGAGAGATTATCGATTTTTGCAGCCGACCTGTCTGTGTCATTTCTAATGTTCGAGTCATTGAGAACCCACTTGAAGTTTCAGTTGGAGTTCTACTTGACAAAGTTAATTGAAATTATTACAAGCGACTCGGTAAAAGTAACGTACGAACACAAAGAGTTGTCCTTGGACAATATGGTGCAACTGTGGAAGGTACCCGGTTTGGTAACGGAACTTTACCTTAACTATGACTGTGATATATACTGCACGAATCTGTACGAAGAGTTAACTAAGCTGCTGGCGAAGAATGCGTTCCCCGCCACCTCTGGCATTTATCACATGCATCTACTATCATTGGACGCATTGATAACCGTTATGGACGATATCGAAGGTCACTGTTTGAGGAGCAAGGGAAAACTGGAGTTTGCCTCGTCTAATCCAGAAAGTGAGGGCGAGTTTACGAACATTAATGATTTTATCGGGAAAAGTTCACGGCAAAAAGTATCCGAAAATGTTCCAAATAGGGAGCAGCTCATTGCAGTAAAAAATATTAAGAAAGTAAGTACTACATCAGACAGACAGACCCACACATTTCCTTACTTGAAAATTTAAAATAAAGCATATGTATAGTGTGTGCCCATATTTAAACAGATTCACATTCACTGATGATAATAATAATAATAATAGTTTATTTCACGACTTTTTGATATGAGGTCATAACTGAATTGTCAAGGTTTTTACAAATCAATTGACATTGAGGTTTATAATTAACGTATTTATATCATTAGCCTGCCTAGTACTAGGTGATTTTTAAAACGTCCAATACCATGTGTGGTGAATACCTTTTTTCAATAAGCAAACTCCACTACATGATTTCTTCTTTTATTTCTGCCGGACTGAAACTGTTCGCTTTCAAAGCCAAATCGAGAATCCCCTTTTGAGTCTCTGCAAAACTAATTCTCACTCAGTCTTTAGATAATGAAACCCGCCCAAAATTTCACACAAAAACTCATTGAGAACCCCTGCTTAAAAATGACGCATATTTCGTTGACTCCAATCATCCAGATAAAATCTTGACGTCATCCAGATAAAAATTTGTTTGGGAAGATACTTTAGAACCTTGTTTCCCGTAATTATAGAGTGACCTGCATAATCTTTTTTAGAGGTGCCCCTGCAGAAGGTCTTAAGTTGCTACAGCTATTGCTTCTAATTCTTTAATCCGTGACACGAACTTTCTGCATTTTGTATTTATCTTAGTAGCAAATAGATCTATGCCAGGAATGATAATTGTACTGGAATTTTTGTGAAAAGGTCGTCCCATAATTCTATTTCTGGATTTGTGGCTTCTAGATTCTGCATCTGCCACCAAATTATCCTAGTATTGATATAGGATGCAATGATCCACAGATTTCTGGATTCACAGTATTGGCAAATTTTTTTTGGATAATTTGGAGAGTATGTATACTGTATGCCACCCATCTTATTAATAATGGGCGATCAAAAATGAGTTGCTGTCGAGTCGCCTTTGGAAGTTCAAGTTAAATACGATTTCCCATGTAAACAAAAATTCCAAAGGTGACTTGACAGCAACTCATATTTGATCGCATTGTATATGAAACATTTGAGTGGATGTTCAGTAATAAATAAAATCTTCTGTTTTATGTACTTAATTTTTAAGAAAGAGGTTAGTGTGTGGATTAGATAAGGATCAAAGTCAAAGATTTTATGTACAGGGCCAAATAAGAATGCGAGGTACTGTATTTGGGAACCTGTCCATCGTAGAGGCTCGCGGTAAAAAAAGATATTACTAAAACGGCCTAGAGAAAAACCTGGAAAATAATAATAATAATAAATCGTCTTTATTGAACATGTTCTCTGGCGAAATCTAGCTCAAGGCTATTCTATTTAACCAGAAAGCATGGAACAAATTAAATATGCACAACACAAGATAATCAAATGATAATAGAATACAAAAAAACAAACAAAAAAAACATTATACATATCTGCAAGAACTATCACAAATTATGATTATGATTGAGAAGATATGCCTTTAAATGTTTTTTAAAATTATTTCCGCTATATTCCGTGATGTATGAGGGAAGAGAGTAATAAAGTTTCACAGAATTATAACTAAAGCTTCTTTGAAACATACCTGTTTGATGATGGGGTACAGTGAGTTTATTATTAAAATGTACGTTAACACGATGTCGACGTGACGCAGGTATCAGTCTTTCAGCAATATTTTTAAGTTTCTGAGAGGGTCGCTAGGGGGCGTAACTGCAATCTGGAATCTAAAAAAGTGATTTTTTTGTGAATTCAGCTATATTAACCTAACAAAAAATGTCCGGTCTTTGAAAACGACGATAATCTGAACTTTTTTTGTTTGATAATTATTGCTGTATCTCTAAAAATGAAGTAGTGGGGCTGGAGGGTATTCAAAGGTTTCCGTAAAGAACACTATGTATCTTCGAAACGGCTGAGCCGATTTGAACAAACTTGGGTTAATTAAAAAGAGTTATTCTTCGGCTACAAATATTATATTTGAAGTTTTGTTAGTTTCACATATCGCCGCTTGAGGGCTTTTTTCGACATTCCAACAGAAATGGGTAATTTTCTCAAAAAAATTATATGCGTTGGTTTGATTTTTTTCATGAAAAAGTAGCTAAATGATGCCTAAACAAGCTCGCAAAAACCGCATCTCGATGTCTTGTTCCTAACCTAAAATTTAGGCCAATGAAAATTTTATACCCTCAAAATTTTATTTTTTTAAGCTAATTTTTCCGGAATTATTTTTATTGTATAATTTGTGGCCCTAAGGTGGATCAATTTAAAAAAAATATCGAGATGCTGTTTTCGCGAGCTTGTTTAGGCATCATTTAGCTACTTTTTCATGAAAAAAAAATCGAATCAATGCATTTAATTTTTTTGAGAAAATTCACCATTTCTGTAGGAATGTCGAAAAAAGCCCTCAAGCGGCCATATGTGAAAGTAACAAAACTTCAAATATTATAATATTTGTAGCTGAAGAATAGCTCTTTTGAACTAACCCGAGTTTGTTTAAATCGGCTCAACCGTTTCGAAGGTGTTCTTTACGGAAGTCTTACCCCCCACCACTTCATTTTTAGTGATACAGGAAAAATTGTCAAACAAAAATGGTGCGGATTATCATCGACTCGAAAGACCGGACATTTTTTTGTTAGGTTAATATAGCGGAATTCACAGAAACATCACTTGTTTAGATTCCAGATTGCAGTTACGCCCCCTAGCGGTCATTTCAGAAACTTAAAAATATTTGCCAGGTTTTGCTCATGCCCGTTTTAGTAATAACTTTTTTTACAGTACCTCGCATTCTTAGTTGGCCACCCTGTACAAAAAATAGTAAGTAAGATTTTACTTGTGCCCACCTTCAGAACTCACGAGCCAACACTGTTATGAAGGATGAGGGAAGTTGACAATTCAAATTGCTACTATATTTGTAGTTTCTTTTTCCCTGCTTGAGACTGTCAATTTTCATCAGAAAAAAAGAAATCATTGCAGCGATTTTGACATCCCAGCAGTATAGAGATATTGAAGAGTGTGGAGCAGAAGTTGCTTCCTTTTGATTTGAACTTTATACCCTATGAATGCTCTGACTTTCATCAGGCTATCTCGAAGACAGGTGGCTGGCACTATTATTTGTGCACTTGTAATGGCATTTATAAGGGTCGAAGTCCTCATTTGCGTAAAAAAAAAATTAAACCTCTACACCCCTGGCAAAAATGTTCATATTACAATTAGTTTTTAATTTACCCACGGTTAGCTCAGTAATAAAGATGTTTTTTTATACCCCTTACTGTACCTTTTATCTTCTCTTAAAATCTGAAATTCAAAATCTTATGCTCTGGTTTGATTGAATTAAATACGCATATGGCTTTAGTTGATTGAATATATTAAGTAAAGCAAAAGCTATAAAATTTTATTTACACGCTTCTGAATGTAACTGGATTCATAAAAAGAAATACAAAAAAATATGCAATTCCTGTCTCGTGATCCTTATCTAAATATTTTATCTTTACCACATAATCAATTACTGGTACATTCTTCTGTTTAAAAATATAGAACTGAAATTACATGCAAATCTCAATCAATGAGACAAAATACCCCAAATACTGTGTTTGAATTCGATTCTTATCAGTAAGTGCAATACAAAATCTGTTCATACAACTACTTTTCATTGGTCGATTTCTTCAGGGATATCAAAATTACTTAAAAAAAATTAATATGCAATTTCCTAAAAATAACCGGCCACTAAATCAAAAAATTTAAAATACTTTACAGTAATTGACATGAATGAGATGCCTTTCAGACAGAGCTGGGTCAATCGCTCTAATTTTCTCAAAAATGCTCGCAAGCATCGAGGTGTTTTGCAAAGCGAAACCGCTTACGAGTGCCGAGCACGCCTAAAAGTGCTCAAGCGGTTTATCGCGAGCGCTCGGGAAAAGTGCTCGTGAGCGGAAAAAAAATTCTCAGAAGCGGAAAAAACGCTCGAGAGCGGAAAAAACGGCTCGCGAGCGGAAAATCATTCGCGAGTGAAAAGAGAGCTCGCGAGTGAAAAAAGAGCTTGTGAGCGGAAAAAAACGCTCATGAGTGGAAAAACCGCGAGTGGGCAGAAAAAAGCGCTCGAGCGCCGAGCACTAAGCGGCCGCTCCGAAAAGTGCCCGCGATCCGCTCGCAAGCGCTTTTTCGAGCGGAACGCTCGCGAGCAGTACCCAGCTCTGCTTTCAGGTTACAATTGGTTCAGGTTCAGTAATGAATTAAAAAAATTTCAACCCTCTTTGACTACCCACCACCGCCGCACCATCCGCGAAATAAGCTTTGTATGTAGAGTTCAGTACCTATGTCTAAAATAAGTATTTTTTTAAATAGTAACAAACTTACGATTTTTGAAATGAGATTTGAGTTTTTCAAAAATATATAATAGTTTAGTGTTTATTTTTAAAAATAAGTTTGTTTATTATTTCAAAAAATATTTATTTAGGAAAAAGTTGACTACGCCATTGTTATTATTATTATTATTGATAAATTTAGTATTCCGTTTCGCAGCGCTGTAAAATCTAATAAATGAATGAAATTGAACAAATTTGTAATGAAAATTGATAATTGAAAACCCCTCCATAAAAATGATCACTTGTCATTTTTTTGTAAAATGAACTGAGGACCAATTGAAAATTTTTTTACAAAATGTTCTATCAATTTATAACTTTGTTATTTTGGTTCTACAACTAAAAGTTACTGGCCCAAAGTTGTAGAGACTTTTATTGTTATCTTTTAATAAATGTGTTGTGAGACCAATAGTTCGTCAGATAAACCATAAAAACCATTTGCACCCCTTTTTCCAAGATGGCGGCCGCGGCACAAGGGCTGCAATTCCACAAACTTTGAACTCTTTCTTGATATCAAAAAAATAATGTTGCGTCCTCTGACAAACGCACGCTAGTCCCAAAAAACTGTAACATTTCCATGGACTAAATACAAATCAACATCGATAACAGAATCACATTGACCTCTAATTCAAATGATATGATCGAATCTGTGTTCAAACTAAAATTAATGACCACCATTAATGACCCATCGTTATTGTAGATGCTAAGGAAAACGTTCGCATGACGTAGATACTTTGCTAAATCGAAGGCGTGAAACAAATTTCGTTTTAGTGGCTTCCGATGGGCACAGATTATTTCAACCACAAACCGAAGAAGGGCATCCAATTCTTGCAAGAGCACGGCATTCTTAAGCCCGATCTGAACCCCCACGAAATCGTCACCTTTCTAAGGGAAAATCCGGGCTTGGAGAAGAAGATGATCGGCGAGTACATAAGCAGCCGTAACAACTTGCAGATATTGGAGGCGTTCGTCAAGATGTTCGATTTTAGCGATATGCGCGTGGACGAGGCGTTGCGATTGTACTTGGAGACGTTTCGGCTGCCCGGCGAGGCGCCCCTCATCTCGCTGCTCCTGGAGCATTTCGCCGAACATTGGCACGTACGTTGGTAGCTTTAGGAGGCGGGCTCTATTCTGTCGGTTTCGCTTTTTAGAAATCGAATGGGGAACCATTTGCGAACGCCGATGCCGCTTTCACTTTAGCGTACGCTGTGATTATGTTAAATGTGGACCAGCATAACCATAACGTTAAAAAACAAAATATTCCTATGACTGTGGACGATTTTAAGAAGAATCTGAAGAAAGTGAATGGTGGAAGTGATTTTGATCAAGAGTTGCTGAATGATATTTACAATGCGATCAAGTGAGTAGATTTGCTTTATTTGTGACAATACCATTACAAAAATCATCATTTTACATAATAGACATACATGTGTTGCCCTCGTAACAAATAACAATGGTACATGGGGTTGTGACAATTCTCTAATCCAGTGGTTCTCAAAGTTGTCTGGGCTCCGACCCATCTAAAAAAATTCCAATTCTGGGACCCACCTCTTAGTTGTTTTACTTACAAGAAGGGTATAAATATTGGTAATGCGCAGATTGCCTAGTGGCGAGTTGTGGAACTACTTAATGCTGTCTTATTGGTTCTAAATGAAATTTTAAATTTACCACTTTCTATTTTTTTGTTCATGTCTTATACAGTGGCGAATTACCCATTCAATATTCGCTCGCGACCCATACTTTGGGAAAAAATTCTCTAATCAGATCAGACCAGTTAAAATCATAAGGTAGTATAACCTGCACAAATCAAATGCGTATGATATTCATTGATTGTGCATTTGGGAGTTTCCCCATAGAAATTGATGCATAAATAAATAACACTCTCAACTTAGTTACTAACTTCTTCCAATCAACTTCCAGGAGCGAGGAGATCGTCATGCCAGCGGAACACACGGGTTTAGTGAAAGAAAACTACCTCTGGAAGGTTCTATTAAGGCGTGGAATGTCGAAGGACGGATTGTACATTCATGCGTCAGGCGACGCGTTCGATTACGATCTATTTGCATTAATCTGGGGCCCGATCGTCGCCGCTTTGTCCTTTATTTTTGACAAGTCGGAAGATCCCACCGTATACCAGCGAGCGATTAAAGGCTTCGAATCGTGCGCCTTCATATCATCGCATTTCGGAATATCGACAAATTTGGACATGCTGATTTTGACGTTGTGCAAATTCACGCTGTTCAATAATCAACCTAAGAATTTTGGCGGTATACAGTTTGGTGCCAACCTAAAAGCGCAGTGCGCCCTCAAAACGTTGTTTAATTTAATACATCAGCACGGCGATTACGTTCGGGAGGGTTGGAAGAACGTCTTTGATATCTTCCTGTCGTTGTACTACGAGAATATGCTGCCGAAATCATACATGGAGGTCGAAGACTTTATCGATCCAAACGGAAAAATCACTTTGGTGTGTGAAATCATGCAATCGCAGAAACAGGACACCGGGTTGTTTAGCTCGTTGTACTCGTACATGGTATCCTCATCGGAAAACCTATCAAAAATTCCCACCCCCGAAGAGCAGGAATACATCGATATCGCGAACCAGTGCATTAAGGACTGTAATTTCGATCAGGTTGTAACCGATTCGAAATTCCTACACGAAACTGCACTGCTACACCTTGTGAAAGCATTGGTCGAGTTGTCCAGGGGACCGGACGTACATAAATCTTTGGGTTACAACTACAATCAGAGCGTTACCATATTCTTTATGGAATTACTTCTACGGATCGTTATTCAGAATAGGTAATTATGCTAATTTAGCGTTACTCTCTTTCAGTATGATTATTCTGAACACACTTTAAGGTTAAAACAATCTGAAAAATATCTATGGTCACGATAACACTGTTTTTAAAAAACATGGGTCCTACTGTATTATAAATATTGCTTTGTTTAATGGCAAAGCGCATAAAGCACCTGTCCAACTAGCTCAATTTAATAAAGTCACTCATAAAAACAAATTAGATGAAATCCTTAAAATCTACGGTCGCAATTTAGGCTCAAACTGATACAAAGCTTTTCATTTAAACACAACACAAATTTATTCGATAATTGCTGCAATAAAGAGTGGCAACAGTGCCAGCGACAAATACCACGCTACAAACGCTTGATCAAAACAGGTTCAATAACGTCGAAATTAATTACCTTGTACTGTCAATAATCCAGTCTTACACTGCAATTGGTAATTCATATGTGCACAAACACTCAACTCACTTCTTCTCAGGAACTCCACTTTTTTATTACATAATTTATTTTAACACTAATTTAAAATTCCTTATAAGTATGATCCAATAATTTTTGTCGTTTTTTTTGCTTTTGCCATTGCACTAATACAATTTCTCTTATTTAGCAATATTGTATTTTGATTTATGACTTTATTTTGTTTATTGTATAACTCTTTTAACAATTTTCTTTCGCTTTAGTTATAAATCTGTCATTATAATTATTTTTCTTAATTTTTCTATATTTCTGCGCGGCTTTTATTGAACAACATTTAAGTTTGTCCTGTATTTAGACTGGATAGTCTGTTTGGACAATAAATTATTATTATTATAATTATACTTAAACTGTTCTCCGAATACTTTACACAAAACTTCTCCTTCACTCGAATTCGACTGTTTAATTTACCACGACATACTTTATATCTCTTAATTCACTAATTAATTTTCTTCACTAAAGTTTACTAACCTGAAACTGATTGGGTTTGTAACAACAAAGGTAACCGGCCATGTTACAACACTTCCTCTTTTACTAAGCGCAGACTTCATCTACAACTGGATAAAAACATGAGATAAACCGTTATAAATATGACAAGAATAATAAAAATAACCCTATCAGAGAAGTGGCCTGCCTCACCTAACAGCATGCGCTGCCATATCTTTTCGCCCCGGAAAACGTTCACGTAACGATGACTGTGTTCTTGTATCTAGCGTGAAAATTTTAGAGCATTCCTTATTGCCACGATTTCACTGCAGTTATGATTCAATTTTAATAGTTTAGTCGTATCTTGATGGAAAGATGTGTATCTTACATCTGTTGAAGATTTTAAGGCATCTGTGAGTATTTATTCATAGTTTTTGTACTTCGTTATGATTTCACGATGTTTTTGCTGCAGTTTTGTGAGTCATATGTGACATTTAGGTATTTTTACGAGGCATAAAGGAACATCATCTTTTTGTACAGTTTAGTGTTGCAATCCTTTCTGAAAGTGACTTGTTCTCATCTGATCATAATTGCAATGGTTGTTCCAGTCAAGTATTCAATCGATCACTGAGAAAGTACCAGAATTGAAGCGTGTTAATTAGCCGCTCTTTTATAACGTTAAATTTGGGTAATCGATATTTCTGTCCACAGACAAGCCAGTGATCTAATAGTGCTCCTTGCGCGGAGTTCAAATCCGATGGACCTACCAGTTCTTTTGTTTATTTCTTCTTCTATACCCAAGGGACACGAACTCATTGACTCTTTTGGTATTGTACATTCGCTTTAAATTGGTCCTGTGAGCCAGATCAAATCTTTTTTGTTTTTTTTTGCATTTCCTTACCATACATAAACGTAATATTATTTGAAAATGTGTAGAATAACCTAAAGTTGCGTGTTGTACAAAAACGTTTTGATTGACCCATAAGCTTTCATTTTCTATAACGTCCACGTCGTACAATTCACTGCACTATTTTAGAATCTCCAGTTCAGTCACGATCAAGGTCACGATATATGCCATAATGGTCTACACTCTATTCATTTTAAGAAGGTAGCGGTAGAAACCATAGGGACAGTTTGACCTTCACTGTGATTGGTTAAAACACGAGTCTCTATTACGCCGACAAATAAAATGTGTGTCGAATTCGGTCTGTTAGAAATTTCAGTTACGAAACTAAACTATCGAACTGTCATTAGCTGTCAATTTCAAAGATCTAAGCATGATATCGTTTGATTTATATTTATATTTTTCAAAATTTTGTGCAGTTTTATATTTTTCCTGTGTGTGTCGATCTTTAAACACAGCGCCATCTACTACCTTCTGCAGTATAGTGCAGGGGTCGGCAACCTGCGGCTCTTTTGATGTAAAGTTGCGGCTCTCTGCATTTATCTAAAAAAATTAGTTCATTTTTTCTAAATTCATGTTAATGAATCTTATTTTATTACGAAATTGAAAGTACACTTGCAGCGCATAATTACTTAATTTGTGACACTTGTTTGTCTTTTTTTATTATCACAGCCTACTCCGATGTATAAACATGTAATTAATTAATAAGAAAAAAACTTGAATAACCTAAAAATTATGTACTTTAAGTACACCTCGTATAAAAATGGAAGAGGACACAAAACACAATCGAATAGCGAAATAAAATAGAGGTAATTGAAAATTTGAAAAATAATAGTTATGGTACTTTGAACAAATGACATTGAAACAAGTACACATATTCAGGATGTTCTATTTAAAAAAAGCATTTATTTACCGTAAAAATGGGACACCCTGTCCATTCAAAAATAATTTCTGTAGATCCGCAACCATTTATAGTTGACATTTGCACACAAGATTTTTTTAAAATCTTTTTTACCAGGTATAAGCTAAGAAAGACGGACGCACTGTTGCAGGACCCTGTATATGACCAAATACTATAGTATTGATTCGAAAATTTTTAGTGGCTCTTTAAAAACTGCGAAATTTTGCAAATTGTAACTTTTGGCCCTTCCGTTTCAATAGGTTGCTGACCCCTGGCTAGTGGCAAGGATACCTGGTTCGCACCTGGGTGGCTGGGGTTCGATTCTTTGCATAAAAAATTATTTCATAATGTATAGTATTGAAAATGTTTCCTCCACGTTGGTTACGCCAATGATGCTGATTTTTCTAACTGACTCGTTGACTTGTAATTGCTCCTTAGGCTATAGCTCGTTGAATGAAACTTACTTTTTTTGCTTTGGCTATATAGTCCATCAAATTAGCGCAATTTTGGACAAATAAAAACATTAATCGGTAAAGATCTGAATTTTGGTATACACATTTATTGGGACTTTCTAATGAACATACTAAAAGTCCCTGTCAAAATCTGTTGCGCTCGAGACGCCATCTTGGAAAAACGGTACACTTTTCCAGTTTTTTGCCCATCTCTCGGCAATTATTACTGACACGAAGAAATAGTTTACATGAAAAATATAGTTTACTAAATTCCCTATAAAAAAGAGTATTTACATTTTTTTGGATCTCCAGTACTTTAGCTGTAATCTCACGTTGAATACGTCAGAACGCGTTTAGGCCCCGTATCGTAGTTATAGAAGGAGGGCCGTCTTTTTTATGACTACACCGATAGCTGTAACAGAGCCAAAAAATGAACAGAATCGTCGTGCGATAAAGCATTCTAGCAATGAGATAATGTTTGATGATACATCATGTTTTTTTCAAAAAGGTAAGCGAAAATGTGTAAGTGTTGGAGCAACGAAATGATTTCTGAAGCTGAAGAACGCCCTATCTGCATAAGTATAACGTGCCTGTTAGTGAGAGATATTAAAACCGACATCGTTATCAGACCTTCAGAATAACCTTGACCCTGTTCGGACTGCACTGAAGGCTCCCAGTCCACACTCAGTGCTCACATTGAAGATGAAAGTTCTATTGAGAGAGAGTTTTATAAGAAACCTTTAAACGTGTCTCATACCAAGCTTGAGTGCGACGACTTCGCATATATAAAAATACTGGTAGAATCTTCAATGAATTTAATGATTTGTAAAAAGTTGTAAAAAAATATCTGCGCGACTGTTTCGAGAGCTCAGGATACTTGATTCCCTATTCGATGTCGGATTATAGCTAAAGTATTGGACATAAAAAAAAAATTTAATATGATTTTTTGTGGGCAATTTAATAAACTATATTTTTTATCTGAACTATTTTTCCGTATCAATAATTGTTGTCGATATATAGGCAAGAAACTGAAGAAGTGCTCCTTTTTTCCAGGATGGCGCCTCGAGCGCAACAGATTTTGACGGGGACTTTTAGTATGTCCAATAGGGAACACTAATGAACATGTATACCAAAATTCAGATCTTTACCGATTAATGTTTTTATTTTTTCTTATTTGACTGGACTAATATAAATATGTACCTGTTATGTTTTCACCTTCATGTGATAAATAAATAATGTGGTATTGGTACATCCAAAACTGAAAAATTTATAATTTGAGTATGTTAAGAAAATTTGGGAACATTCATAAAGCACTAAATATGAATGTGCCGCAAAGATCAAAATCGATACGCTACCTGAATTATATCTTTAAATCAATAAATACTGTCAAATGCAGGTAATAGTCTGCTTTATTTATGATGCAAACGTTATAGGTATGTGTAGATCTGTGGATATAGTTACAATTTAAACATAAACATAAAACAATAGGCAAATTTTCATAAAAATACGCACGAATTTAGTTTTGCTAGAAAAATTAACTCAGATTTTTAATTTGCAGGGATCGAGTAATGTCGATATGGAATATTGTCAGAGATCATCTTTACACATTGGTCATGAACGCGTCTCATTGCGATTACCAATTTTTATTGGAACGAGCCGTAATCGGTCTTTTACGCTTGGCCATACGATTGATGCGTAACGAGGAAATGAGCCCGATCGTTTTGCAGTCGCTTCGGATGCTTTTGTTGTTGAAAAGTTCGACGCTCTTTAGGATATCTAGGCAAATTTCGTACGGATTGTACGAATTGCTTAAGACGTCCGCTCAGAATATTCACACCAGTACTGATTGGTCGATTGTTTTTACGCTATTAGAGTGTGTCGGAGCCGGAGCACAACCGCCTAAAGCGGTTTCGGGCGAAAATAACGCCGAGCAAGGTAACGGTCGGTGTGAGTTTTGGGGGTGTTTAATTTAGATTGCGCAGGTGCCAAGTCGGACGGAGAAGGCGCGGCGAGTAGTGAGGATGAGCATGTCAGCACGGATCGCGGGTATACATCAGATTCAGAATTGACGCGTAGTCCTAAACATGTATCTAGTTCAAGGCCTCAAAGTCCTCTCATTGTTACAGCCAGTTCACCAGTTACAGTACAAAGTAATACTGGTGGTTGGATTGTTGTGAGTATTAAGTACAACATACAAAATTACTACACCCTGGACTAGTCCAGAAACAGAATTTGACCAGCTGCCGTCGATTTTTTGGTGATGATTTCAATTATAGGTGGGCAAAGATACCGAAGTGCAACCAGTTGTTGGACGTACACTACCCGCCGAACAGTATAATTTGGCATTGGAACGCAATTTGGGTCCCCACGATCGCAGTGCACTCGTCAAGTGCTGTGAAAGTTTAGCGTTTTTAGTTAGAGATGTCGCACATATCACCCCGTACAACTTCGACAACTGCATTCACTGCATACGGACGTTTGTGGAAGCTAGTTTAAACGGAAGTATGATCAATTTAATATTTGCTTAAGTTTAGTTGGGGAAATTGCTTCACAAATAATAATTGATTATGCGCATGCGCAAACTCGGTGTTTTCATGTGTTTAGTTTCATTAGAAGAGTACTCGAACAAATTCAAATACTATTTTAACGAACCTTCATAGGGCTGGGCAAGTTTCATTATGTTGCATTGCCAGAAGCATAGAATCAAGAAAATTTATGGACTTTTTAACTTGGAAAATCTGTAAAAGTAACATAGGATGTGTTTTCAGCTAAGCGAAGTAGACGCATATCAAATCGAGAGTCGGCCGGTCGTAAGAAGCTAGGCGGACGGAGACGTGATCATGCGCAGACAAGAAGAAGTCCGATTACGAGCAGTCCGGACGAGGAGAGCGAAGACGAGGACGACATTCCAAGCGGATATCACCAAATTTCCATACAAGTAAATGCGGTCGATAGTAATCCGGTTTTATTTGTGATAATTGTAGCTCTTGGATTTGATGCACACGTTGCATACGCGAACCGCCCAAATATTTCGGTGGTGGGCCGAAGAGGGCGGCGAGGTCGGTAGCGAGACGTCGCTGTGGACTCAGGGTTGGTGCCCATTACTTCAAGGTATTGCCAGACTGTGCTGTGATGTGAGGCGGCAGGTAGGTTTTATTTGGAGCCCACTTTGATTGTTTTCTGGTAGGGTAGACGGCTTTGCGATACGCTGCGCCTGATGTGTTGCCTACCCATTATTATAATCAGAATCATCATGAAAGTATCGCGGCATTTAAATTTCCGCGTCAATTTTTTCGTGTGCCGCTCGTTTGTGATAGTTCGGCGAACTATGAAATGCGTAACTCACAAAAATAATTTTCCTGTAAAACTGGTAATTCATTTTTCCCATTTTTTAATTGTGACTGTTACTGTTAACAATTTACCATAAATATCTGTAGGCAATTCGCGGCGTGTATCATATTTGAATTTTTATGAATTTAAATTATACAGTTACTTCTCACATGCGGTCTTTAACAGGTTGTTTGTATATATACACAGTAATGGACGTTGTTCTTTTGTGTTGTATGAAAGGAGAGACGGTTAGCACTCCCCTAGACAAGGATGGATCTATAACACACATGGTTAAGGCACCTTAACCACAGTTTTTTTTAATATGTAGAACTGTTAGAGTCTTCTTTACCAAAGCGCAACTTTTTACATTATAGTGTATACAGTGAATTTTTTTTAAATGCGAACATAGGAGTTAGCATGCAATGTAATTTCCCTATGTTCGATTTTTAAAAAAACACATCAATCTATTGAGTAGTTCAAATGAGTAATAGATACAATTGACAGCTGTCACATTTTTTAAAATACCGCCGTCCAATTTAATTACGAAATCGGTTAGGTTATTGCTTAGAATGCCAAGGAGGACACTTCCAACATTTATTGTAATTGTTTTCGGTATTTTATTTCTTATTTTCTTCATTTATGTATTGAATAAATCAAATTAGTAGAATACTAGGTGCACATGACCTACAAATAATTGAAGGTTGGTTCACAATGAATTGCGATGTCAGCGCGTGCCATGTGAAGTCAAGTTATCGTAAGTTTAAGAAAAATTTATCCTAAAGTTGCTATGGCCTCACACGGCTTATTTAAAAAAATCTTACCTAGTGCTCTTCATCATAAAGACTATCAATTGCTGTTCATAGTCACACAAGTTGTACGATTTGGGAATGTGAACCGCGCACACCTCATAGATTGATGTGTTTTTTTAAAAATCGAACATAGGGAAATTACATTGCATGCAAACTCCTATGTTCGTATTGAAAAAAAATTCACTGTATAGATGATTATAGTTTCAAGAGACAAGATGATATTCTTGCTTTGTCAAATCCTGTGTTGGTTCCCGCCGACACTGTGCAGCGGCGCCACTTGCTACACTCTAATTGTTGATTTACTGTCCGCCAAGATACAGACTTTATTTACAAAAAATATGATTTCATTTGTTTGGGGTAATGTTTAGAAGTAACATCTAAAAAACTGTCGGTTTACTTTTTCCATAAATCGTCTTGATGGAGAGTAAAAAAATAAAACAGATTAGCGCAATAATCGGTGCAAAACATCTAATCTTTAAACAATCGGTATTCAGTTCCTATAAACTTTTTTAAAAAAATAATCCGAACATTTTGTAGATATAGGTCTAAATTTATGAAATAGTTCTTAAAAACATTTTTTTGAAAAACAACTTGAGTTCTCATGGCGGGCGCTCTTATGGAAATTTACATTGGGTGTAGTGGGTACAGAAGACTTAACGAGCGGCGTTCTGGTAGTACTTGTTAACGATCCTCGAGATCGTTTATAATTTTGTATTGCTGTCTGTCTGTCTATCCGTGTGCACCATAACTTTGTGTAGAGACGTCCGATCGCTTTGAAAATGGCTACACATGTTTTTCAAGATATAAGAAAGGTCGCTATTGTTTTTCGGCTACGTAGACTAACGAGCCAAAAAGTTACATCTCAAAAACTGCCCAAACCTCCAAAAAAGGGCTTCTTTTATAATTATTGTTACAAAGAACATATGAATGTCCGGTTTTCTGTTATTAAATATTCCTTAAACCTCAAGTAACTATGCAGATTAAAAAAATTGCGCATCCCGCAACCCAACTTTTGTATTTGCGCAATCCCAATTTTTTATCTGTTAAGATATTTAAATGAAATGTTTTTTGTTAAGATATTTGAATGAAATTTTGTATGTAGGCACCTCAAATAAAAGTAAAACTGATGCCGAATCAAAAAATTTGTTTTGCGCATGCGCTATTTCAAATTTTTTATTTGTTTAGATATTTAAATGAAATTTTGTATATAGGCACCTCGAATAAAAATAAAAATAATGCCGATCAAAAACTTTATTTTGCCCAATTTTTGACATTTTCGGTAGTTATGAACCTAATTACATGAAATTTTGTATGTATGCATCTCTAATAAAAATAAAACTAATGCCGAATCAAAAAATTTGTTTTGCGCATGCGCTATTTCAAATTTTTTATTTGTTCAGATATTTAGGATGAAATTTTGTATATACAGACCTCGAATAAAAGTAAAACTATTGCCGATTCAAAAATTTGTTTTACAAGCTATGTTGATCTGGTGGGACAGAATCAACTTCTTAAGGTGTGTTGTAAAAATGATGTCTGTGCGAAGTTCTCAAGGATTGTTCGGTATTCAGTTGTATTGGATTTTTCTTTTTAACATGGATGTAGGGCCATTGACTTTGTGTGGTTTGATGTTGCCAAAAAAACAAGAGCATAGCGAAAACACTTATATGTACTGGAAAAAAATGAATTTTAATTTCTCTGTACACAGAAACTCGAAAAATATGACAGTGTGTGCACAATTTTTAAAGCGGAAATCTGTGTTATATTTGTCAATCCTTTGGAATCATTTAACTATATTTTTGAGTAACTCAACTTCTGAAAATCGTCCAGGAGATGGAATTTCTTGGAACATTTTGGAAATATTTCGTTGACTTATGGCATCTTCTTGAAATTTTGAAATTCATTTACACTTTTAACAGAATCATTTGGAATAATCTTGCAGTTATATGCAATTTAAAAGATTTTTGAAGCTTCTGTTGCTTGGCTTGTTAGCACGATAACGTAGTAAGGAAAATTGCTATCACTTGACATGGTTATAGGTTTCTTCTCAGAATGTGGTAAGCAGAAATTTGAATAAGCTCAGGATCTTCCCATAGATGATAGATTATAATTGAACTGAAAAAAAATCCAAAAAAAATAACAAAAATATCATTTGGAAATTCAGTACCAAAGAATTCAAATAAAGAAAAATTCGCAACATTTTAGGGAAATTTTAGAGAAATTTTAAAAATATGAAAAGTTTTTGACGATACAAAAATTCTGAAAAATAATTGTAAGGATTCACGTTACCATACGAAGAACAGAAAGATCAAAAAATTCGGAAACATTAAACACAATTGGAATTCAGGCGATTGCGAAAAAAGAGAAGAAAGACAAGATCTACAAAAATATAAGAAAACTACAAATTTATGAAAGTTCAAAAATGTTGAAAAACGGTAACAGGCTTTCCTTAAACATTCGAAAAAAGGTATTGGAAAATCAAACATTTAGAAATATTTCCAAAATTAAAAAAATGTGGAAACTAAAAAATTAAAGTTACATAAAAATTCAAAAAATGAAAAAATTAGATAAATAGAAAAAATTATACAAATTCAAAAAATCGGAAAATTAATGAAAGAGAAATCATAGCTAATTCTAAGTAGCTAAAATTACACGTGCGAGCGAAAGTACTTTAATATTAATATTAAAATCAATTTGTATAATGGGCTTTAAAATTGCCAACACCAACAACACGACTAAAACACATGCAGAAAAACACCGCAAATACACTGATATAGCTTTCAAACTTGTAGGTCATGTTAAAGACGTTAAAAAGGCGAAGGGAGAACTTTTGGTCGAGACTGTTTCAAGTAAACAGTTGAGGCAACTTATGAAATGGACGCGTTTCAGTGAATTTGAGGTCGAGCTTGTACCTAATGGAATGCTTAACACGTCTAGAGTTTTAACAAACCGTTAGTGATTTTTTCTCAGCTTTCTGATAGCGCTAAAAGAAAATTTTTATCACTTATGAGTTTCGAATAAATCACATCAACTTTAGTATTTCTTATGGACGCCATATTGGATTTTATGTCATTCGCTAGAGAGAAAAATTGCAAAATCAAGGAGACTTAATATTTTATTTGGGAAACAACCTTGCATTTTTGCCTGTTTACAATGGCATGGTTATGGCAATAATTCCATGGCCGTGCCCATGGTGACTATGCAAGACAATCTACGAGCAAAAAAATAAGAGGAGAGAAACTTGCATTGCAGGAGCATGAGACAGAAATGGATATAAAGGAAGTTATAAGAGTGGGTGGAAACGCGTCATCATTGGCAGTGGTGTAATAAAACAAAGCTGATATCGTCTCTTCTGTTTTATGATAAATCAATTCGACATAACTGACCAGCGCAAAGGAAGTAATGTGATGGCGACTTCCGTCGCGTGCTATGGTATTTCCCACCACCGTTATATTCTCTCCTCTTATTTTTTACTCGTAGGAGACAATAAACGAACGAATTTGGGTTTAATAATAACAAATACCTTAATATAATAATACAGGAAACTCGCTACTATTTGCATTTGCGTCATGCGAGACACGCGAACGAGCGCCATCTACACGGCCCGGTGTGAAATGACCAAAAATTAAGGAGGAAATTAATTATATTACCAAGGTTATTTAATATATAAGATGTGTGATATTACTAAATACCTTAATTTTATTTATTTATTCATAACAATAACAAAGCACGTAGAATCACCAAAAAAGTTCAAACCGTCATGGAGCTGTAATTTGCGACCGGATTTCAAAGTCAGTTTCCTGTATTAATATACTAAGGTATTTGATAACAATCAGCCATGGAATTATTGCCATAAGAAATGCATTGTAAAATACTTAATGACACTGTAGCGTCTTAAATTTCAAGATACTTAGAAGGATTTTCTACAATATTTAAGCACTTTACAACGATTCTTTGTTTAATTTAAAATTTACAGGTCCGAATGAGTGCGATTACGTACCTTCAAAGAGCATTACTGGTTCACGACTTACAAACGCTCACCGGTCCCGAATGGGAAGCGTGCTTCCACAGAGTGCTATTCCCACTACTCTCACTACTACTGCAACCGATAGGGCCGAGCGACGCGCAGTTCTTGGAAGAAACGCGAATGCGTGCCGCAACCGTCCTCTCAAAGGTATATCAAATCGTCCACGATAATTTTTAGCTTAGCACCCAATCTGCAGGTATTTCTCCATCACTTAACCCCATTGCTTTCGTTGCCGACATTCACGCAACTTTGGATAACGATATTAGATTTCATGGATAAATACATGCACGCGGACAACAGCGACTTGCTTTACGAGGCCATACCCGAATCGCTAAAAAATATGCTGCTGGTGATGGATTCGGCTAAGGTCTTCGAGGGGCAAGAAGGACCGGGTCAGCTGTGGAGCATTACGTGGGAGAGAATAGGGCGGTTTTTGCCGCATATGAAAGAGGAATTGTTTAGGGAGAGAGATCAAGAGAATTTAAAGGAAGAAGTTGTGCAGGTAAGTCATATATGAAATCATGTAGCTTTATTGGGGTTGGGACAAAATTTTGTGGGAGACACGACAAAGGCAGGAGTAGATTAGTTGCATTAAGTACCTAAAATAATCTTTTGCATGATATTATGAAACATTGAACCAATGAAATGTCATCTTGAGTCGATTCAAGTCTCTCTGGGTTGGGCTTATTTCAAGGTTAGAAATTGAACGGCTGTTTATTTATAGAACCACTTGTAGGTTCAACATCAAACTGAGCAACCATCAATAACAACCATTCAACACAATATTGAAAATGCAACAAGATCTAGTATTATTCTTCTACCTCCTTCCAGTGAGCCTAACATCGCTTCACCTTTGTTTGCTCATTTGGGACAGGTATGCAATTTTTCCCCGTAATCACCAACTCACAAAGTTCATTCGTTACAGATGGTGTCGACCCCGATAGGCGCGCCAACCTACGCTGAAACGAGTCCGACGTTTGCTGTTCCAAACTCGCCCATTTTACAGACGACGCAACCGCAAATCGCCACTCAACCGACGTCCGGCTTGCAGATTCAACCGACAGTTCCTTACGCGATGCCAAATTTATTAGTCAATTCGTCCAACGAAGGGCACACATTTCCAGTATTATACAATAAAAGCTTCACCGAATCGCAACCCGTTTCCTTATACTCACAATATATAGACAATCCGTACAACTGCCCACCTCCGCAAAACACAACTGCAACGGATAACGATAATTCCACCGTTACACAAAACGATACCACGACGGATACCAATTCGAAGAATATAGCCGAAGATAACAATTCGAATTACGAGAGTAACATCAGTGAAATTCAACCGAATAACATTTTTCAATCGGCGAACTACTTCTGTTCTGGCTCGGAATTTATACCGCCCGGTTCCGAAATTCTCTTCGCATCTGAACAAAAAAATCAAAGCTCGTTATTGAACAACGTACCGATTATATCAAGTGTGAACATCAATCAATAGGTCAATTAACGCATGATTGTTAGTGTCATCTAGAAAATTTGTTTATGTGAATATTTTGTACGCGATTGAGTGAGAGGGTGAATTGTTTATTTATATTGTATCATTTTTATTTGTTTTTGAATAATTTATAAATTGTATTTCTAATTGTATAAAATCTATAATGCATAGGCTGATTAGAAAAAAGACTTCTATTGAGAATTTGTATATACTTCATGAATAGTATGTAAATATATTGTGTATATTACAATGTTAAAGGTGTTGTATTTATTAAAAGGAAAGGCGCATTTCCTAAAAATAAGAGGAATCTAAAAAGGGTTTCCTTAGCAGCAACTAAGAATTATCTTTTGAATAGTATTTATGGAGTGGAGAAACTTCTTTTAATTACAAAAAATGTCTCATTTACCGCTTACCCATTCAAACATGGAAATTTTTATAGTAGGCTTCTCTATGGTACAATAAGACAAAATAAATTGGGACATCCCGCTGAACTTTGTTTCCTTCGTAATGAACTTTAAATGGAATTCGAATATTATTGATTTCAAAAAATAAATTGTCTGAAAAGACTGGTCACAAATTCAGGTTTTTTTTTCGATAATAATACAAATAAACACAATAATTTACATAAATCTTCAACGGCTTTATGATCTCTCGTTTTGAATTTAAATGATAATATGAACGAATGGAACTTTTATGGGACGAAATTCTTTCGTTGATGTGTTCTTACAGCTACGGAGTTAGATCAATACGCTGGGGAAGTTAACAATTCATTTCTTCAAATGCATTCTTAAAACCCGACAATATGAATACTCCAACAGCTCTTGGAATGGGACCTCTTTGATGATGATCAATTGAATTTCAGATTTCGATTGTTGATTTTTCTGGTCAGTACAGATTTGGGTTCGTAAAAATAAACGAGCACTAGCTTAAATTTACTTTTAAGGGTTTGTTCTTGAATTTTAGATTTAATGTGTGGGAAATCCCTTTTGCGGACCTTCCCCCTTGGTTAATTTTCACTTTAGCGGTACCAAAATGAACATGAATATTACCATTGTATATATTGGCCCGTATGAATAAAAGTAAGCAAATGCTTATACTTGCAAAATTCAAAGTAAATACTCGTAAGTGCTCTTTCGCACTGGGCGACTTAGCAGCGCTTCTAAGCAGAAGGACAGGACGCAGTGCAGCGCTGCTAAACCATGCTAAACAAACCAGTATGAAGGGGCAGTTACGAGTATTTACTTTGAATTTTGCAAGTATAAGCATTTGCTTACTTTTATTCATACGGGCCATTATCTAACTTTGCGGACAGTTTTCTTTATCGCAATTTCAATTTACACGGGATATTAAAGTATCTAACTTAAATTTGTGGTACTACTAACGGGCGCGAAAATACGCACGTAAATTTCACTAAGGGTAGCGAAAACTAAAATACGCTTTTTCTATTATAATCCAAGATGGGAACTTCACTATTTTACGTGATTTTTTCTACTGGGGCAAAATGATAAATTCCAGAAAACTAGTGGATAAAAGGGAGACTGATGGTCGCGTTTACCTGGATTATTTTCTTTTCTTTGATCTCGGCGAATACCGAACGCTGATTCGAATTACCTGGACTCTAAAAGCCGCTTTACGAAAAATGCCGTACTGACCAAACGCAAATAGTTCTATCCAGCTCTAGTGTTCCAATGCTAAACCTTTCTGGTTGACTGACAAAACCAGAATCCCTAATTTCGTGCAAAGCTCATCCTCTATATACTAAACTGACTTTAAAACGCCTATTTCATGGTGGAAAGCAATATGGCGGCGATATTTCGTTAATTTTCATTGGTTTGCCAACAATAACATCTTGAATATGACATATACTTAATGAATATTTGTTTGGTTGATTGTGATTGAAACCTTGACCGTCTTTAAGTGTAGAAAACTTTCCCTTCTGCATATTACAATGGCATAAATTCGCAAAAAAATTACGTAAAATCACCTTTTCGTTACAACACTTGACTGACTTAACGTTCCCAGCCGCTTGGCTTTGTCGCGTACCTTGCCATTCAGCAGCGCGATAGTCGTGCGGCTAAAAATCGCCAATGTGAAGCAGATGACATTTATCCTACGAGTAAAAAATTATCAAAGTCCTCGTTTGAGATCGAAGGGACTTCAGCGCATTTTTGTGTGGCAGATCAGTATTCTATTAGCCACTTTCGATTCAACCATCAATAACAGATCTTGTCGAAGGCTACTACATTCACTAACCGCTTCCCACTTTCCTCGTGCACCCGCAATTCGCTTTTAAAGATTTGACTCCACCATCAGGAAGATCGTGTCGGGGGCTACCACATTCCCTTTGACGGTACCCACTTCCGACGTTCGGTTCACCCGCAATTCGCGTTTGAAGATTTGACTCCACCATCAGGAAGATCGTGTCGGGGGCTACCACATTTCCTTTGACGTTACCCCCTTCCGACGTCCCGTTCGCCCGCAATTCGCGATTGAAGATTTGACACCACCATCAGTGAGATCGTGTCGCGGGCTACCACATTCCCTTTTACGGTACCCACTTCCGACGTCCCGTTCACCCGCAATTCGCGTTTGAAGATTTGACTCCACCATCAGGAAGATCGTGTCGGGGGCTACCACATTCCCTTTGACGGTACCTCCTTCCGACGTCCCGTTCACCAGCAATTCGCGTTTGAAGATTTGACTCCACCATCAGGAAGATCGTGTCGGGGGCTACCACATTCCCTTTGACGGTACCCCCTTCCGACGTCCCGTTCACCCGCAATTCGCGTTTGAAGATTTGACTCCACCATCAGGAAGATCGTGTCGGGGGCTACCACATTTCCTTTGACGGTACCCCCTTCCGACGTCCCGTTCACCCGCAATTCGCGATTGAAGATTTGACTCCACCATCAGTGAGATCGTGTCGCGGGCTACCACATTCCCTTTTACGGTACCCACTTCCGACGTCCCGTTCACCCGCAATTCGCGTTTGAAGATTTGACTCCACCATCAGGAAGATCGTGTCGGGGGCTACCACATTCCCTTTGACGGTACCTCCTTCCGACGTCCCGTTCACCACCAATTCGCGTTTGAAGATTTGACTCCACCATCAGGAAAATCGTGTCATCAGTGAGATCGTGTCGCGGGCTACACATTCTCTTTTACGGTACCCACTTCCGACGTCCCGTTCACTCGCAATTCACTTCTATTGGCGACACGAGAAAGAGAGACAGCGATTCGAGATTCACGAAACGATAAACCGCGTGAGTTCGCAACGGAAGGTAAAAGGCGCCCGAAGTTGACTACTTCTCGAAGACGCGCGCGCGCGCCTCGCAAAAGGTCGTTAATTTCGCCCCTATGACAAAAACAAAAATTCCGCCACGCAGGAGTTGTGCGCGTTTACAACATCTTTCCGACGACACCAATTTCAAAAGAATCGGACCAAAACTGTAGTAGAAGATAGGAAAAAACTGAAAAACCTTCACGTTAGTATACTACGCTCGAGGATGACGCCCAGATGTCGCCAACCCCACATCATGTAGCCATGTCCCTAAGGTTGACAAATTTCACGGCCCTGTAGATACACGTACACCCGTTGCCTTTCTACAAGAGTTCTTCTACGCGCCCACATTTGCTGCCAACCAGCCAGCCAGCCAGCCAAAGTGAGATTAAAAGCTACTTTTTACAAAAAAAAATTTTTGCAAAAATGCGCTAAAAATAGAAGGAGAGAACCTTGCATATTAAAAGGGCACGAGACGGAAATGGGTAAAAAGGAAGTTATAAGAGTGGAGGGAAACGCGTCATCATTGGCAGTGGCGTAATAAAACAAAACTGACATCATCTATTCTGTTTTAGTCTTATAGCGTTTTCGATTGGCAAAACTCGTACTGCACGAGTGTTGCACGAGAAACTGAAGAAATCCATGTGAAAATTGCTCTCAATGGAACATAAATATTCGTAAATATTTGCTGTCATTTGTCCATAACCTCATTTTAGATTTGTATTTATGCAATGATTTAGGTAATCGACAAATCTGTATTCTAAAAAATGACTGAAACGATTTCACTATTATTTATGAATTATGATAAACAATGAGGAATATAAATTTGAAATTCCTGTAAAGAACCAATTTTTGGTGTTCACTTTAAAGAGTAAATGCAACTTTTTGTAAAGTAGAAGTTATATGGCTAGTTCATCATCTTCGCTATCGCTAGATGACAACAAAAAACTCTCCAACGCAAGAAACAAATTCAAATGGGCGCACTTTTATTTTGAAAATTTGCTCCACGAGCTCTCCGACCTCGTGCGTCAAAATTTGCATTTAGTGCGTAATTGTTGCATCACATTTGCCAATGGAACACAGAAAATTGCCCTAAAATTACCAATAGAACGTAAAAATTGCACTCATGCAGCACGAGTTTTGCCAATCGAAAACGCTATTAGACCATACAGTACATGGACTGCTAAAGGCCAATTCACATTGTCGGTCAGATCACGGTGCGCTCAATTATTGCAGCGTGTATTTCTATGGACATGTTCTGACCGTCAAATGTGAATATTCCTATTGAAATAGCATGTTACAATATTTAGAGCAGAGCGTCGCCTGATAAAAGAAAAACATAGTCCATGGCTATTTAGACCATATACAATGGTTAGACTAAAAACTCGTGAAAACAGAATTTTTATAATTAATTTTTTCGCGTACAAGAAGAGGTAGAATAATCGTTCCACATGATTTAGATGCAGAATTTATATCTCTATAACTTTTATTTGAAGTATTTTTGCGTAAAATAATTAGGAAACGTTTGCGCAAAGAAAAAGTAATTTCCCATGTTAAACGCCTATGTTCCACTTTTCGATTTACACCCTGAACAACTGGGGCTAAGGATCACATTGTATTGTACATACAAGACGTATAGAGCTGTACAGTGGGTTGCATAACTACTCACAATCTTCGATCAGCAATAAATATCCTTGATAGCATTTGCAACCGTAAACAGGAACAGGGTTCTATTCTAAAGATAGGAAACGTTCCGCACGTGTTGCGCCGTAAACAGTGTTGCCATCTATAAAATACGAGATAAATAACACCGTTTTTACCGGCATATAAAACATGCTCTGCTCTAGCTAACAGAATTTCTTTTTGTGTTGGACGTAATGTGATTTATACACGCCAACATAAATTTTTTGTGATACATACTTTACATTGATTATTTCGTCTAATTGTTAACGGTACGTATTTGTTAATGTCACTTACTGCGACAAACAATCCAATACTTTTCCTGAATAATTTAATTAATAATTATTTATGGCCGTTCTCCCAATTTCATGTTGTAGGTCAAGAACTAAAGTGTCAGAAGTTGTCTTATTTATTTAAAGTTCGACGTGTTTCGTTGTGCATCAATTTGTAATCGACGGTCATTGGGAAACATCATTAAAGTTTAACAGAAATATCCGGAGACACCCAAATCCTTTTTCGCAGGTGATAGTGTTTGTCTAAAACTTGCTAAGCAAATTAGCACTTGTTGTGCTTGTGACAATTACCTTTCTTTGATTAACGAAATTAGTGCTAGCAGGGCTTTTGTGGTAGGTACCTAATGAAAATTTGATTTTGAAGAATGACAATTTGAAAATTTGAGGTTATGACCGTGAATGTTACAAATATTCGCAGCTTCACCTTTCAGTGTTAAATATAGAAGCATTCCCAATGCTAAATTGTGACTTTAGTTTCATTTTTGTGAGAGATGTTCGCTTTCTTACTCTATTTTGGAGTAGCATAGTCTTATAAGAGGTATCTAGGCAGATGACAATTACTTGTGATGACTTTTTTTGATAATTATTTTCGTAAATTGGTAATTTTTAACCCTTTTATTGATTGTTATGCAAGTGAGAATTTTATTACTTAACCTTTAGTCATTTTGCTCTAATCCCACTTGTTTCGCTAACGATATAATTATTTTCAGTGTTGCTGGAGTATGCCCAATTTTAGTCCAGAAGGTCAATATATGAAAACAAATGGGGCGATCAATCCCGAACGGGTAGTCATCTTAGATGCCGGCGCACAATATGGAAAAGTTATAGATCGGCGGATTAGAGAGCTGTCCGTAGAGTCCGACATATTACCGTTAGACACACCCGCGTTTAATATTAAGGAAGGCGGTTATAGAGCAATAATTATATCCGGGGGACCGAACTCTGTGTATGCGGCCGATGCGCCTCGATATGACGCCGATATATTTAGAATAGGCTTGCCAGTTTTAGGTAAGTAAGAGGAATGTAGTGCGTAATGACAGTTGTTTTTGTATAGGAATATGTTATGGTATGCAAATACTGAATAAGGAATTCGGTGGCACAGTTTTAAGAAAAGATGGAAGAGAAGACGGTCAATTCCCTATTGAAGTGGATCCAAAATGTTTACTTTTTAAGTAAGTTTTTTTGTGTGTACTTTTGTAGCAATACATATACAGAGTGATCAAGAAATTGACTAACAAGCAGAGGGCTAGATTTTTGTGCAAAAAGACTACAGAAATATACATCGTGGAAGTAGATAGGCCTTTGAAGTTGGTTTATCATTTCTGCTCAAGGCTATTACAGTTATTATCAACTAATTAAAATATATCATAAAATTTGGCATTTACTAGCATAAAATTATAATTACAAATGTGCTATCATAGTGGTTTGTGGTTTTCAAGGTCACTGGATTAGTAAAAATCATAGGTTTGATACCGTTATCCCTATTATTGCCATGGTAAGATATATTCTAATTGATTAACTTTGACCAACAGAAACTGAAAATTAAAAGTTAATTATAAACTTATCACAATAATTCTGGGGATTTTACAGTTAAACCTGAATAAATGCTTAAAAGTTTCCTAAAATTCCATAATGGGCTTCCGCTACTAAAAAATGGCGCCCACCTCTTTTATTAAATACTGTCGAAATGTGTCATCATCATTTCTACAATTTATACCAAATTTTTCATTACCTTGACATTGGGAAATGTGATGAATTTCTTAATTTTGTCAAATATTGTGGTCATCTAAGTCTTCCTTTTCATGGGCCGGTACTAATAAAAAACCGAAAAAACTGTCCAACTGCTTGGCATAATGCAGTGAAATTAATAACAGCTCCGCCTCTTTTTTCATGCAGTGTTGCCACTTTTCTCAATTACACGTATAAAGATTGATTTGGTTCATTTACTACCTTCTGCAGAAAGTTAGTAAGTTTTCTGGAGCATAGGAAAACAATCTTTCAAAGATTATTTTCGTATGAAAGATTTTTCGTTGTGTTCTTTTTTTTTGTATTTAATTTTCATGTTAATGATGTATGTTTCAATTATCAGGAATTGTTCTTTGTTCATTTTGAACTTTTTTTAATCATTGTATCTCAGTTTTTGGTATTTAATTTAAATTAATTTTCGGTTGTGTGTAAGAGCTTATTTGTTCCTGAACGACGTCGTTTATACAGGGTGTTTCGAAATTTGCGCGTGGGATGGTGTTATACAACGAAAACTGAATAAAAAGTTCCTCTACCAGTTTTTGATCAGATCAGCACTTTTTTTTACGTGCTGAAGCTTGTGTACTAGCAGACATTTTGAACAACTGTTGTAATTACGTACTCCTCATAATTATAGTTTATTTTGAACCTTCTTTTATTTTTAAAAATGTGTTATTAAGGTTAACCAGTGGCGCAGCGTAGGGGGGGCGGAGATTTTTAAAACCGCGGTAACTCAAAAAATAGCGGTCTGATGGAAAATTGATAGAGGAACTTTTTGTTCAGTTTTTGGTCGTATAACATAGTCCATGTGCGCGAATTTCGAAACACCCTGTATAATCATTTTTTTCCTTTTAAGTATAGTGTAATAAAGTCATTACTATATTATTATTATGTAATAGATATCAAAACATAACGATCAAAAACAAGTAAACTCTTTTGACATCTTCACTCAACCTAAATCATAAATTTTTTGGTGGCACTCGCTTTGCTTTTCCTTACAAAAAAGTGAAATTCAGATAGTTCCCGCTAATGTGGTGTGCAACGGGTGTCAATTTTTCATCTTTCTTGCCTTGAATTATTACCAAACTATTGATAAACTTCTAATTACCTCGAATTCTTTCTCTGATCATTCGCCCATCTATTCGTGCCATAGCTATTCCCAATTTTTAAGATATTTAACCTTGTTTTTGCGTTCTGTGTTTTATCTAAAATTTTGATTATATAACTTATGGTAATGGCTCTTGCACAACAAAATATCACCGTTCATCATCTGTTCAGTTTGATTAAAATATGATACTGAAAAAGGTTAGGTAAAGAAGTCATCGGACCTAACCTCATTTTTGGATGGAACACCCTGTATATTTTAATCTAAAAAGAAAGCATATTAAATTCTCTTCAAAAAGATTTTTGGATTTTTTAATGTTATATTTTTGAAAATAGGATTTAATATGCTTTCTTTTTAAATTACAATGCACAGTGAGTTGACCGTTAATCACCTAGAAATTGAAATATAATACCAGAAAAATGGGACACTAAAAAAAATTGGGGTCATTGACCATTAATGACCTTGAAATTGAAATACATATACCGCAAAAGTGTTTTGGTCACTAATGGCGAATTGTACCATTAAAATTAAACCTCGCTTAAAGTTGCAAAGGATTATTAAGACAATGGTTGCTATGACACTTAAGTTATGCTTAATACTTAATTTTGATGGTGCAATTGGCCATAATTGTTTCCATATATTGGTAGCAAATAACAAAATTTAAATGCGCCCGCGCTGACAAAACTTTTTCGCCCTCCCGAATGTATTAATGAACTTGAAAAAAAGGCGCTGTTTTGTAAAGTGGTCAGATCTAAAACCCTGAGACGTACGAACAGATTTCACGTAGTTATAAGCTTAATTTTTTTTCTAAAATGGTAAAAAACTAACCACTGTCAGCGCCAAACGTATGTACAGTCTTTGACAAAAGTAATGATCGCCTCTACAGAATAAGCAACAAACATGTGTATCACATTGGACTCTGTCGGTTTCTTCAAGCAGGAGATGCCTTAATTTGTTGATTCTCATTTCCAAGTTGCACAATATATTCAAATGTTGGTTGCGTATATGATGCAGGATTTACCACTTGGCGGTCATTACTTTTGTCAATGACTGTACATTGTACAGGGTGGCCAACTAAGAATGCGAGGTACTGTATCTGAGAATCTATCCATTGTAGAGGCTTGCGGTAAAAAAATTTTTACTAAAACGGCCACGAGCAAAACCTGAAAAATATTTGTAAGTTTCTGAAATGACCGCTAGGGGGCGTAACTGCAATCTGGAATCTTAAAAAGTGATTTTTCTGTGAATTCTGCTATATTAACCTAACAAAAAAATGTCTGGTCTTTGAAGTCGACGATAATCTGAACAATTTTTATTTGACAATTTTTCCTGTATATCTAAAAATGAAGTGGTGGGGGATATTCAAAGGCTTCCGTAAAGAACCGATTTAAACAAACTCGGGTTAGTTCAAGAGCTATTCTTCAGCTACAAATATTATACTACATATTTGAAGTTTTGCTAGTTTCACATATCACCGCTTGAGGGCTTTTTTCGACATTCCGACAGAAATGGTTAATTTTCTCAAAAAAATTAAATGCATTGGTTCGATTTTTTTTCATGAAAATGTAGCTAAATGGTGCCTAAACAAGCTTGCGAAAACAGCATCTCGATTTTTTTACCGCAAGCCTCTACGATGGACATGTTTCTAGATACAGTACCTCGCATTCTTATTTGGCCACCCTGTACACTCCAGTTTGAAACTCGCAAAACTCTGATGTGCCATTTTTCAGCGCATTTTTGATGCGTGTTTATTGTTGAAACGCCAAATTTACGGCATTCTGTTATCGGTCGATTTATAAAAGGTGCCCGAACAAACGAGTATTCGGCCGATTGATAATAATTAATAAAACTATAATCTTCTTTTGAAAATGAAAAATTCGCTAAAAATGATTGTTTTACAGTTTTGAACCAATGGCACATTTTGCACCATTTTGAGTGCTTAAATGAGCTACTATTTTTATACAACAATTTTATTAGAATTAAAATAAAACTTACAATTTCACTAGACTACTATAAAGGCATAGGAGCATATTTATGTCTACCTCCACCACATCTGTGTGTGATGTAGCAGATTAATAGCATTCAGACTAAGTAATGCAGGAATATCTTGATAGTACGAATCTATTGCTGAAAACCCTAAAGTTCTACAAAGTTCCGTTGCCGAGATACAGGTCGATATATAAAAGGCGACCTTTGAACGAAATTCATAATGACCTGTTTTCAAACTAGGCGATGTAGGAATAACTCATTAGCACGAAGCTAATGCTATACGATGTTCCGTTGCCGATATCTCGATTGATTTATAAAATGATTGATCCCTTTCAAGGAAATTCGTAAATTGTGACTTCTGCTTGCCGAGTATTTCATGCAGGAATAACTCGATAATACTAATCGAATGCTGAAAACCTCAACAGTGCGGTATTCGGTTGCAGAGATCTCAATCGATTTATAAAAAGCTTATTAACTGCCGACAGTTAGTGGTACTATTAGCTCCTTTTTGACAGTCAAAAATGCGCTGAAAGGTTTGTCATGTTTGATTGGACTTGCTATCAAAGTTGGTGTAATTACGTGCTGGATATTTACAATTAATTAACAATAAATTTATAACAGTCTTGAAATGAATGGATTTATGACAGTTAAGCATTATGCGGATCACTCTGTAATTGGGCGATAGCTTGTTGAGGGCCCAGAACAAGAGAGATTTGCTTATATAGTCAAGTTGTCCCAAGTGACCAAAAGTCTTCTCAAATTCTAAAACAAAGCACGTCATATTTCCCGGAAAGATTGCGTCACATCCGCCTTCGTTCTTTATCGCTGATGACTAATCTTTCACTGTGCCTCGATGTCTATCAGGATCCACGAACATTTACTACTTCACTTGACGATGTAATAGATTAAATCTTGCTTGCTTAACTTCTTCAGCACATTTTATTACAATACCGACGAATTTTTCACCTAAACAGGCTGACTGTCCGAAACACCACTGTCACAAAAAAATAATCTCCTTCAAAGAATTTTAACCAATCACAATTAGATTTCAATTACGCCAGCTTCGACAGAACGCGTCCCTACGTACGTCGAAATAACGCGTACATCTTCTTAAAAACTTGCTTCTCTTATCAGCGATACAACACACGTGCGTTAATTAAATTTCCCCTGATAATAAAATACTTATCGCAAACGACCCGATGTGTCTTTTCACTTTATCTAAATTGATCAATTACAAAGGCATAAAATTTAAACTTAAAGAATAGAAATAATTTCACATACAGGGTGGCCCCACCTTATTGAAGGTGCCGAAACCAAAATAACATGTACAAGAACTAGTTTACACAACAATACATTAATCAAGATGGGCTGTAATCTTGTTCGTATGTTTTAAATCATTCATTTTCTTTTTTCAGAGGATTGGATAAACTTCAAACAGTTCTTTTAACACACGGTGATTCAATTGACAAAATAGCCGATAGTTTTAGATCAATCGCGCAAAGCAGTTCGTTCTGCGCGGGAATATACAATGAGAAGCTTCACCTGTACGGGGTACAGTTCCATCCCGAAGTCGATCTCACTTTAAATGGCAAAACGATGCTAAAAAATTTTTTATTCGACATAGTCGGACTGACGGGCAATTACACGATGCAGGGACGCGAGTTGGAGTGCATTAGATACATTAAGGAGAGTGTAGGATCGAATAAAGTACTTCTGCTGGTTAGCGGCGGCGTCGATAGTACGGTGTGCGCTGCGCTTTTGCACAAATCCTTGAGGCCGGAGCAAATTATAGCGATACACATCGACAACGGGTTCTTGAGAAAAAACGAGAGCTTTAAGGTAGTCAATTCTTTGCAACAAGTTGGATTAAACCTACGGGTAATTAATGCAGCCTCGGCATTTATGGAGGGTACAACCGTTGTTCCTTTAGACAAAAGTGAGAGCAACTTGAGAACGCGAATCACCAAAATGCTATGTCAAACGACAGATCCCGAAGAGAAACGAAAGATCATCGGTGACGTATTCGTTAAGATCACGGACGAAATTATTTCCGAACTAAACTTAAAACCCGAAGACGTCCTGCTGGCACAAGGAACACTTAGACCCGATCTGATTGAGTCCGCGTCTCATTTGGTGTCGTCTAAGGCTGAAACAATTAAGACCCACCATAATGACTCGGATTTAATAAGGAAGCTACGGGCCGATGGGCGTATTGTCGAGCCGTTGAAAGATTTTCATAAGGACGAGGTTAGAATATTGGGGAAGGATTTGGGATTACCTCCCGACTTGGTTATGAGGCATCCATTTCCCGGACCCGGTTTGGGCATCCGAGTTTTGTGCGCCGAAGAACCGTACATGGAACGCGACTTCTCCGAAACTCAAGTGCTTGTTAAAATCATCGTGGAATTTGACCAAATGTTGCAGAAGAAGCACGCGCTCTTAAATCGAGTGGAGGGTGTAACTAGCGACGACGAAAGGTAACCCATAAAAGACGGCGCCGATTTTTCTAATTAATTTCGTTGCAGAATGACTTTACGTAGAATATCAAGTAAACAGAAATTATCGGCGACTCTATTGCCTATACGTAGTGTAGGGGTGCAAGGAGACTGTCGTACGTATAGTTATGTAGTGGGTATCTCTAGTGAACACGATCCGGACTGGAACGATTTAATGTTCCTCTCTCGCCTTATTCCAAGAATATGTCATAATATTAATAGAGTGTGTTATATTTTTGGTGGACTTGTTAAGGAAATTATACCCGATCTTACACCTACGCATTTAACATGTCAAGTGTTGAGCACCTTGAGGCAAGCGGATGACTTGGCAATGGGGGTATGTTATATTTAATATCGCCATTGTATTTAAAAGGTTACAGTAGTGTCATGGTGTACGTTGTTTGGCTCCTCCCCACTACAGGTTGCCTTGATTTTGATGTCCCGATAGCAAATATGTTTTTATTGGTAGATCCCTATTCATGCTATTGGGTAAACTGTAAATTCCTTACGCAATGAATGACCGTTTATATACAGGATGTCCTAACTAAAATATCACCCCTTAATAAATCAGAACAGAAATTGCTCAAACATGTTAAGGTTTTTGTAATTTTTGCGAAGATTACATGCGCATGCGCGATTCTACCCAAAAGATATGTGTACCAAATTTGTTTGCAATCGGTTCAACTGTTGAGCCAGCCGGAAATGAGAGTACAGACCTACATCATCGAGATTTTGTTTGATTCAGATTCTTGTTGTTTCAAAAATCTCTAAATGCACAAAAAGAGAGAATGCTGGCGCATTAAAAAAAATCAAATTTTAGAAAGTGAAATAAAAATCATGTAAGGAGCTTTCAAAATGTTTACCTTAAACCATTTGCCCTTTTTTTAATTTCTGAGATTTTTGTAATAGTTCTACATGTTTAAAGTAAGACAAAAAACCAGAGGATGCTTGACATATTAAAAAAAATCAAATTTTAGGGAGTTTATTAAATTCATTTGGGACAAACATAGATAAAAGAAATGGAAGGAGCTTTCAAAATGTATTCCTCAGATCGTTGGCCTTTGTTTTAATTTTTGAGATTTTTGTTACACAAAAACGAGAAAATGCTTGAAATATTCCAAAAAAAAATCAAACTTTAGGGAGTTTGTTCAATTAACTTGGGACAAAGAGAAATAAAAGACTGGATGGAGCGTTCAAAATGTTTTCCTCAAATCATTCGCCCTTTTTTTAATCTTTGAATTTTTTTCTAATAGTTCAACATGTTAAAGTGAGACAAAAAACGAGAGAATGCTTGAAATATTCTTAAAAAATTAAACTTTAGGGAGTTTATTCAATTATTTTGGTATGGAAGGGGTTCCAAAATGTCTTGCCCAAACCATTCATCTTTTTTTTTAATTTTTCAGATTTTTGAAGTGGTTCCACATGTAAAAATGAAACAAAGAACGAGAGAGTGGTTGGAATATTCCAAAAAAATGAAATCTTAGGGAGTTTATCCAATTAATTTTGGACTAATACAAAAAGACAGAATGAGGTTTCTAAATATTTTCTTCAAACCATTCGACCTTTTTTTGTAATTTTTGAGAATTTTTGTAAATATTCTAAATGTTAAAGTGAGACAGAAAACAAGAGAATGCTTGGAATATTAAAAAAAAACAATCAAATTTATGGAATTTATTGAATAAATTTGTGACAAACACATGGAAGGAGCTTTCAAAAGTCACCTTTTTGTTGATGTTTGAAATTTTTTTAATACATAGTTCTATATGCTAAAGTGCGACAAAAAACGGGAGAATGTTTGAAATATTAAAAAAAAATCAAATTCATTTGGGACAAAGAGAAATAAAAGACATGGAAGGAGTTTTCAAAATGCTTTCCTCAAACCATTCGCCCTTTTTTCAATTTTTGTAATTGTTACATGTAAAAGTGAGACAAAACCTGAGAGAGTGCTTGAAATATTTCAAAAAATCAAATTTGAAGGAGTTTATTTAATTAATTTGGAACAAAGAGAAATAAAAGACTTGGAAGGAGCTTTCAAAATGTTTTCCTCAAATCATTCGCCCCTTTTTTTAATTTTTTTCTAATAGTTCAACATGTGTAAGTGAGACAAAAAAACGAGAGAATGCTTAAAATATTCTAAAAAAATTAAATTTTGGGCAGTTTATTCAATTATTTTGGGACAAAGAGTATGGAAGGGGTTCCAAAATGTCGTCCTCGAACCATTCACCTTTTTTTTTAATTTTTCAGATTTTGTTGGTGATTCCACATGTAAAAATGAGACAAAGCACGAGAGAATGCTTGGAATATTCCCAAAAAAAATCAAATTTGAGGGAGTGTATTTAATTAAATTAGGACAAAGAGAAATAAAAGACATGGAAGGAGCTTTCAAAATGTCTTCCTCAAACCATTAGCACTTTTTTTAACTTCTGAGATTTTTGTAATAGTTCTACATGTTAAAGTGAGAAAAAAACGAGAGATTGCTTGAAATATTTTTTAAAAAATCTAATTTAGGGAGTTTATTCAATTCATTTGGTACAAAGAGATATAAAAGAGATGGAAGGAACTTTCAAATTGTTTTCCTCAAACCGTTGGCCTTTTTTTTAATTTTTGAGATTTTTGTTAAAAGTGAGACACAAAACGAGAGAATGCGTGAAATATTAAAAAAAATCAAAGTTTGTTCAATTAACATGGGACAAAGAGAAATAAAAGAAGACTGGAAGGAGCTCCTCAAATCATTCGCCCTTTTTTATTTTTGAATTTTTTTCTAGTACTTCAACATGTTAAAGTGGGACAAAAACGAGAGAATCCTTGAAATATTCTAAAAAAATTAAATTTTAGAGAGTTTATTCAAGTATTTTGGGACAAAGAGTATGAAAAAAAAGTATGGAAGGGGTTCCAAAATGTCTTCCTCGAACCATTCACCTTTTTTTTTAATTTTTCAGATTTTTGTGGTGGTTCCACATGTTAAAATGAGACAAAAAACGAGAGAATGCTTGGAATATTTAAAAAAAATAAAAATTTAGGGAATTTATTCAATTCATTTGGAACAAAGTGAAATAAAAGACATGGAAAGTTTTCAAAATGTTTTCCTTACGCCATTTGCTCTTTTTTAAATTTTTGAGATTTTTGTAATTGTTATATGTGAAAGTGAGACAAAAATGAGAGAATGCTTGAAATATTCTAAAAAATCAAATTTGAGGGAGTGTATTTAATTAATTTGGAACAAAGAGAAATAAAAGACTGGTAGGAGCTTTCAAAATATTTTCCTCAAATCATTCGCCTTTTTTTGAATTTTTTCTAATAGTTCAACATGTTAAAGTGAGACCAAAAAACGAGAAGATGCTTGAAATATTCTAAAAAAATTAAATTTTAGGGAGTTTATTCGATTCATTTGGGACAAAGAGAAATAAAAGACACGGAAGGAGTTTTCAAAATGTTTTCCTCAAACCATACGCCCTTTTTTTTTAATTTCTGAGATTTTTGTAATAGTTCTACATGTTAAAGTGAGACAAAAAACGAGAGAATGCTTGAAATATTTAAAAAAAAATTAAATTTTAAAATGTTTATTCAATCAATTTGAGACAAAGAGAAATAAAAGACACGAAATGAGCTTTCGAAATGTTTTCTCAAACCAATCGGCTTTTTTTTTAATTTTTGAAATATTTTGTAATAGTTCCACATGTTAAAAGTGAGACAAAAAACGAGAATGCTTGAAATATTAAAAAAAACAAATTTTAGAGAGTTGATTCAATTAATTGGGGACAAAAAGAAATAAAAGACATGTAGCTTTCAATTTGTTTTCATCAAACCATTCGCCTTTTTTTTTAATTTCTGAGATTTTTGTAATAGTTCTACTTGTTAAAGTGAGACAAAAAACGAGATAATGCTTGAAATATTAAAAAAAATCAAATTTTAGGAAGTTTATTCAATTAATTTGGGAGGGAGACATGGAAGGAGCTCTCAAAATTCGCCGCTTTTTTTGTTAATTTTTGAGATTTTTTTGTAATGGTTCTACATGCTAAAGTGAGATAAAAAACGGGAGAATGCTTGAAATATTCAAAAAAAAATTATCAAATTTTAGAAAGTTTATTCAATTAATTTGGGACACAGTGAAGGCATAGGAGGAGCTTTCAAAATGCTTTTCTCAAACCTTCGCCCCTTTTTTTTTATTTTATGCGAACCCATTGCAATTGGTTGCACCAACCTGTTTCTATTAAACACACCTGTTCCGACGGTCTCCTGAACTATTATTTTTAGTTTCCTACAATAACCTCTAGAGGGCGAAATAGACCCTCAAACTTGATAGTTTAGAAGTAGAACACTACTGTTATATTTTAAATACAATGATTATTCTCGCACAACGGAGGACTAAGAAAGTAATAATCTTTGTATTTTGAAGGTATTACTGATACACCCCTCCAATAGTAATATCTCAAAAGAACATTTCTGAATTGTAAAGTTTGAAGTTCAGAGCTACATTTTGATAAACAGCACCTCCGCGCCCGTCCATTTATTAATCAATTTTTGTGCACTATAGGTAATGCAGAGTAAAGGTTATAGTGGATCAATTAGTCAAATGCCTGTAATTCTTCTACCGATTCATTTTGATAGGGACCAGACCCTTAGAATACCATCTTGCCAACGTTCTATAGTACTGCGACCGTTTTGCACGCAAGATTTTATGACCGGCGTACCCGCCACGCCTGGTGTACAGTTTCCCATAGACGTAAGCCGATAACAAAAGCGAAGGTCACGTGATCACGTTGTATTTTTAGGTTTTGCAGCGGATTGTCACGGAAGTTTCACAAGTGTCGGGTATTTCTAGAGTACTGTACGATTTAACTTCAAAACCTCCAGGCACAACAGAGTGGGAATGATAAAATGTTATTCAGCACGCTTCTCCTTTTCGGATTGTGTGAAATTGTTATTAAATAGAATGGACCGATTTTAAAGTAATATTGTTTATTGCAATTTGTTAATATATCATTGTTGATATTTACTGCAGGAACCGAAAAATTTTACGTATTCATAGTATGAGTTAACTTATTGAATTACAGCAAAAAAAAAGATGTAGAAAATTTTTCAACATTGTAATATTTATGTTAAATATTAATTTTCAGATGAATAGTGTGGTTATTTATTTTATCCTTACTCGTTTGTATGTACCATTCATTTCATTAATAAAAATTCGTTTGAATATTTGGTGTTCTTGTTCATGTTTTCTTCAAATGTTACATTCTTCTACCTTTAAACTTGTAGTCTTTTAATGACTTTTTTTTCATATTTGGGAATGAAATGAACTGCACCAATTCAATGGGGTATCATCAAACATTAATTTTGGCTTATTCTGTTGTAATACTTCTAGGGGTCTCTCGAAAATGGCACTGTTATCTTGACTTAACCTATATTAACACTTGGCAACTTGGGGGGGGGGGGCGATATAAGGAGACCCATCTAACATTCAAGTTGGCTACGTTTGGCGGCATCTCGCTAGCAGTCAACTCTAACGAATGGGTCCTACGTTATATATACTGGCAGTTCATTTACGTGTTTGGGATATGAGATATAATCGGGAAGGGAATTGAATACAATGCAGAACTTTGTGCGTAAGAAGAGAACGCACATAAGGCGATGCCAGGGAAACCTTTTATGGACAAAAAACCTGGCATAACGCACAAATTCAAAAAGAAATAAATCAAGTACAACAAAATGCAAAAGAGGAAAATATACAAATCAAACGTCTCAAATCGTACAATAAAAATCAGGTGGCCAGTCGAATACAGTACATATTTAATAATACTAAAAGAACAAGACACAAGAGGCATCAAAAATACAAGCTGAAAACAATTGCAAGTACACAAAAAACGATCAAAATGATGAGGAACATCAAATTAGAGGACCCCCTTTCTCGTATATGCTAAGACGCAAAAGAAGTACCAGATAGAGCTAAGAATCGGACTGTATTAGGTAGGTACTTCCTCCACGGAATAGTTAAATCGAATCATACCAAACAGTATATACTCTTTGATCATATAGGAGCATCAACACAGATAATAAACTTCCTTGTGAATACATAAATAAATACAATCTGAAGGCATAATCACTTGCACAGAGTAACAAACATGATGGCAGTAACGGTACATAAACAAAAGCCCGAAATACGTCGCGCTTCAAAATCATGTATTTTATGTAAAGACCCGCCATTACTCCCTCTCGGCTCGGATTCGAATACCTACCGTTAGCCACTTTCTTACCATGCTTCCATATAGATATTAAAGAGTAATATTTGTAGTGTACTTAAAACCCAGGTTCTACGCTAACTTCACACTACAAGAACACGGAAATAAAGTCAGCCCGGCAACGTTTAAAAATGGCCACCGGAATGACTATTCCCTCCGAAACTAAACAAGATCCCGCTTAAATTTGAAAAGTGGCACGTGATCAAACATCTAACACAGGGCCCCTTACGTTAGTTGTAGACAACGCTTTGACCTGAAGCACAGTAGGGAAGGAACGTAAAATAAAACACTCAAATTGTGAAAAGTTTGTTTAATAATGATCGCAATTATTATGATTGTAAAAGCTCGGAAATTTAAGTCCAAAGTAAATTACATTGCAAAAATAAACTTTGAAAATGGTAGTTCACCGAATAAAAACTGAAATAGGGTGGGAAAAAAATGAATTTACCAATAAAAAAACCAGCCGTCAAATTAATATCAAATTGTGTTGTAAAATTAATTGTTTGTAATGATGTGAATGCGTAACATAAAATTATAACATCACAAAAAGTAGCAGGCAAACGTCAAGAGGTAACGTATAGGTTAAAAACAAGTTTATATGGGTCAAGATTCTCAGAAAGGGTGAAATACAGATGTGACTCATCTTTGGTGCAATAAAGTTCTTTTGTTAAAAGCAAGATGGAAAATTACATGGCCTTGTAGGCAAATTTAACTAAAAACAAGATATGTGGAAATTATTGAATCGCCACTCATTTATCGCGCATAGATTCTAAACTGAAAAGCTTTGATTAGCGTAATCCCGCTCCTGCAAGATAGGTATAACCCGCCCCTGGTTTCGAGCCTACAGTTGAATGTCGAAGACAATCACGGAATTAGGTGTCGTAGCTCAATTTTTACTACAGTTTTTTACCACCTCCGTGACTGCTTCATTCACAGAAAAAATTGTTAGTAACAAACAACAAGTCAGTACATACATCAAACGAATCGGTAATTTTCACATATTAAAATAAAATGATCAAAACTTATATGAATGTTACTTCAGGGACAAGACCAAGTAATCAACATCAATAAACATAAATTAAGCAAGCATTACACCAAAAGCGTAAACAATTACAAATATAGCATAACGGTATCACATAAATGTGATTATGCATTGCGGTTAAACCAAGTAAATTTCAAAAACAAAGATTCAAACACACAAAAAATATAAAATGTGGGATACAAAACACAAATACGATATACAGAAATGCAAATAAGATTACTACCTGCATTAAAAAAACGCACAATAACAACAAACATTTATCGAGCGACGCGTTCAGGACCGCCATTCAAGACAATGTGCTTTGTCATGCCCAACGTAACCCCCGTTCGTGCTTTTTAGATGGCACAGGCTTAAGGTAAGTTCATAGCTCTCCGTTCATACGTTTCCGTTTGTCCGTTAGCCAATCAGAAGACAGCAAATTTTTAAATCGTACGTCGTCCGTTTACGACGGAAAAGTTGGTTGAAGTTGAACATTTACGTTTCCGTTGGTCCGTTTTTAACAGGAGTGAGGGTTATGTTTGGTACGTTAACAGCGTTCGCCTACTCGTTCTTCACGGTAATATGCCAGATAGCAATGTGTTCTTACTTTCGTACCATTTTTACATACTGAAAATCACTGACGGTACAGTACAAAATAAAGTTTAGGTTATGATTATACTTGCAAATGTACAATGTGGACGGATTGCTATGAACCTTAACAAAATTTTCTATCCGTTTGACGGATCAACGCAGCGGATGAACGGACAGCTATGAACCAACCTTTAGATCTTTGATTATAATATAATCAAAGGCTTAATCCTTCGATCGGAGTATGTATGATCGAAGGCTTAATCATATAAACTCGGCGCAGACAGCTTTTTCCCTAGAAATTGCATGGTTGCCAACTCTCAAAAATGTCCGTATCGTCATAACTTGTATATACAGGGTGGAACCTCTCATATTTATGGATGTCATTTGGAATTTTGTGACTCCAATTTTTCTATAGATCTCTTCTAAAGCGATATAACTGCTTTTCTAGGTATTTTGAGGTTACTTACAAAGATAAAGATCTATCAGGGTCCCCATCAGAAAGCTGTGAGAATTATTGCAAGAGGGCGTAGAAGGTATTCTGCCACAAAGCTTCGCTAATTGTCTAAAAAAAACTGCAAGGACAAATAAAATAATCGATACGATATATGCCGTGAAAATAGTTCAGAGTAAGACAAATGTGCGGAAGCGCTGGTGTTGCTAATGGAAATTACATGCTACCGAATTTCTTAAATTGCCGGTGGGTGGCCCAAAAATTCCAAACCTCTGAAATTTACTACCTTCATCAGCAGCCAAACTTGATTACAACCTTCGACAACCCTTGTTTAGCTAGATGTTTTACTACAGTGAATCAAAGAACATTACGAAATCTGGTTCTCTTATTTTTCTGTCATTCTGGAGTGACCTTGCCTGCTATTATGAACAAATGTCATGTTTTGAGAATAGTATGAGTCAGTCCTCAGGCCAGATGGAAGGGCAAATTGAATTTGATAAGACGTCTAAATTGTATGAAATTTGCAGGTGTATCTTTTGTTAAATTTCTTTTTGAAATTATTGTGTGGCATTTAATAGAATAATTGATATTTTGTTTAGGTGGAAATGCAAATGTTGAAGTGGGCATTATCAGAATTAACAATTTAAGAAGCTTCTAAAGGCAACAAAAAATGTGGAGAATTTACGGAACCCGAAGTGGGTGAAATTTCTCCCGGAGTAGATTTTATTTAGTGGTAGGTAGTGTTGGTGAAAAGCAGTCTCATTTTAGTTTTTGGAAATAAAAAAAAATTTGTCACGTGTTTAGGAACCCAGTTTGAGTGTTAGTTAGGGCAAGCCGAGTAATTTGTAAAAATGTGAAACATTTGCTATTTAGGATGGAATAAATTTCATTTTGGCAAACTTTTATTTACGACATTTGTTGTACCATGATGACAACGATATCGATATTTTTTAGTTGACCAAGGCCAACGAATTACAATCACTTCAATACAAAGTGGAAGATACTGAATTATATTTTGATCTGTATAAGTGCTTGTCTATACAAAGAGCATGAATAGAAACCATTTTTTTACATTTTACATAAGACTATCACTTTTTGTCAACAGTGTTTGAAAATGAAAAGGTTTAATGACACACTTACACTACATACCACATTTCACAAAGGAGTTTACTACAGAACCTTATATCTAGCTTTATTGAACGTGTGATGACCGGCGGTTTGAAGTTTGAGTAGTTCTTCTTTAATTAACCTCGTAATTTCGGCTTTGGCTTTCGTCACGGCGATGTCACTCGTACTTTCAATTGCAAGGTATAGCTTGCGTTCACCTTCGGGCGGCGACTTCCCAGGTTGAACGTAGGTCCCACGTACCGTTATTCCCGCCTCCGAGTACTCGGATATTTGCGCCAAAGCCTCCTTAGACGTAACCCTCCACCTGGCCTGCTGCGGGAAGTCGTTGATCTCCAACTCCTCCTCGTACTTCCTAAACGTGTGCTCGTTGTCGTCGTCGAGTCGATCGTCGTCGTCCTTCGGTTGATAGTTCAATTTGGTGTTGAGCTTGGCGGCGAGCTGCTCCGCCACCGTTTTGGCCGTGATCAGCGGATGGCTACCGCTACCCTTGAGAATCGATTCGGCAGCCTGCTGCGTCGCGAACTTCGTATCGCCGCCGTGACTCTTCGTAAGCGTAATCCTGGAGGCCAGCCGTTTCGCCAGTTCCAATTTATCCATCGCCGAATTGTGACCGCCAAGACTCGGATTTATTATACCTATTGGGAAAATAAACATTGGTTGGTTGAAATTACAAAAGCAAAGACCTGCTACAATAATTCCCAAGCGAAACTGAACGTTTACAGAAAAAGTGTAAAAGTTTTTAAACAAAAGAGTAAATTTAAAATGGTTAAAATCAGTCGATTAAAATAAAATGATTTTTTAAATCCCAATGGTAAAATTTGAAATTTCTTATTCAGAATCAATTACAATTACAATCATTAAATGACTCCCAATTAAAATTTGACACCCTAAAAAAAATTTTAACAGAATTTTAAAAGATGTTTGAACACGTGCTTACTTAATCGTTTTAAATTTAAATTGTGATACAATTGCGCGAAATAGGAACATGAGTGGCAAAATTCTTATAAAAAAAAAAACCTAGCATTGCGCAGTCTGCATAATCATCTTTTCGTAATTAATCTCTACTGACACCAAACTATGTCTATACATATAGAACCGAATGTCCACAACAATATACATTTTATATCTTCATCAGCCCCTTTATTCACAGAATTTCGCAAGAACACAAAGAAAAGTGTAAACTCCTACACAAAAGTATAGTATTTTAGCCCCAATATGGCGACCGGAACCAACGACCAATCAAAAACGACATACCTGGTTGTCGCCACTGTTATAAGATGGGTCACCCTTTTTGTATTTGATTTTTCTTAAATTTTCACGTACGCGTTACTATTCCTTTGCGCTCGTAGTGTTTGCTTGTAACATTTTAATACGCCTTTACGGGATAAAGATAAAAGCAGCATTCATCTAAGGTTACCATATCCAGGACCTTTAGATACCTTCTGGACTGTAGGAGGTCCGCCTAATTAACAATGTATTGAGATGGACTTGCTTTAGCTTATCAAATATTGTATTAAATTAACGTCAAACTTAAATTAGTCAAATTCAAGAGTGACTTCCTCAGATGTTAATCTTTGTATACTGTAGATGTGATCTAAAATGTGATTTTCCCCCTCTGTGAACAGTGATTCGGAATTTTCTTCATCACGGTTCTTTTGTTCGACGAGTTCTAGGGGAACACTGTATACCTATGGGTTTAAATACATTCTGTCTAAATTTGCAGGAACTCTTGGCTTCTTGATTCACTTTTGATCAATTTTTCATACACTTGCTTTTGTTTTTCGAATTCATTGTGTGTTGTATGCGTTCCATATTTCCGATAATAAGCTGGGGTCCGAGTGAGTGCAGCCGGGTCTTTCACAACGTAGGGGATCTGGCCATTGTTGAGTGTGAGGTTTGTGTTACTATGCTGAAGTTCCGAGTTCGTGTTTTTTCCGCTTTTGTTAGTGCGGGAACTGTCTCTTGTTTTTGTCTGATGGCAAATTATTGGCAGACAGCGCCCTTCTGAATTCAGACGGCTGCGGCCACGATCCAAAGGTAATATTTTAATTTCGTCATACTCCATGAATGGATCTTGGTTAATGATACGTCTGAATTGTTATCAATATATTTCTTTGCGATTGTCATTAAAAAAATTATATCTCCGTTATTCCTACGGAAGTATATTTCGATAATTATGAGTTGATCCATTTTTGCAAATTATGATTGAATTAAAATTTTGATTTCGAGTAAGACTCATACATTTCACCTTTTATTTGTAACGTCTTATCCTTTTAGCTTCATCAAGAATAGAACAAGGATCTCTTAGTCTACCTTGTAGATATGTTCTATGCGTATTTACAGTCGAAAATTGCTAAATTACCAGAACCAGCTCTGTAGGTTCAATACTTACATTTTCGTAATCATAGAGATGTAGGAAATTAATGGGATTTCGACCCTCTTTTCTTTCCCCCGACCGGCAGGTGTTCCTCACTTTCCCCTCTCCCATTCTTTCAATCAGAAATAGGTCCGCCGGGATGTTATTTTATTTGTTGCAATACACTGGAGGAAGAAAAAAGTTATTTGAATTGTGCTCTCATTTGATATTCTTACGTCCGCCATCTAGGTGTTTCGTATGTAATCCACTAGTTGAAGATGTAAATTATTCCTGTAGTAATTAATAGTAGTTATTATCTAGTATAAGTTTCTTTTACTTAGCTCTTTGTCTTGTCGTTAGAGGCCATTTGAGTGTTAGAGAGGTCTTTTACTCACTTCTTTGTCTTGTTGCTAGAGTTTAGGCTTTGTACTTTTCTGCACTTAATGCTATCCCTTCTTATATTTGTACTTCTTCCTCTTCAGTAAAGGTTCTGCTTTAGCATTGGTTACATGCAAATGTTTTCTTTTGGTACGTCATTACTTTCTTGACTTAAGCGATTAGTGTTTTGGCTTTACCATATTATCTTTGGAGTGGTTTCTCTCTTTCTACTGATATCTGTGGTGGCTCCATTGAATCGATTTTACGGATCCGTATTTACATTTCAACAATATGAGGTATGATAAATCACTACGCACATTTGTCGCGTAGGTTTTTTTAGGGCTTTTCCCTTCTTTCAACCGTTTCTCATAGAATTTCTTAAGTTTTTCTTTTGGACCACCTTTTACGTTGATCTGCCTGGATATTACTACTACCCTCACGCAGTACGTGGATGATACAGCATTATCATTTGGACTCCCAATCTTATTAAGGATTGGTTTTGGCGCGTCAATTGATAGATGAGTTTCTACATTACCGGCAGATTTCCCCGCAATTTCAGTGACACCAATCATGTGATTCTACTGTGACCTACTTACATTAATTCAACTTAAGACTTTCTGCAGAGGCACCTCTAAAAAGCATTATGCAGGTCACTCTGAAATTGGGCACATGCCTGTTGAGGGCCCAGAACAAGAGAGGGATAATAATAAATAAATAATAATAAATAATAAATAAATAAATAAATAAACATGGAAGTTGCTTATATCTGGAGATTTCAAGATAGTTCCTAACTGCAAGTATAACGAAACCCCTTTGGAGATTAACGATCTTGTAAATCGATCCGTTATTCCTCATACTACGTACTTTGTTTTTGGCGCTCCCGAAAATATGACTTTACCGATAACGAGACCCGCTTTTGTCTACGTTACTTTCTGATTGCTACGAAGATTCATTTCTGTTAGTTTGATTACATTGTATCCTTCAGATTAGCTGTGAACTAGTTTTGAAGTTTTGTCCAGAGCCAATATCTACAATTTTTTAGCTAGATTATTTATTTACTCCGAAGAATTTGCTCATATTAGCTTGTTTACACTTTGAATTAATTAGATTGCACTGCTATTCAGTAGACATTTATAAATTTGTACATCGTAAAGTACTTTTCTTGAATTTATCGTCACGTTTATGCTTTTATACCCTGAGATTGTAAGGATAAACGATCAAAATTTTGCTTTTCCTAGTGTAAACTCATTTCAATTATTGATTCTTTTACAGTTTAATATACGATTGCCTCCGTGTCAGACGTTGGTATTGCTATTTCGCAATATTTTATTTGCCGCGCGATCCACTACCCCTTTTATTTGTTTGTTTGTGTTGTGATCTGTTACAGACTTAATAGAAATTCAGAGGGCCGGTACGGTACGACCAGAATTCAAAGGTAATTTTTTAATTTCGTCTTCAGGATCCTGTAACCTGCAGAATAGTTTTCTCAAGCTTAAAGAAAAACTGCCCATGTCTCGACGGAATGTTGTCCATGCAGCTGAAAATCTGGGCGTGAGCGAGACCATGCTTGAAGCAGTTGGACGTTGGGGGGATGAATTGTGTAAATGACAACTAGCAGTTGACGCTAGGTATCACAATCAATGGCACATTACACTGACTCAAAAGAAGGCATTTTGAGCCCAAAAATCTCAATAATTCTGTTTAAAGTTGATCCCTTTTGTGATTTATTCAATTTAGATAAGGTGTTAGAAGTAAGACACATCTGGCCGTTTGCGATAAGAAGTTTTATTATCAGGGGAAAATTAATTAACGCACGTCTTATTTCATTGTTAAGAGTTAAGGTGTTTCGAAAAAATGCGTGTTTCATATTGGAAAAGTGGGGACGTTAGGTGCATTCCGTCGTTGATTGGCGAGTTATTTGAAAATTCTTAAAGGAGTTTATTTGAAGGTGGATGTGGTGCTTTCTTAAATACTTGAGACAACGTGTTAAGGCTGCCCGTTTTCGCGACGATTGATAAACGTGTACATTTTTTTACGCCAAATTACGGGCAGTGAACCATCAAATTCAGTGTTATCAAGCAGAGTGTAAGTTAAGTGCGTCTTATACCGCAAGTAATTTCAAGGTTTCTTATTTTATTTGTCGACCGTCTGCGCGCGGGGTATGTCCAAACATTTTTTTTTGTAATTCTCACAGGTGTTAATCAAAAGTTGTGTAATAAATTCATTGGAAATTTCGGAAGTTGGTCACAGACTATCAAAATGAGAAATTGTAAGTCAATATTTGGATTTGTCATGTAGCCAAATGTGTACGAGGAGAGATTATAACACTCTAAGTTTCAATTTTGATTTGTTTCGAGCTACCTGGGCAGTGTAGTGACCGCATTATTTATTTGGCGCCCAACGTGGGGCACAGCAATATACATATTATAAGAACTACGGTGGAAAAGTTTTCCGGAGATCAAGAAGTGTCTTCTTTGACTTTTTCTGCAAATTTACACTTTTTGTCACTTTCGGTATTTACCCAAATTTTACATTTTACATAATTTCGGCAGTATATGAAAAATAAAGCTTAGGAATCAATTGCGGCAGTTCTATGTTTTCGTAACATTGGATCAAAAACACTGAAAAAAATTGTAAAATGTAAAAAACGTGCAAAAGTCTTAAAAAGATTAATGTAAACCTACCAAGAGGTGCTTTTATTTCCTTAACGGTACGCTTGGTCGCGAACATACTTTCGATTTGTTGATCAATATCGTGCTCGAGATCTTCATCGTCCGAATCTTGCAAGCCCAAGGCAGCCTTCTGGAATTTGCGACGTTCATTAATGGCGGCAGCTTCCGTTTCGTCAAACTTGAAACCCTTTCCACTGAACCCGCCACCGGTATGAACTTTTTTACCTAAACACGCAAATTTATTCAAAAAATCCCTACAGGTTCTTTGCTTACCCTCCAACTCCTGCTTCGATTTATATTTATCCCAAAGCTGGCGCAACGAATCAGGAACCGTCACCGTAGCCAGCTCAAATGCTCTAATGAGATCGCCAGAGTACCTCTCCTGTTCCGGAGTAATGAAGGTGTAAGCAAATCCCTTATTTCCAGCCCTCCCTGTTCGCCCGCAACGGTGCACGTAGTCTTCATAGTGATTGGGGCAATCGTAATTCACAACCAAATTCAACTGTTTCACGTCGAGACCGCGCGCCGCAACCGACGTCGCGATTAAAAGCTTCACTTTCCCCGATTTAAAATCGACTATTGTAGAATCTCGATCGAACTGATCGATACCGCCGTGCAAACTCATACAATTGTAACCCGACTTCATCAGTTCTTTCAGTAGAATATCCGCATTTTCTTGTTTATCTACAAACACAAGGATACTGCCGTGCTCCTGATACAATCCTAACAACTCTAATAGCTTTAAAAACTTCTGCTCTTCCTCCAACACGACGACCTGCTGTTCGACATCCTTGCAGACGACAGATCGCCCGCCGACCTGCACCTCGATAGGTTTCTGCAGTATTCGTCTTGCAAGTGCTTCCATCTGTCGCGGAAATGTTGCACTAAACATAACAGTTTGCCTATCAGGTCGAACATTATCTATTATTCTCATTACCTGAAAGTAAGGTATAATATTAGTATATACCAGCCATAAGTCGGATACACGGAAAAAAGGTGTATTCTCAAGTATAGGAACGGTTTACTTGTCCCTACAAAGGAAAATAAGTTGTACACGAGCTTTTTTATGGGCAAAGCTTGTCAATATCTCAAAATAATCTTCATAAATGGAATAGTTCACAATGCGCAGTCTGCGCATGCGCACATTTGATTTTCACTATAATGGTTCCTATCATATGCAGAAGTCCTGTCCATTGCTAACAACTATGTACTTACAAATTGTAATGAAGCACCTATTTTCGTAAAGGAATTCTATCAAAATTAATGAGCGCGCGGTTCATTGATATAAGCTACCAGTTTTAATGAACATCCGGTACTTCGACGAACTCAAATGGGCGCGTCATGAAGAGAAACTATAGTCTGGAGTGAAAAATAGAAGGTAAACGTAATGTTTCAATTTGTAGAGCAGTTTTAACCGCTGATAAGGAAAACCAGCTGCCGAACGTAATTGAGATCCCGTAGAGATAATTAAATTATTTTTGTAGCATCCGACAGCCCGCGGCATGGAGAAGCAGTGGAAAAATTAATATTTTAGGATGTTGGCTCCGTTAATTAGGTATTAACCGATTTCAGGTTCCCCATGTTAAATTAAAACTAGGGTAGAAACCGGCAGGGTAGTGACCTGCCGAATTTCGGCCCAGTATAATTAATTGCGTAGTGTCTAGTGTCAAATGAAGCGTGCTTAATTAACATGAATTTTAAGGCCGGTCCCAGATTTTTAAGACAACACAGGATCGAGTAAGTGAAGAGGTTTTAATTTTTGAACACTTTCTTACGAATTCGTCGGGCGAACTGGAAATTCTGCTGTTCCCTTTCCGTATTTTGGAAATTTTATAGGGTAAGAGCTTGGCTTAGGGGAGATCTTTCGATTTTTCGTCATATTTAGTAATTTTCTTATCTACCATACCGTTTGACTATCAAGGTAAGAGTTTGATTGCTTAATTCAAATTTACATATAATTTTATTGTATTTTCTTACGCCTTCATTAAATTTTAGTTTTTTTTTATTATGCCGTTTAATTTTAAAGCAACATTTTGCGCGCGGACGTTTTCTAAATTTTTTTCAAATTTGAGTTTCCGAATCAAAAATTTCAGAATTACTCAGAATTTGTTTTGGATTCTGAATTTTTCAAAATTGTTTATAAACCTACAAATTTTGAAGTGCTTTTTAATTTTTCCAAATTTTAAATTTTTATATACTAATTTTGTAGATATCTTGCCAACTATGTACAGTTTTTTTATTTTTTAAATTTTTGTGAGATCCGAATTTTTATGAATTTTCAATTCTTTTTTCAAATTTGAGTTTCCAAATTACTATAATTCAGGATTCGGAATAATCTGATTTTTTCAAGATTAAAAATTTTTTTAAAATGTTTGTTCTACATTTGTGTACAAGTTATACATTTTTTTAATTTATACGTTTCCAAATTACTATATTTTAGAATTTCTCTGAATTTGTTATCACTTCTTCTGATTTATGCTTTTTCGAATTTTGATATTTTTAAAAATACTTCCAAATCCTTCTGGTGTTAAATTTTTATGTAATAATTTTGTAAGTAATCTCCCCAGCTATGGTAGGGTGACCCAATAAGACTGTTCCTCGGCCATATCTCGAGAACCGTTCGTCATATGACTTAGGGGTAAAAAAAATTACTGGGTAAATCGGTCATGAAGAATGCTGGAAAATAGTTCTAAAAATGACCAACAGAGGGCGTAACTGCCATCTTAAATTTTAAAATTGCATTTTCTTTAAATTTCGCACAATAAACTAAAAAAATTTTTTCACATTTTTAAAGAGAACCAGTTTATCATTTTCATAAAAACAAAAACTCAGTTATCTCAAAAACAAAGATGGCGTGGGGCGTTGAATTGTTTTTGCAATAACCTTCTTTAACTTCTTAACGGTTTGACGGATTTAAAAAAATTGGTATGGTTGAAAAGAGCATTCCTTGGGCAATGAGAATCAACCAAAATATAGTTAATTTAATTGAATGCTTTTCCGCCAGGGGGCTAGTTTTGACACTGACCCAAAATCCTATGGAATGATATGACTTTTCCTTTATGAAAAAGTAGCCAAATAACATCCAGAGACCAGTGAAAACCGTTTTTCAAAATCTCGTTCCTAACCTCAAAAATTGGGAAGATGAGATTAATTAATTAATTAATAAAAATGCTTAAATTGTATCTTAAATTTACTTTTTACGTATTTCCGATATTTGTCGATGGCGCGAAAGAAAAGCACCCTACACTTTTAGGTAGGCCTTGGAAAATTAAACACGATGCATTTCCTATAAAATAATAGCAGCCGTAATTTGTAAATTATTCTGCTGTTTTTACATTTAAAAAGTGCAGTTTTTTGAATTTGTAATCTCTTCTAAAATGCCGATTTCTAACCAAGAAGCATTTAATATGCTGGCGGTGATGGTTCGTGGTCGATTCGGATAACGCAAATAGAAGATGCGGGCAGCGATGGTCGCATTTTGAAAATACTCAAAATATATCGCCAGTATATTAAATGCCTCTTGGTTAGAAATCGGCATTTTAGAAAAGATTACAAATTCAAAAAACTGCACTTTCTGAATGTAAAAACAGCAGAATAATTTACAAATTACGACTGTTATTATTTTATAGGGAATGCATCGTGTTTCATCTGTTTAATTTTCCAAGGCCTACCTAAAAGTGCAGGGTCCTTTTCCAAACAAAACAATCTTTCGCGCCATCGACAAATACCGGAAATACGTCAAATAAGATACATTTTATTAATTAATTTTCCCAATATTTGAGGCTAGGAACGAGATTTTGAAAAGCGGCTTTCACTGGCCTCTGGGTTTTATTTTCATTTTTCATAAAGAAAACGTCATATCATTCCATTTGATTTTGTTAGGATTTTGGATCATAGTGTCAAAACTAGCCCCCTGGAGGGAAAGAATTCAACTAAATTAACTATATTTTGGTTGATTCTTGTTGTCCAAGGAATGGTTCTTTTCAACGATACCAAATTTGTTACAATCGGTCAAACGGTTAAGAAGTTAAAGCAGGTGATTGCAAAAACAATTGAACGCCCATCATTGTTTTTGAAATAACTGAGTTTTTGTTTTTACGAAAATGATACCTAGATAAACTGGTTCTCTTTAAAAATGTGAAAAACTGTGTTTAGTTTATTATGCGAAATTTAAAGAAAATGCTATTTTAAAATTTAAGATGGCAGTTACGCCCTCTGGTGGTCATTTTTAGAACTTGAAAATATTTTCCAGTGATTCTTCATAACCCATTTACCCAATAATTTTTTTATCCCTAACTCATACGACGAACGGTTCCCGAGATATGGCCGAGGAACAGTCTTATTGGGTCACCCGGTACAATTTGTAGCATTTTTTATTTTTTTGAGGTTTCCGAATGGTTACACATTTATAATTCAATTTTCCAAATTTGACTCTCCAAATTACTAATAATTCATGATTCGGAATCATCTAATTTTTTCAAAATTTTTAAAAATCTTTAAAAGTGTTTTTTCATGTTTCTAAATTATTGTACAAATTCTAGAATTTTTAAATTTTTTTGAGTTATCCAAATTTTAATGAATTTTCTAATCTCTTTTTTAATTTGTGTTTTTGAATTACTATAATTTTCTGAATTTGTTTCGGATTCTTCAGATTTTGGCAAAATTTTTATAAATGTTCATGTATTCGAATTTTGCAGTGAATTTTAATCGTTCCAAACTTGTTCGATTTTACATGTTTTGAGTTCCAAGTTTTCAATTCTTTCTTCAAATTTGATTTTCTGAATTACTATAATTCAGAATTCCTCTGAATTTGTGTAAAATTCCTCTGATTTTTTCAAAAGTCATATAAATCTTCAAATTCTCTTCGAATGTTGAAGCGTTTTTTTTTCAAAATTTTTCTGGATATTCTGATAATAGATTCAGATTTAAGAATTAAGTGCCCATAGAAGGTGCTAACTGGAACCGTCAATCTCCAACCATTGAAGCTAGGAAAATAAAAAACCAAATTTGACATTTTCAGTTTTTCGGTGATCTCAATTATTTTCAAAGATTTTTCAAAAAATTCAAAAGGGTTTTAGTCACAGAAAGGGGCAACATTGTCCCCATTTAACCTAAACTGTACCTCTCACCGTTACAGAGATCTCGATAGTGAGCCACGAATTTGAACCACCCCGTACGGTTATTATAATTTCAAAATTGTTGTGATTTCCGATTTTTTACTAATTTTCTCTTTGTGAAATTTGAGTTTCTGCATTACTAAAATTCAAAATTCTCTGGATTTTTCCGAATTTGTGCGATTTTTTTTAAATTTTCAAGCACTCATTTTACAGATACTTCACCGGCTGTGTACAATTTCTGGCATTTTTTGAATTTTCTGATTTCAAATGAGTCGTCATTCCTCTGTTTTGAGTGTTTGAATTATTATAATTCAGCATTTCTAAGTTTGTTTTGGATTCTTCTAACACTGCGTATATCTTAACGTCAATTTTTTTGCATTCTTGTATCACACAACCTATATTTTTTTAAATTTTAGCCATGAAAATCAATAAAAATCGTATATATTTTTACTGTTTTTAAATAGTAGGCCATGAATTCATGGAAATTTGTTTTGTTTATTGTAGCCATGGTAACTAAGACGATACCAATAAAAAAAATGGCTAACGGTAGAGCATGCCATTTCAAAATTTTGAAAAATATGATATAATAATTACATAAAAAAATATAGGTTGTGATACATCAATGTAATCAGGAAAAAAATTGACGTTAAGATATACAGGGTGTTGCATTTAAAAAATACTAACTTTGGATCAAATTTCAGAAACAGTGATCCAAAAATGTATTTTGACTAATGTCTTTAAAAAATGTTAATCTATGTTTCTAACATACCTGAGGTTCAAATCCCATGTCGAACATGCGATCAGCTTCATCTAAGACGATATACGTAACACGCCGCAAATTAGTCACTTTTCCACCGTTCGCCGCCAACATATCTATCATTCTGCCCGGCGTGCATACGATTATTTCGGCTCCTCTTTTCAGTTCGGCGATCTGTTCCGAAATTCCTGTTCCCCCGTACACGCAGACGGCGTGTAAATTTAAACTCTTCGTAAACCGTTTAATGTCCTTCCCAATTTGCATGCACAATTCGCGAGTCGGCGTCATTATAATCGACACCGGACCGTCGGTCTCCTCCAAGGCGGGCTGGTCGAGTATGTGTCGAAACATCGGTAGCAGAAAGGCCAAAGTTTTTCCGCTACCAGTCTTAGCGATTCCAATCAGGTCGCGACCTGACATGATTGCGGGTATGGCTTGCGTTTGAATCGGAGTTGGTTTTTCGAAGCCCAATTTTTTTAAAATGTTGAGTTCCTTAGTGGACACGCCGCATTGTGCCCATGTCTTAATAGGTTTTGGACACCCTTTACCTTAACAAAAGAAACAGTACTCGATTACTTTTGGTATTGTGGACATACTTTATAGGAATATTACGTAATTCTGGTCTGGTCTCGATTTCAAGAAAAACGTATGCATTACCCCGTGTAGTGGGCGGTTGCTTTAGAATTTCAAAAGTTTTATTTTCGAATTTGAAATTTGTTCAACATAGGAAAATTCACACATATACTGCTTCACAGCGAACATGAACAAAAGTATGTCTTCAATAAGAGCGATAACAAAGTGTGCACTGTCGAGATAAAAAGCTAGTGAGAGTTGTAAGGGTTTTTTTTTGCAGACAAGGTTAGACTTTAAGAGCAAGCACGTATACTATTTATTCAAAACAAGAACGTTGCTGCTATTTTTGCATAGCGTCGTTAAGAAGCGGTAATTGAAACCGGATGCGTGCGGGTCACCTTACCTGCAATTTTATACGTGTGCGCACAGACGAATTAGTCAATTATGGGACAAGGAAAAATGTTGTTAGGCGCCTGATTAGTAGCAAAGCTGTTTATTATGAGTGATAACATTTACGCGAAGGAGCATTTTCGAGTCGGAGAAGCGCAATTCAAGTAAAAACGGCAATGAGTGAACTCACATTAACTTATTGTGATAAAAAAAGAATTTCTTTTTTTCGGATCGCTAACAGTAACGGCTGGTTAAAGCAAGTTCTTCAAAGTCATGGGATAGCGCATTGGACGATAAATTTTGTATACAACGGACCTCGAAAAAAATGAGAGAAAATGTTGGCATACAAGCTATCCTTTTCTTTCGGTGTAAAATGAAACAATAGACTTGTTCGTTGCTATAGTCTACATCTAAATGAATGAAGCAACTTCACAGTGAGCAATAAACAATTTTTATCCTCCTACCTTTCACTCGGATTCCCTCCAATTCCTCCTTGTACGCGTCCACATCTTCCTGCGTCATCCGCGCGATCTCAGGAACCTCAACGTAAAAGCTCTTTCGAAATGGTAAATACGATATGTGATTATGATCAATCTTAATCAGCTCCTTTCGCTGTTTGTTGGCGATATTTGCGGCCGTATCCTTCAAGTCTTCTTGTTCCTCTTCGGAGGAATATTCAAGGCCGTCTTGATTTTGTTCTATCAATTCGCCTTTATTCTTGGACACCTTCGATTTTGCGACGCCGGTTACGATGACCATTCCTTTGGGCACGTTTGAGTCCACTTTTGTTGTTCGCTTTAAATCTAATGAATGTATCTGTCTCACTTCCTCGTGGACGCCTGCAAACATAATATGGCGATTAGATGGACGGAAAACACTAGTTTTTTGGCAATACGGCGAAATTGAGAAATTTCTTAATAGTACTATACATATCCAGTTTCAGTAAAACTTCGGCACATTTAGTTGAAATTTTGTTCTATATCAGAATTGTTAGTTGTTAATTTATTTAAATATCCACCTCGTATTTTATTTAGTTGTTCACTTTCATTACGTGTTAAAAGTCTAGCTTTAAACATTTACGCAGTGTTTTGTTAAAGTTATCACATTTAAATCCAGTCTTTGCGACAAGAATTTCCTTATCGCTGCGTTAGGATAATTAGTTTCAAGATAAGAAAATACAGGCGGGCAGTTTATTTGGAAAACGCATTAATTTTGTGAAGGAAGGAAGGATTATTTTTGGTAGCGTTCGAAAACGAGCATTAAAACTGCAAGGCCATGCAGGTTTACGCCGATATCAGTTTGATAAGAAACTTTTTGCTTGACCTGAGAAATGCAAGAGACAATTGGGGTTAATTCGAAGAAATTTCAACTCGCCTATTTAAGTGAGTTAATTAACAGTTGCTAATTAAATGAGTTGCAGAAACAGCATCCGATTAAGTCGTGAGTGGTCCCAAAAGAAGCGCTCTTAATTGATTTGAATTTTAAGACCAATTACAGATTTTTAGGAGGTCGGCAGACCGCACAATTAATTTAAAAGAAGTTCTACTTTTTGAATGTAAACAATCGAATACGCTATGTCGGCTGGAAAAACCATCTACCCTTCCATGAGGTGGACGAATTTTATTATTTATGTAATTTGAGATTCAATCATGTTATTTGAATTCGAGGTCAAGTTTGTTTTATATCAGAATTGTTAGTTGTTCATTTGTTTAAACCTTGTATTTTATTTGGTTGTTCAATTTCATTATGTGATAACAACTAACTTGAAACATTTGCGTAGTGTTTTGTTAGAGTTATCACATTTAAATCCGGTCGTTGCGATAAGAATGTTAAATTTTTTTATTTTGTACCCGAAATTACATTACATATTAATGAAAGCCTGCTGAATTTCTCAAATTAATAACATTTACGTCAATATCGAGATTTTCGGCTGATAGAAGTGGCAACACTCCATGAAAAAAAGGGGCGGAGTTATCCATTGGCAGATAGGTTTTGACTATTATTTTCATGTCAGTGCGCCCATTTAAAAGATACACAGCTGAACTATATGTATGACGTCTCGGTCTGCGCCGGCGCAAAAATTGTGCACACAAAACTAAAAGTTCTACCAACCTAACATGTAGGCATCTAAAGGATCAATGTCATCGTAGCGTGGAATGTCAGGCTTTTGTTCCACTTCCTCTTTTTCCTCCTTCTCCTCCTCATCTTTCTCTTTCTGTTTCTCCTCCTCGACCTCTGCTTCTTCTTCTTTCATTTCAACATCCTCCCTTTCCGACTTATCATTCTTCTCTTCGTCCTCAGAGTCATCCTCGAGCGACCATTTCTTGGCAGTGCCCTGCGGCACGGCGGCCGACTTTTGACCCTCCTTCTTTATCGCGTCCTGCTCCCTCTTCTTACGTTCGGCGCGCCATCGTTCGATGCGCTCTCTCCGTTTCTGCATCTCCAATTCCAATTTTCTCTGCTCTTCCTCCTGTAAAACGGATAAAGTATGCACTCGTAATTGACGGTGGGTTTGTACCTTATCCAAATTTGTTCGATCGTACGACATGTGAGAATGATCGTCCGACTTCTTAGACTCTTTGGGGGAACGAGACCTCGACTTGTCACGTTTGCGCGATTTCATCCGTTTTTCCTTGCTCTCACCTCTAAATTAAGCAAAAATAAACATTACACAAGTAACTTAACGTGCCACAATACCGCCTGCGATCCCTTTCATGACTATATGATCGTCTGTCGCGCCTATCTCTTGACCGGCTCCGTCGGTCCCTTGAACGACTCCGTCTGTCTCGCGATCTACTTCTTTTGTACCGCGAAGACTTGGACTTCTCCCTATCTTTGCTGCGAGACCTACGCCGTCTACGTTCGGGTGTTCTGCTCCTGGCCCTTCTGTAAAGTGGCATCATGGGCACCAAATTAGAAGGCTCACGTATCGCTGACTTACCCATTTGATCTTCCCATTTTAAGAACAACAGCGTAGGACTTGGTCACATTAATTAAGCCGCTGAATAAATAATGTTTGGATATACGATGGAAATAACCTTAAACCTTTAATAAAAATGTAAAATACAAACGCCAACCAAATCCTAAGTTATGTGTTGCCAATATTAAAGTTATCAGAATTACCAACATTAAGACCGCGTTTCTACAGGATCAGGCAAAAGTAAATTGCAAATAAAAGTTGTTTTTCCACCTCTGGGTAAATTTAATCGGTAGATAAGTACCGTGACAACGATTGTATCGACAATGGTAACCATGGAATTTATTCGGAGAGTAAAGTTGTTAGAGGTGGAAAAACCGGGTTCCACACACTTTGACGTAAATATATCGTCGCCAGGAGTGATTACTATACCCTTGTCATAAACTAAGAACCAAAACGTTTATTCTGCTTTTTAATATGAAACACCATCAAATAAAGATTAGTGAACTTTCGTACCTAGTGCATTTGATGGAATCGATATATATTCGCGATTCGAAGTAACAGTGAGACCTCTGCGGTGGCAGCTAAATACCGTTGGGAGAAGACGCCAATGTGATAGCGTTTCCTTAAGTATTTGCACTTCATTTACGAAACCACAAATAATTAAGAAATCATCGTCTAACCTCTGAAATATTAAAACATGTCACATTCAAATATGTTACGTGCAGTCTTTGCTACAAGTAAGCAATAAGAAAAATTGAAATCGTCAATTATTTAAAACACGACACGTCGAATAATATTGTTTGTGGTCAGTGTAATTATGCCACGATTAGTAAGTCTGTTTTAAAGCATCATCGACGCAAGGGAATGTCGGCGCGTTGTAAAGTTATTAAAATGCGTTATAATATAAATTATAATTATTGATCATTTTTCTAATTCTTCCCGTAGATAGTTTAATTGCTTTGTAGGGTAGGTACCTACGTAAAGTTCTCTTGCCAGGGAAGAGAATTAATATTGCTAAGTTTCAGTTCCGTAAATTGGTCATTAGCAGATTCCAATTCAGTTTTCCAATTAACCTTATACGAAAACGAGCATTAAAATTGCAAGACAAATCCAAAATCCAAATGCGTCTATATATTTTATAAACTTAAATTTTGTTCTCTTTTTTTATATTATTTCATATTGTGTCCTATAATTGGTGTAAACTGTTGGGCATTAAATCATTAAATAAAAATAAATAAATAAAAAGACCATACAGTGATATGCAGACATAATCAGCTTCATAAAGTATTTCGCCGCCCGCTTGACCTGGCAATTAAATATAGAAGCTTTAAATTTTGAGGGCTTTCTTGCGAATACGATGGTCGGCTGGGAAATCTTTCTAATTCCAAATCTTTTTGGGACTTTAGGTATATAAGGTAATAACTATAAGGCACGATTGAGGAGAATCTTTTTGCATTTTTCGCTGTGCTCGCGTACATTTTATTTTGACGGTATAAGCGTTTTGCTACTTTTCTGCCGTTAATTATAAGGAGGGGCATTGTTTTGCTTTTCCATAGGTTCCGCTAATTTATGCTTGGTTGCTTCTGCTCTCGAAAGGAAAATTGCTGTTTTGCCGTGCTCCTGCTTTTAGATTCGTCACCCATCACCGACCGCTACTGAGTGCTCCTAAGAGCCCCTGGGGTTTCAGTTTTCTTTCTCTGAGCGAGTTTATCAGTGGCAACCGCTTCCACCGCCAACCTTGACCAGCGGCAAGGCCGCATCCCTTGGCGGCGCTCGAGTTCAACGTTTCAATTAAAGTTAATTGGAATGCAGTGAATTGTGATTCTTGTCTCAATTAAATTCTACTTTGCTTAAACTAATTAGTTTTCTTTAAAGCAACCGAAGTTCCACCTGCATTATTGTTTTTAAAGGTGAACGTCTCTTCAAACCGTAAAATCTATTTACGGCAACAGTACGGGTCGCTTGAATTTTAGAACATTCCAACAGTTTGCCGACAGGTGGAGTCGTGTATCAGTGCCATCCCAACGGTCGAAACATTAACATATGGTTAGAGCTTTAGTCTAAGTCTAAGAACATGCTCGTCTCATATAAAGACTGAAGCCTTCGTATAATAATACGTTTTATATCATGCTTATATTTAGAGTGGACAAGCCCCTTTTTTTGTTGTAAATGATACCCGGGATATTTTGGTTTACTTTAGCTATTTGTCGATGTAACAGATCTTGGGGTGTGAGAACTTAAGATGTATTTGAATGTGCGTTAGAAAATATATATTTATTCCAAAAAAAATAAACGTGTACAAAGTATGCATGCACAGAACCTAATTTCCATATACTTGTAGAGCGATTTGTTTGAAATGTTGTCTAAATAATTTTAGCACGCGCATGCGCACAACCCAATTGCCTTATTTGAATTTCAGTTTGTTTAAAATTGTGCTCCAATATGGTGTCAGAGTGAGGCAAAATAGAACTATAGAGGATTAATTATGTACATAGAGTTCAAGTGTGAACTCAAAAATGTATTCTCAGTTGAGACTTTCACCATTTTCAGTATTCCAAATTGTTTGACAAAGCCAATCTAACCCTTCATTAATTCCCTCTCCGTTAATTGCAGATGCTGGTTGGATATGCCACTAAAAGGACATAAAACTTAAAATTCTATTGTCGGTACACTCTGCTACTAAGCCATACTGGTATTCTTAATGACTTCAAATTCATTTTGTCAGTGAGTTCCTCGACTGTCATCGCATTAGGCAGGTCCTGTTTATTTGCAAATATAAGAACTACCAATTGGTTTTTTTCGAGATTTTCAATCTAAAACTATTGGAATACAGTACAGTTTTTTTTATACTTACAAACACACCCAACTACGTAAATAATAGTCCGACGTCGATATGCACATAGTATCTGTAGAATCAATTACAAATATTAGGACACTCGCATTGTCAAACACACGTAACCAACACGGTAGTATCTTCTCGCCACCTCCCATGTCTACCATATTAAAAGATATGCCTCTATGTACGATTGTCTCTTGAAAATAACCTGTTGTATGACAGGTCTCTATGGGGTGATTCGTTCCCAATTTGTATTTATATAAAATTGTGGTTTTTCCAGCATCACTTTGCCCAGCTTTAAATAATAGGTAAATGAATATACCTATAGTTGGTATATTATTTAATTTTAGTTTTCTATCTATACACCTTTGATTTATATGTAGCTTACACGGAATATGAACAAATTAATCTGCTACAAAGATTTATTTATTAGCATAATGTAAATGTATTTGAGAGCAAAATCTACTAACGTAGGTATGTATGAAACATTACTCGCCCTCAGTAATTGTTATACTATAGCGCTACACTATTATCGTTTTTCTACTACTGCAAACCAAAACCATGTCGGTGCTGTACACGAACAGCAGCATTCAGTGCCTACTACCTACTTTACAGTCTTTCTTAGATAACTAGTACCAATAGTACAAAGGTGTATTTGATTATACATAATTTACTACCTATGTAAACAATTTTCTCGGGGGTTTTTCTTCGACAGCCCATAACATTTACTATTCCACCCATATCACTGCAAGTAGACACGAATTGCACAACAGCACAACATCAAAATTGTAATTCATGAATCATGAATAGATAAAATCCAATGAACAAAAGATAACATGTAACAGGTTAAGTGCAGGTTAACAAACACGATCAGCTGAGTTGTTACATTTTTGTAGCAGCTTTGTTTATTTTTATTTATTTATTATAAACAAAGGTAGCAGATAAATTTATCTGCCCTGTATACCATACCAAATGCCGATATCGTAGCCAGAAGTGATTACCGTTACGCCATAAAAATGATTAGAAATTATACTCCGAGAGGGGGATAGTGAGCATTTACTTTTACCATTGAATATTCAAAGCCTTTACTTACAAACATTAAACTATATAGATATACACGGACCTTTTAAAAAAAAATAAGAGGTCCGGTGACTATATATAACTCTCGCCAGGAAAGATTGCCGGTCATAGAACACTTGATCCCGGTCTACAATCTTTGTTTTTCTTAAGATGCGAGCGACTTCCGGAATAGGATCGTGCCAATGTTGAACGAAAAGTCTTTTTGTTGAACATTGACACGATACTATCCCGGAAGACGCTCACATCTTCAGAAAAACATAGATTGTAGACCGGGATCAAGTGTTCTATGACCGGCAATCTTTCCTGGCGAGAGGTTTACTATTGTTTAGTGTATAGTTATAGCGTTTTCGATTGGCAAAACTCGTGCTGCACGAGTGCAATTTTTACGTTCTATTGGTAATTTTAGGGCAATTTTCTGTGTTCCATTGGCAAATGTGATGCAACAATTACGCACTAAATGCAAATTTTGACACACGAGGCCGGAGAGCTCGTGGAGCAAATTCAAAATAAAAGTGCGACAATTTGAATTTGTTTCTTGCGTTGGAGAGTTTTTTGTTGTCATCTAGCGATAGCGAAGATGATGAACTAGCCATATATAACTTCTACTTTACAAAAAGTTGCATTTACTCTTTAAAGTGAACGCCAAAAATTGGTTCTTTACAGGAATTTCAAATTTATATTCCTCATTGTTTATCATAAATAATAGTGAAGTCGTTTCAGTCATTTTTTAGAATACAGATTTGTCGATTACCTAAATCATTGTATAAATACAAATCTAAAATGAGGTTATGGACAAATGACAGCAAATATTTACGAATATTTATGTTCCATTGAGAGCAATTTTCACATGGATTTCTTCAGTTTCTCGTGCAACACTCGTGCAGTACGAGTTTTGCCAATCGAAAACGCTATAAGACAGAGAATAATTCAAGAATGTCGAAATATTGCAAAACCAACATTTGAAAACGTTCGACAAGAGTTTGAGAATAAATTATATTACTGTCTTACCAATATCGGAAACCATTTTGAACATTTATTGAAATAAAAGCCAACTTTAGAAAATGTATCATATTAGTTTATTTTTTGATTTGCAGGATATTACTAACCTAAATCATTGAATAAGCACCTTAAAGAAGTATAACGCCCGTGTTATAACTGATGAAATAAGAATCTGCCCAGGATTCTGTCGTCCCCCTATTGTGGGGGAAAGTGAACCACAAATTTAAAGCTAGTTACCGACCTTGCAGATTTCTTTACTTCTTTATAATTCCAACGTTGCCAGATTTTTCGCAAGCGCTTTGAATTTGAATAAACTAGAATAAAATATTGAATAAGCTTTTATTCAATGCCAATAACAATATTATGTAAGGGAGGATCAATCTGAAATGTAAGATCATAAGGAACAATAAATAAAGTAAAAAATGTAGTTTAATCTAATAAGAAAGCAACAAGAACTGTTCTAAGGACCATTATCTTTACATAATAAACAATCAAACTTTACCTAGCTCCATATAAGGATCTGGTAAATATGAAAACACTGTTCAACTCTGATAAACAAGGAAAACAAATGACCCCTAAGTATAACTGGTTTCCCTGTTTAAAATAGTCATTATTTACCGCCGGAGGCCAAATATCCTTCAATATTTGTGGTAATTAACCACTTTGCAGTGTATGCAACACACCTTACACCAATTTCAGGTTTTTCTATGTAGTTATACTTCTTTAAAGTGCTTATTCAATGCCTAAATGTAATTTGGTATGGTTGGAAAGCATTTTTTCAGAGCTTTCTAACGTTGCAGATTTAAAAATTGTGGTGGTTGTGGCGCAGGGGGTTGGAGGGGGTGCGTCGCCAACTATGTATTTGTGATTCTCCCTCCGAATTACCGAAACGGATTTTGATTTTTTAAAATATCTCGTTTATTTACTAAGACATGGGGGTTGGTAAGTTTTCAATTTGCCACCCTGTATATGATTAGGCCACTCTTTAGGTATTTCAGATCTCAAATCACGTTTATAAACTTTTCGCCGGTGTATGATAAACGGGTTTTGTATAAGTATTGCACCTCGTGTTTCCAGTTTTTTGAATTTTCCAAGCGTATCATGGAATGAAATCCAAGGTCAGGCCCTAGACCTTGACATGACATACCAATCACTGCACTAAACGAGAATCAATTCAATTCCAGACTTCATTCAGTCTGACTCAGAATAGCGCAAGGCGTAGAAAAGTATTTGTCATCTCGCGAAGGTATATTTTATACATAATTTTATTAATACTTTCACCTTACTGTAGTAACTAGCGTTAATACAATGGGTCTTTTTAGTTCTAAAATCATCGACATGTCGTCTCCAAAAGCTGCTTTGGTAAAAGAGTTAATTTCCAGTGACAAAGTTGTCATTTTTTCGAAAACCTACTGTCCATATTGCAAGCTGGCTAAAGAGGTAACTTATCGGGTTTCAGTCATCAGATACAATCTTTCTTTATAGGTTTTCGATAAACTCCAACAAAAATACACTGCCATCGAATTGGATGAAAGAAGCGATGCTGAGGAAATACAGTTAATACTAGGCGAAATGACAGGTGCAAAGACGGTAATTGAGGTTATAGGTTTTAAAATCCCATTTGTCATGATGATGTATTTTAGGTGCCTAGAGTCTTCGTAAAGGGAGAGTGTTTAGGAGGCGGGTCTGACGTAAAAGCCCTATACGATAACGGAAAATTAATGCATTATTTCAATGCTCCATAATTAAAGTATATGTAAAGGTCGTAAGTATCATTGTTCTTTGTTCTCTTGATTTATCTTTTTACTGTTAGTAGAGAGCACAAGGGCAGGAATGCTTGATAACATAAGATTAACCTGCCCATTATTTAACTACAAGCTGCAACAGTCGAGTGAAGTTTGCCACAAAAGGGCAGCTTTACCTGGTTTGGTTCTGAATTCATTGTACCAAAATTCGTTTACAAAATCTGTGTGTACTTGCCCCTTTTGCAAAACAAATTTTGAGTAAATCCCCAAGCTATTAATAACCTTCCTGATGGGTGAACTTCCTAGCAAGTGCGTCCGTAGATGGGGAGTAACCTAGGCAAGCTAGGTCAAAGGCAAACAGATACTTGCAACTTGTAAAACAACAACCTGGCCGTACCAAATCGTGGATCAGTTCACCAAGCAGTGGTTCTCTACCACACTACCCTTCTTCATAAAATAGCGTAATAATTTTTAGGGAGTATTGTACAGGGTGTCCCATTTTCAACACTAGGATCTATTAGGGGCGAAAATAAAAATGCATATTTTACAAGTTTCTTTACAATGAATGAGGAATAATCTGGCCGTTTCAGAATAAGCATACATGGTGGGGAAAAAAAATTAATTAACCTAACCCAATTTTTTTAAAAATGGAACACCCCATATATTTTAATCTAAAACAAAGCTAAGACTTAATTTGAAAAGTCCTGCAATAATAATAATACACACAAATCAGAATAATTTTACTTCTTTATCTACAGTTTCTATAAATTACCTAAGTTACAACTCATCCGCTCCAGAATATTTACCACCACGCTTCTGTTCCTTTTTCGATCCATACGAGGCTGGGCAATAACAAGCATTTTTCTGGGCATCAAGATAGGCCTTACACCCTAGTGCCATTGTACCAGTAAACAAAATTTTCGCTGCACTTTTACAAGCTACAAATTACATTATGAGGATTATCGATTTATTTTCTATTCAAACCTTTACCTGTCACCATATTTCCACCGAGGTTCTTTTTATGACTATCACAGTACTGATATAAACAACGTTTGAATTCTACATCACACACTTCCCTATTTGAATTACATGTATCGTAACAAAGGTCGTGAGCATTACAACATTTCGACATTTCCGCAATTGGTAAAGAATTGGGGTCAATTTTTAACCCTAGTGCTCCACAGCCATCTGCCTTTGGCACGTGATTCCGATGCGGTTTCGGTGCAACCCCTGCAACAGGCAAACATTGTAAAATGACCTCCTTGGCAACCTTGTAAAACCTTCGACTGGACATTTGAATACGCAATTCTCCTCGACAGCCGCATCGAAAACATCGTGTATAGTTTTAAATTGCTTAGCTACCGTGATAACGTTTTTCATAACATCACCAAAAACATTTTCTGCTGCCAATACTGCGTCCCGTAAATTTTCGAGTACGCCCGACCCATAGCCCGAATACGCATACACTAAGAATGTTAACCCGTAAATTAAAACTTTCACATAAGGGATTTCCATTGGGATGTTCAGCTTTAACACCTTTCATGCTTTGATAGAATCACGGACTCTGACGTAATTATTTGAGGGCTTGCGGTATGAGTTGGAGTTTTTTCATTCGCGATTTGTGACGAATCGCACACGTAGAGATAAATGAAATTTTTAAAAACACAAAACCCTGGCAAAGGCCAAAGCCAAGTTTTTCTATAAGTAAATAAGAAGTTATTTATAAACAACCCCGCTTCCCACCCATGGCGTCCAATCCGATTCGTGAATCGCGATCGAACTGTTACGTATGAAGTAGTGTTAGTGTACTACAACTACAGTAGGTATGTTCTAACTAAAACCGACATATTTGTTATACGAAATACGAAGTTACTTTTAAAGAATTAAATGGCCAAGTTGTTATCTCTCCTCTAACAAACACTCACAAAATACCTAACTTCTTTATTAAATGAAACCATTCAGAACATTACATCTTTTTCGAACAATGTCATAGACGCTATCTTATTATTCATTCGTGATTCGACTGAACTTAACTTCATAACATTTACAAAACAGTGTTGTCACTTTTACATGAAATTAAACAAAGCGTTGTTGCCAACAAACATCTCTTACAAAGTCATAAAAACAATTCAGCATCGTGTTGCTGACACATTCAATAAAATTTTTATCTGTAATAAGTTTCACCCCGTACATATACCTAACATGCGACAATGTACATAATTTTGAGACCTGGCAACCGCGCGATTTTTTAGAAGAAGGGGAAATTTGTCTACCCCAGAAGCTTTACTTCTTTGATCTCCTTACAGAGGTAAAAAGAGTTTGAACCGAACCGACAAATTTAAGCGGGGCTTAGCTTAAGCGTTGCTTAAAATCCATGGCAACCATTGTCTCAATAATCGTTGTCATGGATTTTAAGCTAAGCTTTAATTTGTCGGTGCATACGGTCATAAGAGTCTGCAGTCTTGAAGAGCACGCCGAACGCTTCATACAGCCATCTTGGTTTGAACTCTCCGATAGAGGATATTGTCTAGTTTCTTTTTTTTTATTTAATAAATTTGTTTGTGTTGTGTTACATTTTACATTAAAAAAATAATTTTTAATTTTTCTTTTTGAAATTGGCATAACTTATGGTTATGTTTCGATGATGTTAGCCAAAAGTTTAATTTATATATAAATGTTTTCGTTTAAATTTGTGGAAATTGTGAAGTTTTTTACCGTGAATCCCAGAGTTGGGAACACTGTAACCAAAGTACTTTACCAGTTTGCCCATTGCTCTAGTCTAGAACAGTAGGTACTACCTATTACCCATATTATCCTTTGAAACGAAATGTATTAATATCCTTAGGTATACCATTGTTTTTATTCAATGGGCATACTCAAAAGTCTAACATACGAAAACTTAATGGTGCTAGATCAGTAAGATGGAAAACATCCAACTTTTACTCTGAATTCTCGGGGAAGGTGGGGTGGAACATATGAATTTATAAAAAAAATCTAAATCATGGCGCTAGAAAAAATTGTCCAGATATTTCAGTGGATTTTGTTGCGTCCGAAAGCTCTTGTCTCTAGAAGAAGAGGCAAATGAATATTTTAGAATTTAAGCCATTAGTATAGCAGGTTTTGTTTTCTATAGTAAGTAAATTAAAACGAGCAATTTTTAATTTTGTGGTAATTCACCCTTATGGTTAGGCAACACACCTTTACATCTGAAACAAAAATATGATATGCTCTGTATATAACCAATCGACCGTTGCGCAGATGCCCAATGAATAAAGAATACCAACAATTTACGTGAGACCCCGATGGCTTTTGCAAATGGCGGACAGTAGTTTCCTGTTCCAGTGGCGTACCTACCTTACAGTTGTAGAAGGATATAATTATACAGAATTTTCCACGAAAACAATCTAAACCCCCATGTGTCTACTCCGCCTATGACTTTTGTTTAACTAACCTCAAACTACATTCCGATAAAAAATTTGTAAATTTACATGTACTATATAAAAATAATATTGGTATCAATACTTACACATGAAATCTAATTCCCAAACTTTTATTTTTTTCCGTTTTGGAGCAACCACAAGCACAACAACTAACCATTATTTTATGTCACTGCAAAAACCACAACAAAAATGAGTCATAAGTGGCTTTTGCAAATGGCCGACTTCCGTCCCACTCTCTCTTGTATGCAACCTGAGTAATGCTCCTTCCGGTATTCTTTATTCATTGCAAATGCCGAATACTAGGGGATTTTCGTAACGAAGGTAGGGGAGAATGGAGAAGATGGCGACGTCGTCGACGGAAGGCATCGCGCGTTCCCGGTTTTTATTCTTGATTATTTTGGTGGTGGTTTTTGAAGGTGTATTTACAGGTAGCACAGATAAAATACTTTATTTTATCTGTGCAGGTAGTAACCATTTTATTCTTTATTGTACTAGCTATTTAATCATTGAATTTCTTGCCACAATTTGATATTATTTACATTTTGCTGATTTTGCATAAACTACGATACCTGAATCATGACGTACTCCATGCCTTTGTTTTGAGTATCGTTAGATGAATCGTGTTTGTTATACTGTACAGCTGATTATGCCATTATTTTATTTTATCAAGTATTTATTTCTGTATTCACGAGGAGTTGATTATCAGTGCGATGTTGCTCTGTCCGATTGATCCGTAACTATTCCGTGAGGTAAGTACCTAATACAGTTTGATTGTTCGCTGTATCTGTTACTTTCTGATTCGTGCCGCGCCCGCGCTGCAGTTCTTGTGCGTTACCTATACGAAGGGGGGCTCTCTTATTTTATGTTGCGATGTTTGTGTGTGCGAGTGGTTCATTCTGTCTCCGTGGAGTAGGTACCTAATACAGTTCGATCTTTCCCCGTGTCTGTTGCCTACTCGTCTCGTGCGGTTTTCAGTTCTTAGCATCTTAGCAATACGAGTAGGGGCCCTCTCATTAACATTTCTACTATTTAAAATACGTTCTGCTTGAGCGATAATCGATTGTCATATAAATACTTGCTATTGCCATTCTCACATGTACCTTTCGTGTTAAATTAAATTATGTTAACGGAAGACTGGGTAGAGCCACACCATTTACATGTTTCCTATGTACATGCAATTTATTTATTTGACGAGTTGTGTTATCTCAATTGATCGTTCAGGTATTTTGATGTGTTTTTGTACGAAATTGATTTACCTATCATGTTTTCCACTGCATTTATGATGTCTTGTACATTTTGTTTTTAGGAACTTGTTTAATTGCATTTGATTTGATTATCTGATTTTTATCATACAATTTGAGATGTTTTATTTATGTGTATATTCTCTTACATTTTATTGCTGTAGGTGATTTATTTCATGTATTTGTGTGGCCTATGCCAGGATTTTAGTCCCGTAGAAGGTTTTCCTGGCATGGTCTTGTTGTGTGCGTTAATATATTTATTTGTTCTGGTCATTTCTTACGCACAAAAGTTCTCTTTTATTTAATTCCATTCCCGATTGTGTCTCACGTCACATAAAAGAACCGATTACACAACGTAGGAGTCCATTCGTGCCACCCATATCGAGCCGACTGCCATCCACATTCAAAAGTGCCGCGAAACGTCCATCGTTTCGACTTGAACGGTAGGTGGCTTTGCTTGTAGATTTTTGCCAGAGTGGCCAACGGTAAGTATAGGGTAAGTAAGTAACGGTTTCAACCACACACCATTTATGGTCCATAGACATATGAGATGTCTATGGCTCTGCATGTGTTGTGTTATACAAATATTTGTGCTTAATGGCGTTTTGTCTATCGCCCCACTTTTTTTTGGTACAACTCCAAATTAACTCCTTATACCTATGCATGGTTTCTATTTTCGTTTTAGTAGCAAGCAATGCATAAAACAATTGACTTATTATACCTAGTAGGTATATGTTTCTTGTATCATTACACAGTTGTACATAAAATACGAGTAATGAATAAGTTACAGTGTCAGTGTATGACAGTGATCACTACCCTCTTCTTACTAAACGCACTTCTTTTGATAGGAGTTGTAATAAAGTGGCAAACCAGTTTGAACAAATCCGACAGAAAATATCGAAACTTACCGACGAGCCCTGCCGTTGAGAGGCCCCAATTCGCAGTCAAAATAGTGACATTTGACAACGACGTTGACGATCACTGTGGCGGCGCGATTATAAATTCTCGTTGGATTGTTACGACAGGTCATTGTGTAGGCGTGGTAGAGTCCTACGCGACGAAAAAGATGATAACATACGTGGCGACTACATTTAATGAGGTTGTGAACGAGGTTGAAGTGGCCATACGTCATCCAGAATTTAACAGTAGCACTTTAGATGCCGATATTGGTCTACTGAAAGTTGTTCAACCATACGAGGCGGGAGTTGCTGTTCAAGTACCACGCAGTGACTATAAGTATGTAGTGAACTCTAGTGTGAGTGCTGTGAGTCTCGATGAAGAAATTACCGAGGTTATAACGACTGTTGAAATTTTCAGTCGAAGATATTGTAGTAATTTGCTTAGTGCGACCTGGAAGTTGCTTACAGAATCAATGATTTGTGGTGGATTGTACACAGGGGAGAAGCCCGATTGTCTTTATGATACTGGTAGTCCCTTAGTGGATGGCAAAGTGTTAATTGGCATTATTTCGTGGGGTAAAGGTTGTGAAAAGGTTGACATACCGACAGTATACACTAAAATTCCACCATTTGTAAAATGGATAACAACTACAATTGGGGATGATCGTTTAAGTACTGACCAAGTAAAATAATTAGAGGATTCCATTCATGCGTAGGTATCATATTGAGTTGTGTAGATTTCTGAATTGTGAATATAAGATTGTTACACATAATAAACAGAATCGTAAACACTACTTTACTTGTGTATATTCAGGATGAGGTGATTATAAATCAGTCATTATAATGAAATAACCGGAAGGAGAGTCTTTTTTAAGGCGCCTATTCAATCCGAAGTCGAATGGACAAAAGTATTAATCTCATGTGCCGTTTAGTCTCCACGCTCGCTGGATTAAGTCCCTTACCCGCTCGTTTTGGTGATCTCGCAAGCCTCCGAAGATTATCCCGTCGCGCTGGTGATAAATCCCTTGATGGTGGACATGTCCAAATCTAATTTCCGCACGAACCATTTTCAATGCGTTATTTTGAAATATCTGCAGTCTTGAGATTGAGATGGAAAGTGAAGTAACGGTACATTCCGTCAGGGATTTCCTATTTTTTCGATTTTGTATGTAGGCGAGTGGTTCCTGAATACGGTTCTAGACTATAAATTCGTATGAAAGCTTAAGGCGCCGAGAAGAATGGGAAATGCCGAAATTAGCTAGCTTGACTTTGCATATCTCTCATTATTAAGCTTGCTGGGTGGCTTGTCAATTGTCGATTTATGTGTGTCAAGAAACCTTATTTGATGCAAAAACCAGTTTTAATTGATGGACAGGGATGGAATTAGGCGTGAATTACAAAATAATAGTTGTAAGAATCAGGTTGTTGGTAGAGAGCCGTGGTCCAATGTGCGTTAAGCCATGGTAGCGATCGCGTCGAGCGATTAAAAAAGTTAAATATGGGTTCCGATTCCGCACTACTTAAGTAGAATTATTTTTTAAGGGTTCCGGAACCGGTTCCGGTATTGTGGTTTCAGTGATTTTCGGTTCCGGTTCGGACTCCAGCTTCTTTTGGTTTTTAAAGGTTCAAACATAAATAAATAAAATTATTCTACAAAAATCGCTTTGTGAACAATAGAATAGCTTTCCTCACACGCTCTTCAACCCTTTTACGGGTTTTGATTCATTTTCGGTATTCGTCACCCTAAAATATTTTATGTTTGTTTAGTATTAACGTTAAGTTGGTAGAAATTATTGTGCCAGCTCTGAATAAAAGTGAGAATTTTGATTTTTGGCCTTTAAAATTTATTTTTCAAACGTAATTTACCTACAAAGCAAGATTTTATTTTTGGTCAATAAAATAAGCAAAGGATTAGTAATCGGCGATAAGAAATGACAGCGGATGTGACTTGTTCTTTCCAGAAAGTATGATATCCTGACTCTAGAACTTTCCAGAATCTTTCCGTTTGCTATATATGCAAATTGAATTATGTTTAATAGAAGTTCCAATATCGACGCCAAAGCGATAAATAGTGAAATTCGCGTTGGTGTTGTTATTCGTATGTTATAATTAAGTTTGAATACAAGTGATAAATAATAATAACTGTTGAAATTTACGTTACATTATTCACCTCCAAGGTAATTCATGAGGTCTAAAATACTCTTCCATAAAGTTCTAGAAATCAATCGGCAATTAAAAATTATCAAACTCCTCGTGTGAGATCGAAGGGACTTCAAGCGCATTTTTCTGTGGCAGATCATTATTCTATTAGTCAGTTTGATTTCACCATCAATAAGATCTTGTACTCCCTTTGTCGGGAGAAGAAGCTTTTGGGCGCCCAAAGCCGACAACCCCTCGAAGACGCTCGCCTTGCAAAATGTGGTTAATTTCGCCCCTAGGAAAAAAAACAAAATTCCGTCACGCAGGAGTCATGCGAGTTTACAAGATCTTTCCGATGACACCAATTCGAAAACAATCGGACTGTACAAGAAGATAGGAAAAAACTGAAAAATCACCAGCTTAGTATAGCACGCTCGGAGATGGCGCCCAGATGTCGCTGACCACACATCATGTAACTTCCGTCTCTAAAGTTGTTAATTACACGGCCCCGGTAGGTACATGTACACTACCAGTCTTTCTACAAGCGTTCTTCTACGGGCCCGTATTTGCTACCAGCCAGCCAGCCGACCAAAGTGGGATTAAAAACTACCTTTTTACGAATAAATTTGCAAAAATGCGCAAAAAATCAAATTGTCGTTAACTACTTCATCTCCCTGTTATAAAAATGTACGGAGGGTGACTTTGTGGATGGACACTATTAATTTTGGTCAGAGCAATCAGGGGTGCGGAAGGAGAGGCGGAAAAACACTTGAATAAAAAAATTAGATTATTCAATGGTTTAGATATGGGAAGAGATTCCTGTGTCTATATTTAGCGCCCAAAATTAACTAATAAAATAAAGTCACTGTACCACTACGGAAGTAGACGAACCGTGCAACAGGGATGGTAAACTTTGGTTGCGAATGTGCGGTTTCTGTCTTTTAATTTTCTTACTCCTTGGCAATGTGCCATTCGGTAAATATAAGTAAAATACAGTCATAACACTATTAATAGCACAACCTACTTAACTATATAGCTAAATTCGCATCTGACTCTCACTTCATTAAATTAATTGCCTCAAAGCGTTCGGTGCGTTCATCACGTACTCGTTCTGTATGAATTAATACGGTCCAGTTAATATGTCGGAAGAAGCCGCGAATTCTAATTCATCACCTGCTAGTGTTTGTGCGGAATGTCAGCAACCGGCGAACTTAAAGTGTTCGGGTTGCAAACTCGTGTCTTATTGCTCTAAAGACCATCAGAAGAATAATTGGCAAGTGCATAAAACGCTATGTCGACCATTTGAGGTAAGACCCATCTTCCAGTTTCTGCACCTTTATCTATTGATACCGGGCCAATTACAGTTGCATTTTGGATAAGATATTGGAGGGTCTAGATTCGAGCTATGTAGAGTCGAGAGTACTTTCAATTCAACTCAATTATGCTTAGGTATGCCAGAAGAGCGAGTGTGTGGGTGATTATACCTGGCACATCTATTTTGATACAGGGCAATAACAATTCTTAACTATTTTTACTCTTACGTGCATTCTTCTTCTTTGAAATGTGAATGGGAACGACCATAAGTAAAGTTACATTTAAACAAAATGTCTTTTCCATTTTCTTGCTGCTTGTTTATAAATAAACCCAAAAACGACAGTTCTTGGTACCATACATAGCTTTCTGGTTCGTTCATAAAGATTTGTTTACCTGACCTACGGGGTGTAAACAATGCCATAGGGGCATACTTAGGTTATAATAAATAAATGCTGAGCAGCAACCAATCACTAGGTATCATTAATTTTTGTTTCCTTTTTTTTATTTACTATTATTTGCAATGTTATTGTATTCTTACACTCATCTATATACAAAATAAATGATTATTACTTGCAGTCACTTTGATAACACTTAATTTATAAGAGATCTCGCAACTCGGACGACGGCTGCATCGGAGATACAGTCTCGCAACTCGGACGACGGCTGCATCGGAGATACAGTCCTAGGTGACTGCCGTTCTATCACGCGACCTCGATGGCGGTACTTGCCCGACGACTGCTTCTTGTATCTTCCATTTTTGTAGACGAAGCAATAATTAACGTCTTCCTCTAGGATTGACAACACAGACCAATATTTCTACCCACATAGGTGTAGGTGCGATTTTAACTAAATTTTGATAGGTATAGTTGAAACGCCTGGAGTATGGGCTGTAGGTCTTGAATTAGACAAACGGATAATAAAATGTGGTTATAAATGTGGCACCACTGGAAGTACCTTGAATGGATTCGTACCGCCTCTAATTCAAGAAGATGCGGAAGAAAATTAGTACAGTGAATGTACGCTTTGTTTATTGACAACTGTTTACATAAATGGATGTTGACAGGAATTTGTTCTTGACGCCATATTAAAATGGTCTACAATTTCCTTATCTGCCTGAAGCGTAACTTTATTTTTAACTGTAGATGAATCCTCTCTGATATCAGGTAGCGATTTATACGTTGAATTTAAATTTGAGTTGCAGCGATTTAAGACGTAGAAGCAAAAGTAAACGCTCTAAATATTTTGAACACAAAATTTACCTTCAGTGAAGGTGTAGATAATGAAATAACACAAACATTTGCATATTCCGCTAATTGCGGTTAAAAGAAATAAAGAAATTATTAGAAAACAATTAAACCCCCGCATATGAAACGTGCCGTTGAGAAAACAAAAGCACGCTCATCAAGCGGTCAGGTCCGAAACTACCAAATTTTAGTCATGAATGATAAGTTGCCTATACGTCAGGACTACACGTCAGAGATCTTAAGGGTGGTTTCCTCAGGGTTTATAATTGAGTCTCTTTAGGATTGCGCGATTCTTAGTATAAGATGTACAGCATAGAAGTTTCTCCAAAATAGCGTTGCGCTGTTGTTTTTTGAGTCAATGGTTTCTCATAAATTTGTTGGTCTATTGTTTTGAAGTCCATGGTTGCCGGATACGGCAATGGCTGATTAATTAAGAGAAAATCGGCCGCGCCAGTCTGGCTGAGATGTATAGATATATAGCGTCAGTCTCTGATGAGTTGAGCTGGCAGGACTGCCGGAAGAGTGCTGACGCGATGGTTTCTGGCTAATTGCTTTATTGCGGGATTGGTAAAGGAAGATGCAGTTTATTGGTAGAACGAATAGAGGTGATGGCCGCTAAAGCCGATTAGCAGACATTTCGAAGGTGTGGTTGTGTAATTGGAAAAAGTGGGGATTAAGAGACCGTTTTTCGGAGCGCATTATGTGAATATCCGCGAAGTAGTACGATTAAAATTCAATGCTAAGCCACGGATGTAACACGGCCCTTTTTAAGTCCTACGTTCGAATGACCATTATAACGAATAGTTACAAAATGTGAACTTGTTAATTCAAAATTTACAAATATATGGGTTGCACGGACTAGCTTAATCGAATGGGAACTATGTGAACTTGCTTTATGATTGCTGCTGGTGTCAAAACTCATTTTTATGTACTCCTTGACATAGAAAAACTGAGAGCATGTGATCTCCCCTGACGTAGAAAATCTCTATCGATCAGGTCAATAAAAATCTTAAGCAATTTAATTCACGGCGAATAAAAAAAATACAGAACCAAACGTTTTACGTTACCCTCTACATATTTTTTTCCTGGTGTTGCGTCGATGAAATAGAAACTGCCTGGATATAGAATTCTCTTTGCTGAGTGTAGCCATAGAGTTGGTATATAGTTTAGTAACACATTGTATATTATTGATATAGTCTGTGGTTACGAATATGAAGTAGAAGTTGCGTTACCGTTTTTTACAAATTATGCATTCATGTTTTTGTTCAAGTAAATAAATATAAGTAAAGTACACTGTCTATTTCATTTATTACAATTACAACAATACTCTTAGGTCGAAGTTCGTATTTATGGTGCCTAAAGTTGATGGGAATAGGCCCTAATCCGCCTAGATTGAAAATATATCTTTATTGAATTGATATATCATTATCAGTCAGTCAAGGGACATACGATCTGTCGCATCGTGAACTTTTTAAGTTTTAAAAACCGAATTCGGTTATTAAAGTTCTTGCCATTCAACTCAGCTACTGTTATCCCGTTAACCGCGCGATCTACTTTTCGTCACCGCATTCCGAACGGAAGACTGGCACGTTATTGCGACCGATTCTTTCCTCTACCTTTGTATAATTTGCTATTTATTTTACCGAGTAGAATAACCAGGAGAATAACCGAAACGGACCCAACGCAACTCTTGCGGACAGCGTCGCTTCTCACCAAATCCGATAGCACCAATTCTTATCTGCTTTGTGTCTTCGGTTCGGCAAAAGAACCATCGAAGCACGTTCATTATTAATAAACTGACACGTGCCTACTATCCATACGAAGCGGTACAATGCAAATTTTACCCATATATAAAATTCGAAAAATTTAAACTGCAAAGCGAGCTCCCGTTACAGGGAGGCGCTAACTTAAAGACAGATGTTCCGGTTTAAAAATGAGAAACTCCTAAAAGACGAATGACCACGATACGTGTTAAAGGTAAAGTAAATTCATAATATGTTATTAAATGAAAGTTAAACCGCTCAAATAAAAAAAAATATTGCGGAGGTCAGGTGCGAGGATTTAAAACTGATTCACCATTTCCGGTAAAATGGACGTATTCAGTAACGTCAGCGTTAATCATTTGCCGTAATCAACTTTGCGGGCAGATAATCCGTTGTCATAAAATAATACCCTTACATTTTGATTGCGTAACATTGAGTATTACTTTAGATTTCGAAATCAATGCGGCCTTCCCGTTATGAGCCCGAATTCAGCATCAATCATTCTCTGTTCTATTTCGTGAGACCTACGCGGAGGTGATTCAGTTGGGCGATACAAAGGGTAGTTTTAGTCGCTGTATAACTAAGGTAAAGTTTAATTTTCTATTTCTATTCAATACAGACCAAGAATATTAGGCTTTATCAGAACAAGAAAAGAAAAAATAATTTGATTGTCTTCTTTTCCTGATTAAAGCCCTTACGAAAGTGGGTTGACTTTTCGTTTCGTTCAACATTTGGAACTCGATTAAAAATGTTAAAAGTTCTATTGGACTTCAAGACTAAGTCATAAAAATCTCTTAACTGAGTTAAACGTAAAGTTATTGCGAGTTGGTTCTAAAAACGGGGATGTTACGTCATTTTGCATCGTTAGTGTGAGGGGTTTATTAGATTAGTAAGTAGAAAAGTGTCCATTTCTAATGAGTTTAGGACGATCTGGTCACTGAATTATTCGATGAAGTTAATATTGATTTTTTGGAAGGCTGTAGATTAAGGCCGAACTTGATTGATTTTAAAATTTCTCACAGTATCGTTAGTTACTTCTTCTTCGAAAATGGAAGAGGCACGAAAGGGTATCGTGCAAGTATCATCAAAGTAACGTGATCGAAAGAGAGCATTTAGGACTGTGTCTTTAATACAACAGTCGTCCGTATTGCTAGGCGCCATCAAGTCGATAAAGAATTGGTCACCGGCGATCAGGAATAATAGTGGGAGTGACTCATGCTTTCTGTCAAATATGATACGCCAACTTTATAGATTTTTGTAGAAGCTTTTTGTTTGCTATATAAGAGATTGAATTGTGTTTAGTCTCAGTCTTAACAACAAGGTGGAAGTGATAAATAATAATTGTACTGTTATAAATCTTAAAATTAAATTTTTAAATATACGTTACAATACCCCTCTTTCCACGCTGTTTGATCAAAATATATACTTCTTTTCACTTTTTTCGCCTTTTCGAATATTGTGACTAGGTACCTATATCTAAAGCAATGTTTTTATAACGGTTACTTTAGAAAAACGAAATTTTACCCAAACATTAAACGATAAAAAACGGTGTTTAACACCAAAACATTGGCGCTAAAGACCTATCTAGTTAGTACTTAAATCCGCAATTATATGTTTATTTTTTCTTACTACACGTTTCAGATACAAACATCACCGGATCTGGGCAAGCACTTAATTGCCACTAGAGACATACAACCGGGCGATATGATATTGTGCGAGAGTCCCTTGGTTTACGGACCACGGCCCCATATAGTAGAAGCAGGACCTGTCCCTTGCGTCGGCTGCTTCAAGTACGATTTTGCCAGTTGTTCAAAATGAAAACGCTTAAGTTCACAGATTGATTATGTGCGAACAATCTCCTCGTTGTGATGGTTGCGGCTGGCCAGTCTGCCATTCGTCTTGTCAAGGGCTGAAAGATCCAACAAATCACGGCCTTGAATGTTTAATACTCGGCCTTCGGCCAGAGGGAGCGATCAACAATTTCCACGATTTTTACAGGTATAAGTAGGCGTCTTTTAGTGGAGAGATTTTGCATTGTTATGTTTTAGGCAGGATACTTTAATGGTTGTTCGCTGTTTGCTGCTGCAAAAGAAGGGACAGAAAAAGTGGGAGCAACTTATGGAACTGGAACCACATTTAGAAGCAAGGGGAAGAGGTACTGACGTATACAAGTAGGTATTTTAATCCCTTATTACCTCTTCCAGGAGCACTCATGTTTATGTTTCAGGAATGTGGAAGAACGAATTGTGAATTATCTAGAAGACAATTTCCTCAGTAGGTTAAAGGATTTGGAAAGGAAAGCTGAACGTGATTTGCTACCTGAAGCGTCTGCAAGCGTAATTCATCGCATCGCGGGTATTCTCGATGTGAACGCTTTGGAAATTAACCAAGACGCCGAACTGTCAGCAGTTTATCCGACAACTAGCTTATTGGAACACAGTTGTATTTGTAACACGTACCACGTCTTCGATGATGCATCACAGAACTATAAAATTACTGTAAGAGCAGCGGTACCCATAAAAAAAGGTGAACATATATCAACAATGTACACGCACGCCCTTTGGGGTACGCAGGCCCGCAGGGAACACTTGAAAGAAACCAAATACTTCTCGTGCAACTGTCGCCGATGTAAAGACCCAACTGAACTTGGAACTTACCTCAGTGCGCTTAAATGTATTGGAGTCGATGACAGACCCTGCGGAGGCAACCAACTTGCAATAAATCCCTGCGATCCGAATACAGAATGGGCCTGTGATAAGTGCGAGGTTAAACTTACAAACGATGAAGTCGCCTATCTCGTTAACAAAATTGGCGAGGAAGTCGATTACGTCCAACTCAGCAATCCGACCGTGAAGGAAATGAGGGAACTCCTAACGAAGATCCTTACCTTCCTACATCCCCACCACTACCATATCTACTCCGTTAAACATTCACTGTTACAATTATACGGTTACCAACAGGGCTACTTACCGAACCAGATAAGCGACGAGTTACTTATTAAGAAGTCGGAAATGTGTCGGGAGCTAATCGAGGTCACAAAAACAGTGGATCCGGGTAACGCCAGGTCGGTGGTAAGTTCTATGAAGCGCTAGCTTATTTTAGTTGTTTGCAGGTTAACGTTGTATTCAGGAGTTTTATACCACGAGCTTTTCTTGGCCAACGCGTTCTACGTTAAACGGAAGTGGCACGTGGAGGACAAGAAGCAGATGGTTTTGCTGGTTGAGGAAGCCGTAAGCGCTCTAGCGGAGGCCAAGCAGATTTTGAAAAACGAAAGTTCCGCCGCCGGCCAAAAACTACGAGCTCTGCTCGCCACGTCCAATAAGGAGTTGCGAAACTGGATGGATCGGTATAGGGAGGACATGGAGACGATCAAAAAGGAGATGAACGCTACAACAACTGTTTGATTGCTTTGTAATGCATTAAAATCTGTTTTTACCATTGTCTTGGTATCTTGCTTTTTGTGTACTACTTTCGTCTTGTTCTGCACTGGTTACGATGGAACCATGTGAAGCACATGCCCCATTGTATTATTCCAAAAAATCATCGCAGGTTGACGTTTGGGCAGTACTCTTCCCCCTCAGCGTCAGCATCCCAACTCCGCTCCTTCCGTCAGTGGTGTCCGTTGACCTTTTCTTTTTTCCTTTACCCCTACTGTTAGGCCACACATCTCACATCACGACAATGCTCTGTCTACAGCAATCGTGATAAGTCCATCGACTTCAACCGTTCTGTGTAGCCGCCGGAACAGAGTTTTTCGTGGAGGAGAAATGTGACAGGAGGCCGAGGTATCGATTACTGGTTCATGAACCATTTTGAAGAGCAGGTGTAGGTACTACGCCTACTTGTTTTGATTGTATCAATTCTTTTTTTAAATTTACATTTATTTAAATTTAATTTATTAAATTTACTTACGCTTCTCTTCGGTTTTGTGCAATTTTAATCGATAGGTCCGCCATCTTTTAAACTGCCATGAAGTTACTTCCACTTCCAGAATTCAAATTCTTTCCAAAAGTTGCGATCGCCTAAATTGTTTAAATGAATTATTTTAGTTGAATTTGTCAATTTTTGCTGCGAATTTTGAAATTTTGACGAATGTTTTCAATGTTTTATTTTTATGTGGACGTTATCGGATTGTTTGGTGCGTGTACTGACTTGTGTGCAAACTACCATTTTCTCTGTGATTGCAAATAACTGTAATCCAATGACTTACGACACCTAATGCCGGGATTGACCTCGACTCTCAACTGTAGGCTCGGATACCCCGGACGAGGGGCGAGTTACCTATCTCGGGCCGAGATTCTGCTATCAAAAATTTTTCGGTTTAGAATCTATGTGCGATATATGAGTTGTGATTAACATATTTGGTCGTTAGTTTGATTTGATTTGCATTAATTATACACACTAAATAATCAATGCTAAAGGGAAATTTAACATGCACACTTTTTTGAAGGCTGGAAACTGCTCGCCTTTGTAGAAAAAGGGGAAACCCGTTTGCACCGTCTCTAGAGCTTAAATCTTTCTTCACAGCCATCTTGGATTGAGTTGTCGCCGAGAAAGGATCGTATAGTTTAAGTTAAAAATGTGGAAATGGTCGAATTGCTGGATGTTTGTATGTAAATTAATACTTTTCGCCGTAAAGAGGCGGTGGACAGTGATGGGTAGCCAAAACTGTTACGACATCTCAACTTTACGCTTGCACGAGGGACAAGTTACCCGTCCCAGGGGTGTCACTCTGCTAACAAAAAACTAGTCGGTTTTGGATCTATGTGCGATTCAGTAATTCCCACATATCTTACCGTAGTTTAGATGTAATGTTCCATGTTGGTTAATTGGTTTGCAACCGGAATTGCAAATTATAGTCCATCATACAACAGTTTGGTGACCTTAGCCATCGTTACATGAGTGGGGAACCAGATACGGATCGCCCAATTGGTTATGTTCAATTGTTCCTTCCGGTTTTAGTTGTTCCACTATTTTAGGAAGTTTGGATCCTATTATAGAGACAATAGAATGTCTAATTTTTGATTAGTCATTGAGGTCGCCGACAATGTTGTACTGAGTATTACATGCATAGTAGGGTACGCAACATGTTATACTGTATTGTGTGTTGCCTATTTCTAACCTGAATTTTTGATACAACATGGAGGCTGGGGTCTTATTGTCGCCACTGTCTCCATAAAGTGATTGTATACAATGCGTTACTTATTAAATGCATAAGGTTAGTAATCTGTTGTTTGTGGTTATCGCTGTGCCGTAAGTTAATGTATTTTCAAAACGGTCAAACAGTGTCTCCAATCTCCATTAACTTCAACGGTACATGTGATTGATGTCAGAGAAGTATTATAAGGTACCTTTAGTGAAGTCTCAACTTTATATCAATGTCACCATGTGGAAGCTGAGATCAATTGGGAGCTTCGCAATCACTCTGTTAATGATCCTAATTGCCGATTGTTACATAACAACATGTTACATTTACAGTAGAACCCCGATTATCCGTGCTCCACTGGACCGAATGCAGATAATTGAAAAGCACGCATAATTCAATTTAATTTTTTTTCTTATATATGAAGATATGTATTGCATATATATGTAATAAAAAAGAAAAAAACCGAAAATGTTTATACAAAAAAAATTATCAAATCTAAAATGTTTACACTGAAAAAAGCGGAGATTTTTAGATAGCCATTGTTTTGAAAAACAGTCAGTCGATCAAGCCGACACTGAACTCGTTGACTTACCCTATACTTACCGTTGGCAACTCTGGCAAAAAAAATCTACAAGCAGAGCCACCTACCTTTCAAGTCGAAACGAAAGACGTTTCGTGGCACTTTTGAATTTAGATGGCAGTCGGCTCGATATGGGTGGCAGGAATGGACTCCTACGTTGTGTAATCGGTTCTTTTATGTGTTGGGACGTGAGACATAATCGGGTAGGGAATTAAATAAAAGACAGAACTTTTGTGCGTAAGAAATGACGAGATCAAATAAATATAATAACGCACACACAAGACCATGCCAGGGAAACCTTCTACCGGACTAAAACCCTGACATAGGCCACACAAATACATGAAATAAATCACCTACAGCAATAAAATGCAAGAGGAAATACACATAAATAAAACATCTCAAATTGTATGATAAAAATCAGATAATCAAATCAGATGCAATTAAACAAGTTCATAAAAACAAAATATACAAAACGTCATAAATGCAGTGGAAAACATGATAAATCAATTCAGTACAAAAACACATCAAAATACCTGTACGATCAATTGAGATAACACAACTCGTAAAATAAATAAATTGCAGGTACATAGGAAACATGTAAATGGTGTGGCTCTACTCCAGTCTTCCGTTAACATAATTTAATTTAATTCGAAACGTACATGTGAGAATGCCAATAGCAAGTATTCATGTGAAAATCGATTATTGCTCAAGCAGAACATATTTTAAATAGTGGAAATGTTAATGAGAGGGCCCCTACTCGCATTGCTAAGATGCTAAGAACTGCAATCTGCACGAGACGAGTAGGCAACAGATCGAACTGTATTAGGTACCTACTCCACGGAGACAGAATGCACCACTCGCACACACAAACATCGAAACATTAAATAAGAGAGCCCCCCTTCGTATAGGTAACGCACAAGAAATGCAGCGCGCCACGAATCAGAAAGTAACAGATACAGCGAACAATCAAACTGTATTAGGTACTTCCCTCACGGAATAGTTACGGATCAATCGAACAGAGCAATATCGCACTGATAATCAACTCCTCGTGAATAACAGAAATACATACTTAATTAAACAAAATAATGGCATAATCATCTGTACAGTATAACAAACACGATTCATCTAACGGTACTCAAAACAAAGGCATGGAGTACGCCATGATTCAGGTATCGTAGTTTATGCAAAATCAGCAAAATGTAAATAATATCAAATTGTGGCAAGAAATTCACTGATTAACCAAAATCAAAATAGTCAAGAATAAAAACAAGTTAAAAAGTAATCGTAAACAATTTACATAAAGCGCATTTCCACTTGCATTCATTTCCCATTTGTAAGATGCAACTTCTGTTAAAATCGTAAAAATCCGCCCACAAATATGAAAGATAGCGTTGCACATGGGCAATCCATTTTTGACGTGCTACTTCAAGTTCAGTTTATGAGAAGAATTTCATTTCAATGCTTTTCTAAATAAGAAAGTTGGAACTGCGCATGCGCAAACCTAAATTTTGAAACTAATGTAAGATTTTCCTTTGTTCCAAGCGCCTAAATATCAAATTTCACTTAAATGCTTCTATAGATAAAAAAAGTTGGCACTGCGCATGCGCAAAATAAAATTTTGAAACTGGCGGTATTTTCCTTTATTCCAAGCACCTATGTATCAAATTTCATTTAAATGCTTCCATAAATAAAAAAATTGACACTGCGCATGCGCGATACCAAATTTTGAAACTGGCGTTAGATTTTCCTTTATTCCAAGTGCCTATGTATCACATTTCATTTAAATTCTTCCATAAATAAAAAAAGTTGGCACTGCGCATGCGTAAAACCAAATTTTGAAATTGGCGTTTGATTTCCCTTTATTCCATGTGCCTATGTATCAAATTTCGCTTAAATTCTTCCATAAATAAAAAAAGTTGGCACTGCGCATGCGCAAAACCAAATTTTGAAATTGGCGTTTGATTTTCCTTTATCCCAAGTGCCTATGTATCAAATTTCGTTTAAATTCTTCCAGAAATAAAAAAGTTGGCACTGCGCATGCGCAAAACCAAATTTTGAAATTGGCGTTTGATTTTCCTTTATTCCAAGTGCCTATGTATCAAATTTCATTCAAATACCTTTATAAGTAAAAAAGTTTGCAATTCGGTTTATAAATGGTCGAGATGCGAAAAGGGCACTGTGAATTTTGAATCGATTCGATTCAACTTTTGGCATTGCGTATAATATGGCTAAAGCTATGCCCATATTGAATTTCATGCAATTCAGTTCATAACTAACGGAGATGTAAAAGCGATCGAACATTTCTAAACAAAGTTATTGTTCACACGGACAGATAGTTGGACAGACAGACAAAGGAACAGACGGACAGACCAACAGGCAGACGAGAGATAGCAATGAAAAATTGTAAGCGATCTCTAGGATCGTTAATAAACGGCAAAAGTGTAAAATTATGGAACATGTAGAAAACGGTCTTTTGTTTTTTTTACAATAACTTTTTTTGTAAGCGGTACAGAAAAAATTCCTTCCTTGGTACAAGACTCGACACCATAACGAACCAAATAGCGAAAAAAGTAAAACAATAGCTCTTAAGATAAAGAACTAGTAGCGTCGGCAAAACGAGCGGACGGACGGACGGACGGACGCACGGACGGACAAAGTGGCCACAATAGCGTATTTTATTTTTATTTTTGTGAAAATGCGTTAAAAACCGAGAAAGCGTTATGCCCACGGATATGCCTTCCGTCGACCTCGTCGCCATCTGCTTCATCATTCTCTCCTAGCTTCGTTACGAAAATCCCCTAGTATTCGGCATCTGCGCAAAACGGTCGTTGGTTATATACAGAGCATATCATATTTTTGTTTCAGATGCACAGGTGCGTTGTCTAGCCACAAGGGTGGATTATCATAAAGTTTTGATCAGTTTTAATCTTCTAGCGAATGCTGCATAAATTTAAAATACAGTTCCAAAATGTAATTGCAATTAAGGGATCACGGCAAGCACAATCCGATGCACGTATAACCCGCGCACGCATAATCGGGGTTCTACTGTACTTTGTTCGAATGTTGGTTTTTTTAAATATTCGCTGTTAACACCATGAGTTGATGTTGGTGGTTTTGAAGTTCAGTTTTGTGAAGTAAATGCCAATAGTAAAAAACAATCCTTATTAGCAACATAAGTTATTGTTTGAGATGTCTGCTTTCAAAATTTCAAACAACCAGTACCGTTGGCGTATATAGAGACACCGCTGGATTTAAATACAATGCGGTCATTTTGCTGTGTGATCAGGAATTTTAAACAATGTTAGTCTATATAGGAAGGAAATGGTGTCTTGAATTAGCTTATTTGCCGAGTTTGCAGTGTCTTCAGCTCATGCAGGTTCATTTTCTATTTTAGCGTCACTTTGCTTTCTGCATCCAGTAAGTTTGAATTTGTTCCAGGCATTTCAAAAAGGTAATGTACGTATACTTACTTGTAACTGAAATTTCTTATTGTAAATTGTGTTGCCTTCAGCTGATTGTTAACTCGTCAGGTGTAACGTGATTCTTGAATTTGGTTTTATTTGATTTCAATGCGAATTTTGTCCTATTTTGATTTGTTTGAGATTGGCCAGTTAAACGTTCACCACGTACCTACTTATTTAGATTGATTCGCGATTAAATGTTTCGTTTGTAGAGAGCTAGATGCCTCCGTGTGGCGCAGTTACCAATGGTCCCTGTTTCGAATCCGGATTCGGGCATGGATATTTTTAAATGTATAATGGGTTGGGTTGGTAGAGCAGCCTTGGCTGAAACCCCGCCCACTCAAAAATAAAATAAATAAATTCATCTCGAAATACAACTTTAGTCGAAAGTTCCCGTATCCAGGACCTTCAGATATCTTCTGGACTGGAGAAGGTCCGGCTAATTAACAATGCATTTCGTGTACTTTATGAGAGACAGCTACTTCATCGGATTGTAGATGTGATGTAAAATGTGTTTAGCGTTTTTCACAGTTAAGGTCGATTCTCACTTTCGTGCAAGGCACGTACTCGGCACAGGCAAGGCATCGACTCAGCAAAATATCTATATTATTGAATCTTATGAATTTTTTGGGGTGTAATTCACACTATGCGAGCAACGACTCGGCAAGCTACGGCCTTTGCACACGGTGTTCTTCTGAAACAATATTTGCCGGGCATGTACCGTGCACGTTCCGACAAGTGTGAATACAATCTGTGCAGGTCACCGACTTTAGTTCAGTTTTCATAGTACAAGAAAGGTTGAAGGGTCAGCAAAGGAACACTTTTTCAGCGGAACAAGATGAGATGCTGATTGAATGTGTCCGAGAGAATGATTTCGGTCATAAAAGATACTTCTTATGCATTTTATATACACAAAAACGTATTTTTATTTTTCTGCAATATGTACTTTCTTGTTCTTAATCATCTAATATTAGACCTATTTTAATTAACGTGGAAGTTTCGAACATTTCCACAGTTGAAACTCACGTAGAAACTGCTTACCTGCGGCAAACGTGTCGCAGTGTGAATTGAACTCAAAAAACTTTGCCCGTGCCGAGTATGTGCCGTGCCGTTGCCGGGCCGGTTCTTTGCACGAAAGTGAGAATCGGCCTTTACCTCTCTCGCTCCAGATGTTCCCCCTAAAAATAACAGCTGTGAACAGTGATTCGGAATTTTCTTTTGCGCGACGAGTTCTACAGTAAGCATTGAGAAACGAATGAAAAGGTTTTCGCAAAGCTCTTTATTTTTATTTTAACATCATCAAAAACTAGGCCTACCTAAATATCAAATATCTATCTTCTTTAAAGTATGTACCTACATATTTATAATACAATATTTTATTATTCGTGTGCAGAAAACTGTACACACCTTACGAACACCCCGTACAAGACATGCCAGTACTTGACATATTTTCTGAGCTCTGAGTGCTGTGGTATAGTATACTTTATATGTAAATAAAGTTCTAGACATAAATATTGTATTTTTTACCCTGTGATCTTACAAAAAAGAAAAAGAAAATACAACGAGAAGTAAATGATGTAATTGCAATGAATAAGAAGGTACGAGGTGCTGTTAGAATTTACCTATTATTAACTTCTGTTCTTAACTAATAACTTTTTACAGATTGCACCATGTACAGATTGCAAGTTTACATTAAATTTATACATGTTTTTGCCAGGGGTACGTTCCTCAAATAGAATTTTACAAATTCTCAATTTACATTCACAATATTACTAAATACGAGTACAATTTTTTGGAAATATCGAGAAAATTGCTTTTGCACTAGCCTGAATGGTGACTTGTAAAAAACTTAATTAAAGTAAAATAACAATAACTTACACTATGAGTATTTATTGGTACCGTTTTCTCAATGTGCATTTTATATTAGTTTTATACCCTGCATCCACATGAAATGAACTTGAAAACAATAATATTATATTGTCACGTTTATACAAATAGAGTGGTTGTACAATAATTTAACGATACGGGGGAAAAGAGCGCAGGTTGTGTAGTCAAATAAACGTTTCTAATCTAAGGGTAACTTAAAATTATGAGGAACTTGAAAATATAAAATAATAATACTTTATAGGAATGTTCGTTTTGTATATGTACAACTTAACATACAATAAGTACCAGCACCATTACTGTTTTAGACTAAAATTAATAAGAGTGCTCAAGCAAAGATGTAGGTATCAAAGCAGAATTGTACTAGTAAGACTAATTGAAGGAAGAAAACTGAAACTACAAAAATAATACTTTGTGCACAACCTTCGTATGCTTCCTTCGCATATGGTACTATAACTACGTAAAAACTTGTACCAAAAATAGAAACATTAAGAAAAAAGTCTAAATAACGACATAAAACTATAATAATAAATACAAAGAAATCTTGAAATGGTAACATTTAATCTCACTTACTACCACTATTATCTAACAAATGTCACAGTCGCTCAAAAATATAACACGCAACTATTATCACAAGTTTAACATTTTTATTTGTAAATACCTTCATTTATTTAAACCCTCAAGAAAAGAGAGAGCAAATAAACGAAACGGACTTACAATTTTACACGTTCAATCGATTTGGACTATATACAATTTAAAATATAGAACACCATCTTTGTAACAAAAAATAAAACTGCTGTGGAAGCCTCTTGTTCGAATGATTCACAATAGATTATGTACAGTTCAATAGGGGGAGAGAAGACGAAACATAAAGGTGACTAATCTAGTGATGTGTGTTACAAGTGATTGAATTTCGAATTGAATTTGAACTTACAACTTACCCTGCAAGGTTTTAAATGCTGTTATATGAAAAAATATATTCACTAAGTGTAATTATTGTGCTACGCTTATATATCTAGTGCGGGTAACTGCAAAGCGTGTCCGAACCAAATTGAACAACACTGTTAATAAACCAATAATGAAATAGTAAGTATGTAGGATGTCATCAGTCTAATTATATTAAAAATCTGTAAAGTATCGATATATATTCGTATAAAAAAATGAGTCACACTAGCCTTAGTAAGTTTAAAAATGACAATATTGGTTTATTATCGACAGTATCGAGAAGAAATCGATGAATGAATAGCGGCAGAGTTGATGAAAGACAAAATAATATGCTTCTTGTACATTTTTTCCGTATACCTAGTTAAATATGTGCCTAAATTATTTTTTTTAAATTTTGTACTTGAATTTAAAAATTAATTTTCTCGAACATCAATTTTTGGGGTAATATTTTTACATACTAACATTTAGCCAACACTGATTTTGTACAAAGACTCTTTTTTTTTATAAAAAATGTACATATTTATACTAAAGGCTTGTCTTAGTCCGGTTTTTTTTGTGTTCGTTTCGCATCATCCAAGACCGCTTAGAAAACAAATAACGGAATCGAGTCAAGTGGGGGTTCCAACAAAACGTGCCGTTTGACAATGTTCCAGTGGCGATGGCATCGCTAGGATACCACAATGAAAAAGAAATAATTCGGCGTATTTCGTTTAAAAAATAATCATCTGAGTAGTATCAATCGCTATAGTATAAATGAGAATATATAATCTTATCTGTACAAACTGTATCGCACTAATATCGCAGTAAAGTGGTGAGTATTTAACGTTAGAAGTAAATTTTCTCTTTGACAATCCATTTATAGAGCAACATTTTCAAATTGAATGCGGCTATAAACTCGATTATCAACAAATGAAATATAAGTACTGCAAACAAAAACCGTTGTATATAGTATTATTTATGTATAGTATATTTGGTAAAAATGTGTAAATCTGTCAATAAAATAGTCTCAGGAACTGTTTCGGTAGCAAAAAATAATGAGTAGTAGTTGCTGTAAATTGTGTTGGAACGTTGGCAATATGAATATCAGTCTTATATTTTTTTAAATTAAATTTCAAGCAAACCATCCCTACGAACAGATTTGCCCGCATTTAATTTGTTATAGTTAATGAATACCAGAACGAAAAGAGGAAGCACGGACGACCCTTAAATCTATCATAACATTTAAATAACAATTAGACCATCGGCGTAAAGTGACCGACGGTTTATACAAAAAAACCCCAATTTGCTACAAAACAACAAAATATGAAACGACGGTCTTTTGACCAGTAGACATTTTTCTTTACAACCTAACACTAATATTGCCCCTAAGATTAATTAATGGACACACGCGTGTAGATTACGCGTTTTATTATTTAAATTAAATTTAATAATAAATGCCATTTAATCTTGACCGTTTTGTTGGACAAGCTCCCGTCTGTCGTCGCGGGAGAGCGTCGGTGGTTTGAACAGGTCCTGTGGTTCCTCCTCGAGTTCCTTCAATCTGTCTTTAGAGTCCTCGTCTAAAAGTGGCGGTTGACCGTAGTGATCTCGGTTCTTTTCGCTTTGGGGTAGGAGGTGTATCATACTGACGGGTATAGGAAATCCCGTACCGAAATCGGGATAAAAATTTGGCGCGAAGGGATTAAAAACGGGAGGTTGCGGTGGTGGTTCGTCGTTGCTCGAAGGCCTTGTATTCGGCTGAATGGGTTCGTTGTCGCGCGGTTCGCTTTTGCAAGGATTGTTATTGTTGTTACTGCCCAGGCCCAAAAAGTCGGGAGCGCCGGGACCACTGATGCAGTCCTTTCTGAGTTGCTCTAACTTGAGACTCTTACCGTACTTGCCTCGCACGTACATTAAGAGCGAGTTATACGGGATCCCAAATATTCGAGACGCTTGACTTGTCGTCATCTTCTTATTCCACACGTGCTGCAGAGCTTCCGTTAGTTCCGCATTTGTCCACGACCTGGGCGGTCCACCTCGTGGTGCCGAGTGCTGACCCTTTGGTCGTCCCACTTTAACACAAAATACACCGTTTTCCAAACAGTAACAACGGCATAAATATAATACCTACTTTTCTTTTTGGCAAATAACTGCGAGTCGGGGGTATTTCTTGGGTCCGCCATTTCTAAGAGAGGATTTCGACATCCGTCTAGACCAGGGGGAAAAAGACCCAGAGGAGAGTCCAATCCGAAAACTGTAACAAAACCAACACTTACAAATCTAATCACCTTAAGATCTAAGTAAATTGCACCTACAAGATTGTCAAAAAGTATTGACGTAAATAACCAAGAAATCCTTAACAGTCCTTTTCGCATTCTAATTAAACCAGTGTTTCTATGAAAACAGTATAGGTGTTACACGCTTTCTATGCCCATAGACTCTCATAATATGTATGCTCATGGCCACACAGAATTTGATGATGCGGAAAAAACATTAACAAAGAAAAACTTACATTTCAAGTGTGTGAATAGCTTAATGTTGTTTGAAAGCAATTATATTGGTTGTAAAGGAGCCGGACGGAACAGTCAATAAAATTCGATCGAAGAAGTTAGTATATAAATGTGGAATTATCATTGCCAGGGACTTATTAATTAAATTAAGTTTGAAGTAATCATAGGAGTAGTTCAAAGTAATATCTTTTCATTTAGCATTGATTAACTGCATTAGATTGATTACTTGCAAGTAAATTTTATAATTCAGAAAATTTGCGTGCGGTTTATTTGCCTCGCATAAATGCATCCCTCATCAAGAATGTCAGCCACTGGAGCGTAATTCGGTGACATAACCTAATTAAAAAAGAGGTTGCAGCAATTATGCGACCAACGTAAATTAGTATTGATTAACATTAAACTATGCGAAATTATGCGTACCGCTAACATCAATTATTTATATTTAGAATTAAATCTGCCCAAATATGCGAGCAGCTAACTTAAAAAATTCATTAGTGGTAGTTTAGGGTAGTTGTAACAAGTTTATTGCAGCTCTCAGTGAGTCCAGAATCGAGTCTTAAATTTTGGTTTTATAAACCGCAAACCATTTCATCTCATAATTCCAGTTTGCGTTTCCGTCGCCAATCGATCCTGAGTACTACCACTTATCCGTGGTACCTATCTGTGCATTACCCGAATTCCCGCCAGCGCCACCATACTACTACTCAAAACGCCATTGGTTGCTTTTTATTTATGTTCTTATGCTTAAATAGTCACAATTATTTAAAAAACAAGCAGTGTAACAATCTTATAGTTATGCGCTTGTGACATTTTGTAGATGTTCTGCTCGAGGACTCGAGGACGTTGACTTTCTATCACAGTTTTTGAATGCAGAGTTTTTGAAATGTACGTTGTCGCAGTTTTGTGAACTTAAAAGTATTTGTGTTCTACCTGTGGAGTCTTGCGTCAGTAAAATTCGTCGATCTAAAAATGAAAATCGACCTATTTTCTTTTTAATTAAGTGCACTGAAGCTGAAGATCATCATCCGACCTAGCAATTAGCAAAATTCAACGAAATGGAGTCCGCGTAACGTCAAGACATTAAATTTGCTTCGGTTACAGTTAATTTAAGGTTTTTGTAATTGCTTTTAAATGTTGTCACGTGTGTTTACGAACCCCGTACAATGAGAGTCTTCAGTAATTTATGTGATTTAATTCCGTTTATTTCCGTATAATGTATTTTTGCCTGGATCGTGAAGACAAATGGGCGTGGGTGCATTTTTACGAGATTCTAGGGGGTGGAACGATTTTTAAGGTTGATTTTCGAAATAAAGGGTTGAGAGTTGAATAACAATGCGCGATTGTTTGAAAATGATGAATTATGAACTGACTTTACAATTTTTAAGGTCAATGGTGAACGGAGGCGTTATGACCGGTTACTTACCCAGCAAAAGTTAGTGACGACCGCCTGACGGGCGATAACAGAATTTTAATGTTTTTACGTGATCAAAACCTATTCAGCGCCTCCCCAAGTTAATGCTGCCACTTACGACTGGCAGACGAGTGATTTTATTATTAGTTTTCAACGTACTTTCAGCCTGTATTGTCGAATTTTTTGTCGCTTATGGTTTAGTTACTATGTAAGCTGCCTCCCGGTCTAATTGGTTAACGAGTAAAAATGGCCAATGTAAGTTATTAGCGCCATTTTGGGGCATGACAAAATATTAAAAAAAAGGTAGGGACGCGTCCAGGAGAATTTTAGAAAGTGCAGTAATCGTTAATCGATCAACGAGGAGTCACGTTTTTGAGACTCGCGAAAATATTATGCGGGTTTAAAAAAGCATCTCAACGCGAACGCGGGAATTAATCACGGGAGTGTGCGTACCAGGAAGATCGTGATACGCGTTGGCATTACGTAGCTGCTGTAACTTAAGTGGAGACATTAAATTTGCTTCGGTTACAGTTAATTTAAGGTTTTTGTAATTGCTTTTAAATGTTGTCACGTGTGTTTACGAACCCCGTACAATGAGAGTCTTCAGTAATTTATGTGATTTAATTCCGTTTATTTCCGTATAATGTATTTTTGCCTGGATCGTGAAGACAAATGGGCGTGGGTGCATTTTTACGAGATTCTAGGGGGTGGAACGATTTTTAAGGTTGATTTTCGAAATAAAGGGTTGAGAGTTGAATAACAATGCGCGATTGTTTGAAAATGATGAATTATGAACTGACTTTACAATTTTTAAGGTCAATGGTGAACGGAGGCGTTATGACCGGTTACTTACCCAGCAAAAGTTAGTGACGACCGCCTGACGGGCGATAACACAATTTTAATGTTTTTACGTGATCAAAACCTATTCAGCGCCTCCCCAAGTTAATGCTGCCACTTACGACTGGCAGACGAGTGATTTTATTATTAGTTTTCAACGTACTTTCAGCCTGTATTGTCGAATTTTTTGTCGCTTATGGTTTAGTTACTATGTAAGCTGCCTCCCGGTCTAATTGGTTAACGAGTAAAAATGGCCAATGTAAGTTATTAGCGCCATTTTGGGGCATGACAAAATATTAAAAAAAAGGTAGGGACGCGTCCAGGAGAATTTTAGAAAGTGCAGTAATCGTTAATCGATCAACGAGGAGTCACGTTTTTGAGACTCGCGAAAATATTATGCGGGTTTAAAAAAGCATCTCAACGCGAACGCGGGAATTAATCACGGGAGTGTGCGTACCAGGAAGATCGTGATACGCGTTGGCATTACGTAGCTGCTGTAACTTAAGTGGATCATGGACCATGTCAAAATTCGACTGTGTAACCCGTAGCAATTTCCATTCAAAGAAGAATTTTTCGGTTGGGAAAGAGAAACTTTCCAAACTGGAAGTAATTTCATTATACAATACGAATTATCGTAGAAAATTCGACGCGGGAATTTAAAAACCAACTCCAATTCTACAGTAAAAAATTCAATTAAGCGACGGAATGATTAACCCTTCGCTGTAAACGACCTTGTGGGCAATGAATACGTTTCAACTTATCTTGTTCAGCCCTTTTGATTTTTCAAACAGTAAAGCCTCCTCTCTACGAGTCAGGAGCGTCGGCTAAATTTGGTTCTATTCCCACAATCCTAAATTGCCATTTTCCAAGGTTGGGTGACTCAAGGGGTAGTTTTAGGCGCCCTATGATTAAGGTAGTTTATTTTTTATTTGTATTTGTACAGAACCGTTTTAATTTAAGGAATTTGACCAGTTGAAATTTTGACTTTGAGGCAGTAATTAAAAACATCCTTAAAGAGTCCGTCTAATCATTTTCTACCCGTTTTATTCTTGTAAAAGCAATTGTATTCAATATTCGTGCATGACCTCAGTTAAAAAAGGTAATAAGTTTTCTATCTAAAATCAATAATAACTGCTGGAAATCTTCTGAGTTAAAAATTTCTAAATTTTAAGAAATATTCGTGGTTGAAGGTGGAAGCTGGAAGAGATCAAAATCTAACATTTCCGTAAAATGAAAAAACTTAAAAACGACCAGGGATTTCCCCACCATAAAATGCACCGCCGTTACAGATATTTAAAAAAAATAACTACACGAATGAAAATGAGTTCATTTCAAATACTCGACCTGCTTATGAGATTAAAAATTAAATTTGCGCATGTGTATATTTAATGTAGACATAATACTATTTATTTTTAGTATAAGCACAAAGCGAATCTAGTATGTCATCGACATTACATCCCCATCTTAAACCGTTGAGAGGTTCCAGGTTCTACCGCATAACCTACGATGATGCATACATTTTTGAGAGCTGGCAACCGCGCAATTTTTAGAAACTGTCTGCTCCGTCTCGGAAAGCACGAACGCTTGTTACATTTGACATCTTAGTTCTAGCAGTGATTGAGAAAGCTTCTTTTAGTTTACGTTTGTTGTGATTTTTGTGTTTTTTAATGCAGGTACCAAATTTTCACATTTTTTTATAATTTATTTGCGTTTTGTATGCAACATTTTGTATTGGTTTATAATTTTCAAGCTTTGTTTTTGAAATTGACTAAATTTAACCTCAATGCAGAATCACCTGTTTGATACCGTTAACTTTTATTGTTTGAAATCTCTTTCATTTTTGGTGCAAACGTTTGCTCGATTTAGGGTTATGTTTTAATTACTTGATCTTGATCCGAAGTTAAATTTATAAATTTTGATCATCCTTTTAAATACCTATGTTGAAATATAACGAATTGTTTGATGTTTGATGTGTGTATGGACTTACTGTTGTACTAACGCATTAACTAAGACACCAAATGCCGGGACTGTTCTCGAATGTCAAGTATAGGCTGGGAAATCTCGAACGAGCGCCTGTTCCAGGAGTGGAACTCTGCTAACACAAAATTCTTCAATTTAGATTTTGTGTTTTCATGACCACTTTGATTTTAAGAGTGTGATTACAGGACGCCAAACAAATGCAAAATACTGATGCTCAACGCTAAGGCTGTACATATTTATATTTGGATCTTTAAGAATGGTCTATTCGCAAGGAAACGGTGTCAGAAATGTTATTTATGCGTTAATTTGTTTGGAAACTTCGTAAAGCTCTGCATCGATGCATCTTTTCATTTCATTGGGAGTGAAAACTGTTACAGAATGAGGCGAAGTGCTGTTTAAAAATGCTTTGCCATTTTTGGTATACGATGATAAAATGAATCGTTATTTAACTCGTAAATCGCATTGTTATTGTGAGTTATTTTGCACGGTTCTAGCTAGTGTAAATAGATA